TGGAAAAAAAACATATCTTTGTTGCTTTCTAACATTATTAAAGAAATTGCCTTATATTTCCTGAAAAATAACACATAGTGCACACAACAGAACAACCATAAACATCCACACTGTTTGATAATCTATAGATTTCTTTCGTCTATTTGATATTTAGAACAAAATCCTAATGTCAAAAATGGTATATAGTTCGCTCCGTTCATTCAAACCGTTAGTGTTGTCACCCATAAAAAAATTACCCATGTCAATGTATAGCGAAAAAACGACTCATTGTGCTGGCAACAAATTGGCCAGTGGTTAAAATTGGCTATGGTTTAATTTGGCATCAAAAAACGAAATAGAGAATTAACAACTTTTTAATGTTTTAACTATAGTCAAGTTAACAAATGGTGAAATGACATTTGACTACGGATCAAAACACTAGCCCTAAGAATGAAGCCACGACTGAAATTTAACTGATCACTTGTCACATAAAGCTATATAATGTATAGTACTATAAACGATATAATTGATTAATAATAATTGTAAAAATAACCAACTTGACATTGTTAAAATACTTAATTTATTTGACATTAATGATTTGACCTGCATGATTTACAGCCAGTTGTACAAACGTCCATTAAAATTTATAATTATTTTAAAGCTACATTACCCATACAAATTTGACATCCATTAGAGCTTAAAGGCGTCATTAAATCTTAATGGAAATTTATTCAACTGACCGTTAGACCTTTGTATTTAATTTGAAATGCTTATTGTAAAAGACTTGCTGAGTACAACTTTCTGAGTTATATGGCCAATAAATGACTTGATTTAATTAATTTGATAGTTCTTGTCTGGGTCTTCATCTGCGTTTTTATGCAAACTTTCATCCATTATAGGTGACTCATTGAGGAATCCGTATGTACGGTAAGAGGAAACCCTTCTTAACTTTTGGGAATAAATGGCTTGTTGAAAGACCGAAAAACTCCCTATTAAAATAATTGTGTCTGCAATTAAAGATAGTTATAACCTACCAAACGAACAACATTTCCCTTTCAAATACGTATGTATTTATAAATATTACAGTAAAAAACTAAATAATGTGTTTAAGAATCGGCAACTCTGCATGATATGACTTTATTATACAAATAGACGTAGCCATAAATATAAACACCTCAACAAAAGATATTGCCCTACAAACAAACTAGTAATTAGTCTCTTCGAAAGAAGCAATTAGTGACTTGCACAATGTCAAGTCAACACTGAGCAGACTTTATTATGAGAGAAGAACCATTCATGTAACTATAGTAGACTTTATGTAGTGTATTATACATAAAACAACGTCGCTTTCGGCTGTCTGTACGCTAACTTGCCTACACAATGGATTTAAATATGGTTTTCATCTAAATTATTCAAAAGGTAGTATTATTATGTATAATATAGGAAATATATAAATTGAAACAATCTTATATTGGTAGTAAGATCGCAGCCTCCCAGATGTTAGTTATATTCGTACCAGTCCCGAAAATTTAGGATCTCTGGTATGTATTGAATGTAACTTGGACAGGTGGCAATTTCACTGGAAACAACTAGAAACAGTAGCCAGAAGCATTACTTACTTTTCTTAAATTCGCAGTAGAAGGTAGGAGGAAGGAAGGTACTGATTTGATATGTTATAGGGAATAATATTGCCAGATCTTTTCTGTAGACGGTAAATTCTGGCAGACGTTTTAATTCCGAACAACATATAGCGTAACTTCTTAAAAGCCATTTTTTTATATCATAAATGCTCAAGGGATTAATCTAACACTTTCTTTAGACAGCCAGATAAACCCCGTGGGCAAAAACTCACACACGGGTACGGATCTTCTATAGTCGAGTAAAAGTAATTACTTAAGAAAATATTTTTATCAAATAAACAAGAACTTGAATAAAGTAAGAACTATTAATACTTATGAGTACAATGTTATTAACTATTAACAGTTATTTTATTTAAAATACCTGCTAAGTTATGCCATTTTTTCAAATAATGGCTTGTCTCGACTATATAGATACGAGTATTAGAGCAGCGTTCATCGCTGTATGTAACTTGGATCCTAGTCTGTCTGTCTCTTATGTTTACTTAAACTGTATTGCACAGATAAAACTTACGATTGGCGGACTTAATTCAACGAGGATTTCGACAAACCTTATTATAATGCATAGAGCATTAGCGATAGTAAGTATGTATTTAGAAAGCAGCCGGCTTATTCGTTTCTTTTATAATGAAAGTTAGAATCTCTCTTATAAATATGGAAAAATAACTTTATTGACTATTACAATTTTAAAGTCAGTACACAACTGAAAGCCTGCTTCCATGACCGAGCGACTTATATACTGGTTTCATGGTTCTAGGATGGATTGCCAAAAATTTTAAAGAAATTATAATCAAAATAATTTCATTTCGTAATTTAAGATTTCTATAATAATCAGGAACAGTCGTAATATTTATTTATCACTTTCACCGACTAAAGAATATTTTATTTACCAGTACTTTCAAAAGTATGTATGATTATTTGACTTAAACCAGGTATGCTATTTTGTATTAAAACAGTCTCAAATTCGATCGCAAGCTCAGCTCTGTGCCAGCTTCAATGAAACAAAACCTTATTATCTTTTGAATTAGGATTTATATGATTGACCTACGGGGGAGAAGATACGCGAGGAGGGTTCTGCATGTGCGGTTTCTCCCAACACGATGGGTAGGGGACCGGAGATTGCTCAGTTGCGCATCTCTGGTCTCTAGCCGGGGGCAGCTTGACCAATTTGCGCACTGGTTGGGCATTGCACGCTCCTGCCTTGTCGTAGGGGTGCACGTCGAATGTCTCTGAGATGTACCCCCAACACGCAGAAGGACCTGCCCTTTTCAGGGCGGGCCTGAACTGGGCCGATCCCGTGCATCGCCTTCCATGCGAGGGATATCGCTGTGTTTTAGAGGGTTAACTCCTGGTTCTTGTCTATACTATGACAGTGCTACGGTCGACATTGACACTTTTACGAAAGTAGAGGACTATTTCCTCAAGCTGAAAGTCAATTCGGCTTTGTTTACGTAATAATCGTATCTCAATAGACTTCAGGTAGATAGTGTAAAATGGCAAAATGCAAATAGTCGAGATTCTATTGAGATTATTTATGACATATTTGCAGAATTCGCCTACTGGACTTATCTTCATCATAGTACGTTAAGTATACATAGTAGGTTAAGTATCTTAATTTTCTTAATGCTAAACTCGCAGTATTTTTCCTTAATTAGTATTGTTTCCATTAGCCAAAGGTTGCTTGGCAGAAATTACTACCTTTGAATGTATATTTCTAATTGTTTAATGTGTTTGTTTTCAGTGCAAATAAGTAATTCATCAATTAAGATACTGTCTTTATAACAGTATAGCATAGTACTCATCTGTTTTAGGGTTCCGTACCCGGAAAAAAACGGGACCCTATTATAGATTCCACTTTTCGTCCATCTGTCACCAGACTGTATCAGAGCGCTTAGTAAATGTTTTTTTGACGTTTACGTTCACTGTCGATCGTGAGTGCGTTAAGATTTTAGTATGGAATCCGGTACAGCGCCCCTAGCGGTAACTATCAAGAACTAAAATTCTCCATACAAATTCTTAACGCGCTCACTAGTGAACCCGTTAGCGTAAAACTTACTACTCTGATACGGTATAGATGAATCAATATAGCTAGATAGTTGAAATTGTCACAGTTACATGTATTTCTTTAGCTATAACGTCAAATACTAAACACTAAAGAAAACGCTTTTTTGCGTTTTTTTTTTATAGATAATGATATGCAACCTTTCATGTGCGAGTCTGACTCGCACTTGGACAGTTTTTATATCCTATAGGTATATACTATACGAAATTAACCTTGCGAATAAGAGATCAGTTCGCGCGCGCGACTTTACAATAGATCTACCTGTTTCACGATTATTTTAACCACGATCTAACAATATCATGTGAATGTCACAAGTGTGACAGGTAATTTATCGTTGGCGATGCTTTACTTTTGTATATAGTCGAAACAAAGACGCCTACAGTTATGACTAATGGGCATAAACGTAAATGTACTGTATAAAGCAGATACTATTCCTATGGGGATCCAAACTTAATGGATATAAAAATGTAATATACAAATACATATTAGAGTTACACATTTGTTGTGTAAGTTAAATAGAATGGAAAAATTGACATTTTATTTCTGTTAACAATATATCTGATGATGATACTGTCACTTTTGCAAAAAATACAAAAATTAGTTAAATATGTAATAATTGTCCTAAAGCCCCCTTTACTTGGTGCGATAATGTCACTTTTGTAGATGAATCATACGGAACCATGTTCCGTATGATTCATCTCATCTGTATCTTCTAAAGTCATTGTCTTGTGAGGTGGCAGAGTTTAAAACTCTTCTCCTGAAAAACTAAATTTTTGCATAAGTGACAGTGTCGCACCGGGAGTGCGATATCTAAAATAACAATTCATTTACATATTATATGTAATAGAAAATAACATACATACCGTGAATAATAATTTATGCTAAACACAAAATAATTTATTCTAAATGCAAAACACATGCTTGTTTGGATTTCAAAGATTTCTAACCCTTGGCAACACTGAATATGGTAATGGTAACACATTTCATTTCATTGCACCAACCACATAACTGGCAGAATCTAGAAAGTTTGATTGCCAAACATCATCCAGTGCATAAGAATAGACCTTATATCCAAGAAGCTTTTTTTAATTCTAGATAAACGCGTTATATCTCAGTCGCTTAATAAGACGGTGTGTGTGTCTCTCCCTTGCTTACAGATCCAAACCAGTGGTAACACCCACTCCACAGATCAATGGCGTAGCAACTTTAATTACCCACTAAAGCCCTGGGCATGCACTATGTTGGAAATGGCGGCCGGGAACATTGAGAGCATTGCTAAGATATTTTTTTTTTTTATCATTTACAATGATTATATGACATACCTGGACTTGAAACATGGAGATGGTGTCATCTAGCATCTGCACTCTGACGGCGAGCATTTTGCCCCCTTTTTTGGGGGTAGCAGGAGGCGTACGCGAGCCACCTCCCGCGCCGTCTACCCCGGCAGGTGTACTAGCCGAATGATGCATCCAACCTACAAACAACATTATAATTAAAAGTACTGTTAGTTTAAGGAGCCCAGCCGTACCTTCAACGCATTTTAGGGCCTTACACTTACATGTAAATCATAAGCTGCTTTTTTAATACTAATTCATTAAACAATAATTATATTCTTATGAAAAATGCTAACAAAATCCACTTTGTCCCTGGCACTCTGAGATGGCGACTGCTCTAACGACTGAGCTACCCAGGACCTAACAGGACTGATGAATTTTACAAGCACTTGTTGTATTTTTGCTACTACAGAGTGTATTTTCATCAATGTTCAGGTAATCTGAACAAAAAACAAACAACTCAACAAGGCTTGTTCAACAAAATTTATACTTTAGACTTCTGAAATGACATCACCCGCATATGATGCAGCATCCTGTATATAATGCATTTCAATGTAATTTAAAAATGTATCCAGTAGTATCAATTCACAGTAATTTTGATGGAAACAAACAAACATTCAATTTCCATTTAATGAAATTAGTATATTTGATTTTATTGTATCTTTAATTTGGGTTGAAGTGTAGGCTACTTTTTATTGCAAAAAAAATCTTATTCTCAATATTCATGTCTTGTTTCTTTGCAGGCGACATTGTGGGTAACAGCTAATAATCATACTAAAAATCACACATGAAAATGTAAAATGACACTTCTGAAACTTAAAAAATATAAGTTATAAATTTATAAGAATTCAATAATGTGTTTAACCCACGCATAGGTCTTATGTATAATATTTTAATTTATACAAAACCTTTCTAGAGACTTTCTTCTAATCTAATTATATAAATTAAAACATTTCATTATGTTTCAAACAGCCATAATGATTAATATAACTTTCAAAATATGCAAACATTTTTCTTAAAAAGATTTTACTTAGAACTTGTCAAGTAGGGGCAAATCCATTGTGAATTTAGACAAGATTTCAAGTTCAATGCTGCTAAAATTGTTTTAATTTTTAACATTATTCCTTTCCAATAAGTGACATATAACAAAACTCATCCAATACACACATAGTTCTGGATAGTGTATTCCATTATTAATCAACTCACCGGGTAAAGAATGGTATCCTATTGTGGACAAGTGCCCAGTTGAGTTACAGCTACCTGGCGGTAGATCAGAGTCCATCATACTGCCGTCAGTTTTACTGTTATCAAATCAGAACTGCTCTCATCCACTCTACTCATTGTACTATTAATATTAGGCATTTATTGTGTGTCAAACTCCTTATTTCTTCAATATCTGAAAAATAAGCTTCACATAAACCAAAATGGTGGGTAAAAATTAAATAAGTTAGACAACCACTCCAGTAAATTATGAGCTGTAATTAATTATAAATACTTTCAAAATTATATAATAGCTAAAAAATTTATATCAACTTTCAAAAATAATAATAATATCAAGACAATATGCTACCCTACATTGCATTGTTATTGGGAAAAAATATACTAATTACAGGTACTAGATTTGTGATGACTTTGGATTAAAGTTGTGAATCTTTCATATTAATAAAGTTAATAATCCATCAACACTATTTAACTTTTTACTCATCTTGTTTAATATCACTTATTTAAATCAATGGAAACTGCTGAAATATTTAAAGAAAATTAATCAAAAATACAAATAGCAATTTGCTATGAATGCTGTAATAAACTAAGTTGAAGGAGAGAATTACCTTTTTACCCAAGTGCTTTTACAATTCTTTATCTTTATTTTATTTACCAAAAGACAACATTGAACATTTTTGAAAATAAAAGAATAAAACTTTAAACCCTCAAAACGAAAAACTTCACCAATTCCAGTTATTGCACAAGGGATGCAAAACCAGCGGCGCCCTACTTTACACCCCTAGACATAAATAGTTAGCTTCAATGCATTAACCAGAAAATAGGTCAAAGGAGGTGTGCCCGGTCACCGCGAGAGAGACAGACGCACTGCCTCCACCGGCGCATCAGAATCTAATAAGCCGCGTAAATTCAATTACGATCTACGAAGTAAACCTATCAAATATTTTTTAACAACTATCGTATCTAATAGAATCCACTAGAGTTCATTAATGTTATTTTCTTACATTGCAAAAAGGACAGCTGAAGAATAAAAACGGCGACGCATCCAGTCCCCAACTCCTCTTGTCAACAGGCTAAATCATTGATCTTATTGGTCAAATTATCCACTTTGTTTTCGTAACTTTTGCACAAATTTATTGATTTAGAGTCACACAAATTTGCACTGTTTAAGGATGCCCTCACTGAAATGTTTCGTTGAGTTTAATTAAAAATAAAAACGAAAACACATTACACACCCACTTAAACTGTATCTGGCAGCCATATTTATTTACTTACTACCACAGACCACAAATTAACAGTCGCAATATTATTTTGAGCGTGACAAAAGGTGACAAACCAGCACACTGAACACGTTCAGTATTTATTTCATTTCATTAAATCATTAACGAGATTAGCTTTAATTGTTAACGATACTGGTTTTTTAATATGTATATTTACGTCACCAAAATGGCAGTCAAGCATATAAGCAATTTACGGAGATTATATTGATATGACTATACTGAATGGGCTAGATTCATTTGCTCTCAGAAGACTAAAAGCAAAAATAATTTAATAGTTTTGCCATAATAGAAGAACTCCCCAAATTTAAGAAGGAATCTTTAAAAGTTTGAGTTATTGTGTGCGTGAGTAGAAGATAATTCGGTTAATGAAAAAAGCCGCTTTTTATTTAAACATCATTTCAAATGTATAATGTTCGTTTTCATAGTATTTTACTCTATTTCCAAACTCCCGTTTAGCTATTTTGAATATTTACATTAAATGTGCCATCGATTCAAAATTTCTAATAAAATAGCTGACTACTAATCTGGACAAATGAAAGAAGATGTTGTTAGTATTAGTATTTGTGTGACTTTAACAATTTTTCTTATTAAAAATGAAAAAAGAGCCGACATCTACAAAATAAACATCGTACCGTTTAATCAAATCTGTTTATTTTCCAACTATCTGTTTCTCAATCCATTTTGAATTGTTTGACGATATCAAAAACAGCTATATTTTAAATTTTTCTATCAAAACTATAACCACTATATACACTTAAAGTTACGAATCTAATCGGCAAGCATAATTAAAATTAGAAACTATACACGACGATACGACGCTACTCGAGGTACGAGTTTATTGTTGTTTCTATTTGAAAAAATTCACAGTTAAAAAGCGAAATTCAATAACCAGTTGCCTCAAATCTAGAAAATTATTTGATGAAAGAATACTTTAGAATAACTTTCTGTTCCTTTTAACTAACATATCATAAAACCTAAATTTGCAAAGTTTGAAACTTAGATATCAATACAAATTCGACCAAATTATAAATAGAATATAATGAGTTTTGAAATTTAAATACTTGTATACATGAAAGAAAAGCGGAAGGGTTGTCATGAAGAGATCAAATACGGTACTTTCTTATAAGATACTTTATAAGTGCTTTCTATAGCGCGAGTTTGATAATGGCCCTTGGCACAGAAAATACGCTATTATAAATTACTAATTGTTTAATTAAACTGAAATACAGTTAAAATAACTAAACTGTAATCTTCACACAAGCTTGTAAAATATATTTCAAATTCTTTACATGGCGGCTAAAGAACAGAACTATAAACAATATACTTCATAATAATAGATTAGAAAAAAGGTCAAGAGTGAGTTGTGCAATTATAGATATATAGATAGATATAGTATTTATTTGCATCACTTTACATGCCTTATACACAGATTATATACTAAACATAACGAAACAGTACACGGACTGGCCGCCCAGATCTAGTTAAACACGGACGTAGTGCTTCATTTCTTTTTTTTTTAATACTTCCTCATTCAGATTGATTTAATACTCTTAAAATTGATTTTATGAACAGTTTATTGATCTCAGTCTGAAATTGACCCATTGTTGCTTATTATTTATTATATGCTTTATCTTTATTTCGCATTTCTAATAAAATTTAGGGAAAAATTTGTATACATTTGGCAACATTGTTATCAAAAAAAGTCATAATAGTGTGTTGGCTGTGGTGTGTAAATAAACTTTCGTGAACTAAAAATATTATAGAAAACATCAAATTTGTGCATTTATATATAACATGGTTTCGTTCAATTAGTAGGAGCATCAGAATATACTAGTGTTAAAATGGAAACTACGCCACTTATAACAAGGCCAAAAAAGAGATCCGTATGGTCAAGGTATTCACGAAACTTACGAACACATTATTCTTTGTTCATAAAGTATCATCGTTACTTAGCGTTAATAAATTATTTACAGATTACTCTTTTCAAGATTTAAAAAACAAGACTTGAGCGCTCGAATAATATACTTGGGACAACTGCCAGATGAAGAATTCCCTCAAAATTATGTTTGCAATCAAGTAAGCAAAAGTGTTCTTATTAATTTGTGTAAATATATATTAATTACTAGTAATATCTAAGTGGTAAATCAAACAAATTACTTTTTAAACTATTTATTTTTAAAAGTTATCAGTGTGCACTTAAAGTGGTAGATTTGTTTTATAGGCCTTATAGTTTGAATATGCTTTCAGAAATATAATATAATAACATTTCTGCCGTTGGTGTTATATGAACAGTTCCGCTTTTTTCTCAATATGTATTTCCTTGTAATGGCAGTCAGTCAATTCATACCAAGTATCCGAATTGGTTATCTATACACATATTGGGGACCATTGTGCTTTGTACTAGCTGTCACACTATTCAGAGAAGCAGTGGACGACTTCCGCAGATATAGGTAAACAATCAACATATATCAATTATAATGTAATTCATTTCAATGATTTAATTAATTTTGTTATTCTACATCATAATTTGTCTTGTTTAATATTGTCCCTGATTTAGGCGAGACAAAGAAGTGAACAGGCAACGATATGAACGTATAGTCCTTGATTCAACAGTAGATGGGTACAAGCCATATAACACAGAACAGGTATCGGCATCTGCTCTACGTGTAGGAGATATTGTGATGCTACATAAAGGGCAGAGAGTTCCTGCTGACATGATACTGTTGAGAACTAATGAAACTATGGGCACTGTATTTATACGTACAGATCAATTGGATGGAGAAATTGATTGGAAATTAAGGTATGTAAACAAAATTTGATAAAGGGTAATCATGGTTTAAAAAATCTGATTTTAATCATCAGACTTTAGAAAACCAGAGGATCATTTCTGGGTAAATGCATTGCTATGTTCAATAAATATATTTAAAATTTATGTAAAGAATATACTTATGAGTAAAGGCTATTATAAAGTTGTTATTTTAAGGACGGCAATGCCTGGAATTAATAGCCTTCACTTTGTTCTATAATACCTAATTATATGTACCAACCTATGTCCTACAGACTTTAAAAGTTGCATTTATTATTGTGATAATACATTCTATTTTGCTAATGACTTGATTTATGTAAATGTCATTACTTATGATAAAGAGCAGGTAAGTTTCTTTCGCTTGTTCTTCTTGTCAGCTAAAAGACGTCCTGAACAAGTTGAAGGAGAAAAATAAATTTTTGGGCAATTCAAAAGTGCTTGAAATAAGCTTACTTGAATAAAGATATTTTCATTTCATATCAATAAGTTGACTAATGTTTAAGCATTTTAATGATAACCATATTTCAATAACTAGTTTATTTATAGATGACTAATACCATTAAAAAAGGAAATTACTTTTTACGTCACCAACACATTCACTTACGATAGCTATACATCTGTAAAACTATTGCAAATACAAAACACACATAGAATGTTTTCGTAGTAGTGAAACAATACTGATAAGGCCACAGTTATTTCATTGTGCTAAAAATGAACAAGACAAGTGCATGCGAAACATTGCCATACAACTGGCAAATCTTTTGCATGTGATTGCATTCATGTACTAATGATATTAAATACAAAATTTCTTCACTGGATGACAGATCTACCTCTTTAAAAAGCTGTTATTTTTGAAGATTTCATCCTATTATTTTCGGCATACATACTTCACTGATTCAAGGTATAAAATTTGGAGATAATTATGTTCATTTATATACAAATTACTATTTACGAGGGTCAAACTGAAAGTTCTTAGAAAATCAAAAACTGATTACATTAGCCAGTTATTAGTTTTATTATATCTTTTCAAAATATTGTCCATTCACGTCAATACACCGCTGCATGCGATGGAACCACTGGGAAAAGCACTTTGCCCACTCGTCCTTAGGGGTCTCTTCAATGGCATCGCGATACGCAGCCACCGCTTCTTCAGCATTCATAAACCGCTTTCCTTTAAGTTTTTCTTTAATTTTTGGAAATAAATAAAAATCACAAGGCGCGAGGTCGGGGCTATACGGCGGGTGACCCAGTAATTCAACGTTTGATGTCGCCAAATAGTCGATCGTTCGCTTGGCGGTGTGCGACGAGGCGTTGTCGTGGTGAAGGAGGATCCTACTGCGAGGTCGTTTCTCTCGAACTTTTTCCAAGACAAGTGGCAAACAATTGGTAGTGTACCATTCTGCAGAAACTGTTTTTTGATCCTCTAACACAATTGTTGCAAAATGACCTATCCTTCCAAAGAACGAGGCCACCATTTTTTTTCCCGCACTTCGATCTCTCTTCACTTTAGTTGGCAACTCCTCGAAAGGAAACACCCACTGAGCAGATTGTCTTTTGGTTTTAGGATCATAACAGTAAATCCAGCTTTCGTCACCTGTTAGTATGTCGAACACAGCATTTGAGTCACCTCCGTTAAATCTTTCAATCATTTTACGACACCAATCCACACGATGGAGTTTTTGAGCCTCAGTCAAATTATGAGGTATCCACCGGGCGCAAAGCTTCCTGACCGCTAAATGTTCGTGGAGGATTTTGTGCACTAGACTCATACCGATGCCTAAGCTTGTCCGAATCTGTTGATAGGTCACTCTTTTGTCAGTCTCTATCATACGCCGCACAACACAGATGTTATCTTCAGTCGTCGCCGTAGAAGGCCGTCCCTCACGTAAATCATCAGTGAGATTAGTGCGACCACGTTTAAACTCATTAAACCAGTTGTAAACAGTCGCACGAGATGGGGCTTCATCGTGAAAGGCCAATCGTAGTCTATCATAACTTTCTTGTTGACTTAAATGACATCGAAAGTCATAAAAAATCATTGCACGAAAATTTTCTCGTGTTAAATTCATGATGACGTGACACAGACAATTTTCAATTTGCCGCCAAATCGTAAAACAAATGACAAATGAATGAAATATATACTCAGTAATATTGGCAAAGAGTTATATTTTCAAATTTTAGAATTATTTTTTTATTATATTGTTTATAAGTGGCCAGTTCTAAGAACTTTCAGTTTGACCCTCGTATTTAAATATCTGAAACAGGTGATACTTCTATTAATGTAATAATACAAAAACGTATGGGAAGCAAATTCATTTATCTGGCACTATGAAATTGGTAACAAGTATACTTTGGTGATGGAAAATATTGTTCCCTTTGATTAAATGTGAAATTTTTATGCTATTTTAACTACTTTTAAAAACTTTGAAACTGATAATTAAGTATCTATTTTTGTCAACAAATAGGTAAAACTTTTCCCTTTATGCGTATGCGCCTATTGGTGGTTATTTATTTATCATGCTTGCTCTCCTCCTTACCACGGAATTTACTTAATTGTCTCATGTTCAAGTATCACTAAAATTCCTAAGCATTTGTCAAGGTAGTGCCCATTTTTACTAATCTAGAAAAAGGCATAGCTAAACTAGGAAACGCTTATATTACGAATCGCTTGAGCAGGTTAGTGCAATTCCAAATAAAAAAAATTTTCTTTTAACCCTTGACATATTTATGACCTGTCATATACACAAATGCCTAGCGCAAAGCGCCGCATAACGAATATCATAAGTTTAGACATTGCTTAATTTCGTTAGGTGGTTCCTAGTCAATGGTGAAATGCATTTTTACCTTAGGCGATTCCTAAATATTTAGGCAACAGATTTGGGCGACTCCTAAGTTTAGTGAAACGGGCATAAATGTCACCAGTGCATAAATAGCTTTAGTTCGTATTAAAATATCATTTCAAATTTAATTATAGTTTATTTTGCTTCCTTATCTGTGGGTAATAACCGGTTTACTATCATTTAAAGTGAATAGTAGCAGTCATATCGTACAAACCTTTGATACTAAGCTGGATATTTGTTTAATAGTGCATTATTCATTATTCAATTAAAATAAATTGCCTTGATATTGCCATGGGGAGGGAAAACTCTAGTTTCTAAATTAACTCCATATAAAAAATTATTTGTGGATATGCCCATTTTATTAAGGCTGATTTAAAACAATGGAGAGAATGAGACGAAATCAATGTGTCCATCAATTTGATAGATTGGGACGTAATGGCGTATTTCACATCAAAATTTCATTACGAAAAATATTTTCTTCTGTCGAGAAAATTTTATGAATTGTTATTATGGCCTTTTCAGTGCCTTTACATATTTATGATGCAGTTTCTTCGCAACTATTTAAACTTTATTTATTTATACATAATTAAAACCAAATAAAAGTGATTATTTTTAGTAAATGCGCCTTTTTATTAAGTATCATAGGCTATGGTCTAGTATATTATGATATCCAAAAATAGAGTAGGTACCACTCGTCGGCTGCATTTATATAAAGAGTTATTACAGATGTTTTACCTGAAAGACAGTGTTGATGTAAAATAAATCATAACACAGGCATACACTGTTGGTTCTGGCATACAATGAAGCGGACGAAAGAATGAATCAAATTGATTGCGTGGTATCGAATGGTGATGTCAGAAACCATAAATACCCTTGAACGCAATCGTGAATGTATATGAAAATAGTTATGAATGTGTGGGAAACTAAAAACTCACGACCCTGTAGCACTCATTTATTTCTGTTTGTCCAGCTAACCCTCTGGTCAAACATCTGGCGCAATTATCTATCCATAGATAGACAGATATTTTATCGAATCGAACCTAGATCAGTATTTCCTATGGGGCAACAAATATTGAGTGGATTCTAATAGCCGCTTCCCAACCCCCTGCCGCCTGTCAAATGGCAGGGCTAGTGCATTAAGCATTCCCTTACGATAAAAAAGAGTTACCAACTCAAATAAAAATAATATATATATATATTAAAAAATCAGGAAGCATTAATACTTAAGTTTATTTTCAACAACGAAAAAAAAGCTCCATCCCCCAGGGCTGTACGACGCTTGTATTTCGCAACTTAAAATAATAATGCTAAAGCACCACGTACATTTAAAAATATATGGCGTTATCAGGATGTTACATAAATCCAGGATGCAATCCCAAAAGACTTCCTGCTGAAACAGGATGGCTGGCAACTCTATCTTAGGTGTTTGCTAATATACGACAAATAACAATAGACTCACAAACACCCATTTTTACTAACCTAGAACAAGGCATAGCATACCCAGGAAACGCCTAATATTACGAATCGCCTAAGCAGATTAGTTTAATTCCAATTATTTTTTTTCTTTAGCCCTTGAGATATTTATTACCTGTCACCTACGCAAATACCTAGCACAAGGCACCTCTTAACGAATATAATAACTTTAGACATTGCTTATTTTCGTAAGATGGTTCCTAGTCAATAGTGAAATAATAGGCGATTCCTAAATATTTGGGCGACATAAGACGGGATTTTGCGTAATTGTCTAAGGTGTTGTTTTTGGGTTGATATTTTTTATGAAAATTCTTTACTACAAGTGCTGTATTTTCTAGAATACCTCTGCCGTCAACGCAAAAGCTTCAAACTGACGCTCATTTGCTGGACATCAATGCGAAAGTCTGGGCGGAGAAGCCGGAGAAAGATATTCACTCGTTTATTGGTACTTGTACCAGACTAGACGAGGGTGAGAGTGACTCCCTCGATATAGAGAATACCCTGTGGAGTGGGTGTGTTGTTGCATCAGGACAAGCTACTGGACTCGTCATTTACACAGGTCTGTAACAACGCTCTGCTATTTTTTTTTTACAGTTGCCACTATCAACTTAAATATCTTGAGTTTTTATAAATCATCCATTTAGACATTTTGTTTTAGTACTCGTTCCTAAAATACACGGTCATACTTTTTTAAAACATCATACTTTAATAAAATCAGGCTAGTTTTTGCCGAAGTCCATTGCTATTATTGTGAAACTATGATATCTAGCAACTTCCACACCCGATCAATATATTTGCAAGAGCAAAAAATCTTGTAATAATCACCACTGTACTCGTATTTCGCCCCTCCACGGAGCATCAGGAGGTGTTAGATATTACAGTACCATTCGCCGAGTGATTTTTGAGAAATTTGTTGATGTTTGTACTTGTGAATTTGTGTACGGACGGTACACAGCGGGTCTTGCAGACACTGACTGGATGTGGAAGTTGCTAGATATCATAGTTTCACGATTATAGCAATGCATTTTCGCAAATTAATTTATTAAAGTATGTTACCATAGTTTTTTAGTCCTCCTCCTTGAGTCGGTCCCTCAGTGCCGAGGATCATCACTTCGACGAAAGCGTTGCAGCAGACTTATCCATTTACTTCGGTCTTCTGCTTGATGGAGAGTCTGCGATATCGACATTTGTAATCGTTCCGCCACCTGATCAGACCATCGCCTGGGACTGTGTCTTGGTCGTTTGCGATCCACTTTGCGGATTATTATGAGCTTTTCCAAGATGACTGTACCGCAGTGTACTACATGACCAAAGTATTGTTGTTTTCTGTGGAGACATATTTCACAGTTACATCATACTTTAGCATACTGCAGTGTTACCACTTTAACGTCATTAAGGTTTAGTGACGCCTTTGAATGCCAAAGGGTTTAGCCGGATACGTATGACGAGTCGGCCCCCAAATGGGAATCGATATTGAAACTTATGTTTTAATATCGACTTGATGTTCAAACACGATTTATGTACTTTTCGCGACTGACTTCCGCTTTGACCTTGAGATAGAGAGCAAAATATCCGTATGCTTGACTATTACTGAATGTTATATATCTCTAAAGCTAATTAAGATAAAGAAGTGAAACTAACGCGAGGTGTTAGGTTACATTACAGAGTATATCACATATATTTTTTTATAATTTTTAGAATAAAAAATTACATTAAAAAAATAAAAAATAAAAATATCATGTTTTTTTTTCTGAGTTCTCTGTGACTTACAATCACGAAATTAATATATGTTATGCTCCTTTGTGTGCTCTATTACCCATAAAAATTGCGTGAAAAAAAAGTTGGTGCAACACAACGAAAAAAAATTATATGTGATTTCTGTCTTATGGTATACCCCTGTATTATAAGGTTTTCACATTACATCATTGTTTTTTTTTTTTCGAAATTTCACATCAGCTTGTTTTAAAACATAAGTAACTAGTCTTAAGAGATGGGATAATAGTTAAAAAAGAAATGGAAAAAAAATACAGCCAGTGTTCAATACTTATTATTATTACTTTTTCGTGTCTATCAAAATACAAGAAACAAAATATTAATCATCGTCACTGTTGTAATTAATTACAATCGGAACACTTTGAGTCGCAAATAACTTAGTTAGGACCCCAGCAGGACGTACGATTTTGGACAAATATCATCCATATGATAGATAATAAATAATAGCTGCTACATGAGAACAGCATCCCACTGTACGTTTGCCATTGGGGCAATCACAGCAATAACGAAGAATACTATTGTAGTCATTACCTTCGGAAATATAGTGAATGTAAATTCGATAGACTTTTCTATTTATATGTCTTGATTTTACTTCTGCTTTGATGATATTAGGTCATTATATGTATTTTACAGCAATGTTACACAGGTACTTGTTACAATCTCTACACTTTCTCGACATAACGTCCGTAATAAGGATTAGTGGCACCTTCGATAGTTAATAATTTCAAAATTCTGATACAAAATACCTATGACAGAATTTGAGTCCCAAACTGCCTTCTTGTGTAATACAAATGACTGCTACTTTAGCTAAACAAACGATGCAGTAAACAGCTCGATAACAAGTTCGAACTTGTTTGTTTATACACTCACACTACAAGGCGCGAATCACATATAATTTTTTTTCGTTGTGTTGCACTAACTTTTTTTTCACGCAATTTTTATGGGTGATAGAGCACACAAAGGAGCATAACATATATTAATTTCGTGATTGTAAGTCACAGAGAACTCAGAAAAAAAAACATGTTTTTTTTTATTTTTATTTTTTTAATGTAATTTTTTATTCTAAAAATTATAAAAAAATATATGTGATATACTCTGTAATGTAACCTAACACCTCGCGTTAGTTTCACTTCTTTATCTTAATTAGCTTCAGAGATATATCACATTCAGTAATAGTCAAGCATACGGATATTTTGCTGTCTATCTCAAGGTCAAAGCGGAAGTCGGTCGCGAAAAGTACATAAATCGTGTTTGAACATCAAGTCTATATTAAAACATAAGTTTCAATATCGATTCCCATTTGGGGGCCGACTCGTCATACGTATCCGGCTAAACCCTTTGTTGTTGTACTGTATTTTCAATAAACGTATTTTCTTTTTTTCTTTCAAATTTGTATGGGTAATGTCGCTTTAATCTATTGACAAATTAACGTTTGTGCAAATGGCTGTTAGTCGTTCATTCGCCATAATATATGTCAAAGTAGTAAAATAAATCGAAATATCGCCAATATGTTGAATCCAATGGTCTTGTCTATAGAATTAGGTGGTCACATCTTGAGAATAGTGTATTTTTAAGATAAATTCTGTCAATAAAAAATTTGCTAATAATTAGTTCTGATAGCATCAAGTAAATAGTAATTTATTAAGATTAAAACTGAATTTTTCATATGTACATAAAAGAATTAAGAGCTATTGAATGATCTAATGCAGATACACTAAAGCTTATAATCGTTTGCAGGCAGCGAAACACGCAGTGTGATGAACAATGCGACGCCACGTTCAAAAGTCGGTCGTTTAGATTTACAAGTGAACAGTCTCACTAAGGTGCTGTTTGTGGCTACTGTATTCACTTCGGTACTACTCATTGTGCTCAAGGGATTCAACGGACCATGGTTTGGATTCTTCTTCAGATTTGTGCTTTTGTTTTCCTACATCATACCTATAAGGTAAATATTTATTTGGTTGTTATATTGTATAAGTAAAATAAAACAAATGATAGAAAATATCACATACATTGGTCAGATCTGTACTAATATTATAAAGAGGAAAGCATTGTTTGTTTGCAACAAAATAAGCTCCAAAACTATTAGAGCGGTTTGAGAAATTCTTTCACCTACGGAAAACATATTATGCGGTGAACCTAGGCATATTTTATAGAGAAAAACAGCAAATAAGCGGATGAAAATTGGAGTGGAATTTTGTACAGGGAATTAAAACGTTACTATAGTAACTATCGTTTACTTCTCAATATGTCATTGTAATTATATCCGTGTCATTAAATGTAAATTATTTAAGTTGTGTACACAGGAGTAAATAATCTTTCTAATATTATAAACGGATATATAGAACGGATTTTAATGAAATTTGGTATATGGATAATTCTAAGCCTGGATTGACATATAGGCTTTTTATCCCACTAATCGGTTCCCTAGACACCACGCGGGCGAAGTCGCTGGCGGAAAACTAGTATTAAATAAAATCATCATCATCATCATCAGCCTTTTTACATCCCCACTGCAGGGGCTCGGGCCTTTCTAATGGATGGTTAAGGAGGATGGGCCATGCCCCTCCGCGCTAGCCCAATGCAGATTGGAGGGTATTAACGACTGCAAATGCAGCCGGGACCGACGGCTTCACATGCCTTTCCGAAGCACGGAGTAGCTCGAGATAACCATTTTTTGGTCACCCATCCCGTGACCGCCCCTTGCGAAAGTGCTTAACGACAACGATCGTGAGCCGTGGCGCTTATCGACTACGCCACCGAGCTACTCCCGATTAAATAAAATAGCTAAAGCATATTTGTTATGGTTTCAAACGACGGAAGTACACTCTAGACTCCTTCATAAACGAAGTTTCTTTTACTAATTAATTTTAAGACACAAATGCGGTTTCGATATTTTATCGACAACCATAGTTACGGAACCATTATTAATTGGTTGTCTGTGTGTCTATCTATAACAAATAGTATTAAAATTATTTAAAAAAAAAGATAAAATAAAAAAAATATCTCCAAAACTGCTGGGTCTGAATGTTTGATAAATTTAGAAAATAGTTCTATATTTATATTTAAGATAAAAACGTATAGGGTGTGTAGAATTTTTAAAATGTTTGTACGTGAGTCCCAGTCGCTCTTAACCTATTTTTCCGGATTAAAAAAATACAGAAGTAGTGAAAGTAATTGGTAAGCGTATTTTCATCAACATTTAAGCAGGTAGTGTAACTAAACAAAAATATATTTTATTTTTTTAGTTTAAGAGTCAATTTGGAAATGGGCAAAGCTTTCTACTGTTGGAACATACAAAGAGATAAGAAGATCGAAGGCACAGTGATGCGATCGACCACAATACCGGAAGAATTGGGTAGGATACAATACCTGCTGGCCGACAAGACCGGCACTCTCACCAAGAACGAGATGGTGTTTCAGAAATTGCATCTAGGAAACGCTCTGTATGACAGAAATAATTTTTATGAGGTATGATTCCAATACTTTAATTAATATAATCAGCAGTTCATAGGGCTGCCAACTGTACTCTAAAATAGACTATCTTACTCTATATCATGAAGTACTATATAATCCACAATACTAATAGAGGACTATGAAACACTCTTTTTACTATTTTTATGATACTAATGACAGTCACACATATATGTTGCATACCTATTATCATAACGAAACAGGTACCAAAAAATACATTTTTAAAAATGTTAAACAAATGATACACTTTATTATAAGTTCGTTTTCTTTATTTACATCCTTTGAAAAAGATTAACTCTATTTCTCCTAATAAAAGTTGACAACCTTTCGTGTCCGACGCCTTTCTGTTAATTCTCGACAAGAAACTATGACCAATTAGGGTCAAAGACAAGTTTTTCCTTTGCATGTAGCATAACTAAAAGTTAATATTATATTTGATAAATTTTGCACTCACAGTGCTATACTGAAAAATACTCTTCTAAAAATGCTTCAAAATCCGCTCTGTCCCTGGCACTATTATGGTTCTAAAAAAATTTTTTTTTTTGCAAATGCAACCTCAAATAAACGCATTATACTATATAATGTGATATAACAGAAAGAATGACTTGACATTGTTTCTGATGCACAGATAATTCTCACGAATATAATTTGAACAATATTATAACAATGATTCAAAATTTTCTGAATTTTCATTTGAGGACAAATAGAATAGGCCATCCGGTGTTGTGTTAATTCATACGAGTTACACTTCCTTATAGGTCTCATGACACATATTAGGTAGGCCTACATCTCCCTGTCTCTTGCCAAGCAACAGGGGTTGTGCTTAAATCATATCCCTAACGCATAAAAAACTGAGTTACCACTAAGCTACCCAAGATCTAGAGGACCTAGGACAAAGGACATTTTATCATTAATAATATTTTTGAATAGGATTGTGAATTGATGAATTATAATAAAAGTATTAAATAAATCAAACTCAATCTTCATTTTACACTTTTCAATTTAAAAATCGCAGCTTCTCATATATATGATATAATTGTCGGATATTTTCATATGTTATTATTAACCCCGATTGGCAGGTGGAAGCACTCCTGACACAGTACGTAACTAACGACGCCCCGTCGTTGCCGACGTCGCCGGCGGGCGATGCCGTCTCCGGCGCCGGCGCCGCCCTGACGGCCGCCACGCCGCGGCAGGTGTGGCGGTGCGTGCTCGCCGTAGCGCTGTGCCACAACGTCACGCCCGTGTACGACGTGCAACATAACATCGACGACTCGCAATCAGGTATCATCGTCATCGTCATCATCACCATCAGCCCTTTTACGTCCCCACTGCAGGGGCTCAGGCCTTCCTTATGGATGATTAGGGAGCATGGGCCATGACCCTCCACGCTCCACGTAAATGCAGCCGGGACCAACGGCTTAACGTGCATTCCGAAGCACGGAGTAGCTCGAGATAATAATTTTTTGGTCAACCATCCCGTGACCAACCCTTATGAAAGTTGCTTAACGACTACGATCGCGGGCCGTGACGCTTATCCACTACGCCACCGAGCTACACTTACACTATCCAACGTTATTCGCATATACTTTAACATTTTATTTTTGGTGACATAAACATGACGTGCATATATTTTAGTGATGTTTGGTGAAAAGCATATTTTGTTTTGTTATAAAAATAAAACTATCGATTCGATTTCGATAAATGACATGGCAGGTAAATTGTATAGAGCTGTGCCGATAAAAAATATTTTAATTTATTTTAAACGTAATTTTCATAAATTGATAATTACTGTACACACTGGGCAGGATCCGGCCATGTTATTTATATGAGATCATCTCGTGCCCATAAGCTGACAAAAAAGTTCCTCCTTTACGATTTTGAGGTATTTTTAAATTCGATTAAAAGGTTATTTTGAGATAACTGTTTGAAAGTAATCAGGACATGAATATAGGTATAAATTAATATTTATAGATATGGCAAGCTCGGTGGTATCAGAAAGTTGTGGTGGCGCGGTACCTCAGCAACAGCTATGCGACTATCAAGCTTCCAGCCCTGATGAAGTAGCTCTCGTCAAGTGGACCGATATGGTATATATTAACTTATAACATTAACGCTTAATAACATTAAGTGGAAGTAAGACAGAATGAGTGTGCAAGAACAAACCATCAAATTGAGGAGTACTCGCGGTACAATATATCTCATTGATGTTACTTTGCGCAGTACAAATCTAGCAACCGTCAATGCCGAACGTTTTAGTGAGTCTTGTTTTAACAATAATATGGTATAATATACAACGCACTATGTGTCCATCTCACTCACATTCAGTAGAGAACAGGCGCTTTGGTATTGGTGGATCGCCCGATGGCGTGATACTTGAAACATTCTGATTGGACACATTTGCTGTGCTTCGAAATTTAACCTTCTACGCATATACATCGGCGAGCCATATCACTCATCTTATTATAAATATTTATTGTTTTGTTACTTAATAAAATATTTAAGATTTATCGTAAATATATCGATATTTTTTCCTCTGTACTGTACACAGATTTAAATGTGATCATAATTGTAAGCAAAGAATATTGCAATAGTTTGATTCATCATCATCATCATCAGCCCTTTTACGTCCCCACTGCAGGGGCTCAGGCCTTCCTTATGGATGGTTAAGGAGGATGGGCCATGACCCTCCACGCTGGCCCAATGCGGATTGGAGGGTATTAACGACTGCAAATGCAGCCGGGACCAACGGCTTAACGTGCCTTCCGAAGCACGGAGTAGCTCGAGATAATAATTTTTTGGTCACCCATCCCGTGACCGACCCTTGCGAAAGTTGCTTAACGACTACGATCACGGGTCGCGGCGCTAATCCACTACGCCACCGAGCTACTCGATAGTGTGATTATTTAAATTTAAATAAGTCGCAACAAAAAATGTATCCGTAAAATAAACATGTTAAACCTTAAATTTAAATGATTTTTTTTAAGGCAGCGAATACTATCGGCCATATTTATTACAAAAAAAAAAAAAACAAAAAAACTAACTAACGAAGTGATGTCACACTATGGTGGATTGTGGTTTGAGTCACGTGTTAAAATATAAAAAACCTGGTCTTTAAAATTTTACATTCATCAATAAGCGATTTTGTTACTCAAAGTCAGGATATATGTTTTTTTTTTCATTTGAATTGAAGTTTTTCTGCAAATTCAAGACAAATTTTAAAGTATCCAAATTACCCTATTTTGGAATACTTAAGTATATTGGTAGTGATATTTTTATTTATCTATTATAATGCTATCGTCCTTGCGGTCAGATGGGCGTGTCACTGTATAGGCGTGACTTACACAACATCTCGTTAAAACTGCGAGCGGCCAACGAAATCAGGGAGTTCACAATACTACAGATATTCCCGTTCACTAGTGAGAGCAAGATGATGGGAATCATAGTTCAGGTGGGCACAACACATATATCTAAATACTAATATAGATAAACTTTAAATCTTTCACGTTGTATTATATTGGATTGTATAAGACGGGTATTAACGCGATAAAATTTTCGATAGTTAGGATTTTCACCTATAGGTAGGTATAATATTAATACCCGTCTTATAAAATCTAACATACATCTTAAAACAGCGGTTCTCTAATATTTTTGGGGATAAACTCATTTCAGAAACCAAATATTAACACGTAACCATACCTCGTTTAATTGAACAGTTTCCATATTATTATAAAACGAGAACTTACCTTAGTAACAGGTTGAAACCATTGTCCGATCCGACCAAATTATGTCAACGCGTCTTAATTTGATTTATTCTTTTGTCTCGTTGTAAATACGGGTGTAGACAGTAAACAGAAACAAATATATTATATATATATATATATCTTTTTTTTATTAGTCGACATTACCCGTACACATTTGACATTCATAAGAGGTTAAAGGCGTCATTAAACAAAGCACTAACTTTTATTGTTTTGTTTTATAATAAGATAGTTAATGTAACAAATCAATTTCATGCATTTTTTTACTGTTCCATGTACTTAAAGAAATATAAGATTGGCATATATATAAGATTCATGTCATAGCTGTCATTTTAGTACTGACAGCAAAGAAAATATTTCGCTAAATGTTTTTAGATTCATTCAAATTTATACATATATTCAATCATTGGATTTATTATTAGTATTGAGATGACTTCATCGAGAATTAAAATAAATATTTTTTGTATACCTTACACTCTGAAGTTGAAGCGCATTGCGAACCTGTCTGCAATTCTATTCTTGTTTGGCTCGAATAGTATAAATATGTATAGATGTTTGTAGGACGAAACCACTCAAGTGATCACTTACTACGTGAAAGGCGCGGACGTAGCGCTCGCTCAACTACTGGACTCGTCATCTTGGTTCAATGAGTCGTCTTGGCTCACAGAGTGTCGTAAATTAGCCGCTGATGGTCTACGGACGTTGGTGGTGGCGACGAAGACCCTCACCAAGAACGAGTACTTGGAATTCGAGGTGGGACAGATATCTGCCAATAAATATCTATATGTAAGAGAAGCTGAAGGTCGATAATATAGAGTTGCCCAGCTATCGATAGTATCGCTGTCGACAGTCGACTCGAAACTAGTGACAATATTGATAGTAAAGTAATTAATTATTAGTTGGCAATACTATTAGCTGTTTATTAAACTAGCATATATATACTATCGATACTATTGAGTATATCATTACTTTTGCCGTACATATCACGTTCGATAAAGATATAGCTATAGATATATACTCTTAAACCGAATTAAAACCGTTATGTAGTTTAATGATAATAATAATAAATCCATTTATTTGGGACAAAAAAAAAAACAAAAATCAGAAGTAACACAATTACATAGGCAACTAAATCTCTGTCCCAAAACGGTTCCAGCTCAGCATATGCTGGTCTTGTGATCAGGTCTGATTTTATGCTGGATAATCTTTAAAAGATGGCATACAGATAGCAGGACGCTATTTTTTTATAATGTGTTTTATATCTTCCAGAGCGAATACAAAGAAGCTAGGTTGAGTGTACAGAATCGTAGCGAGAGGACAGCGGCCGCAATAAATAAGTTGCAGCGAGGATTGACCCTGCTGGGGCTCACCGGTGTGGAGGATCGACTCGCTGAAGATGTACCGGACACTTTGTCCAGACTGCGTACCGCCGGCATTAAGGTAACAATCCATACTGATGTCCATTACATTCATGAGGAGCTCGATGGAGGAGATGAACCAACTTTGGCAATGGCCGGTCATGGGATGGGTGACCAAAAATTTATTATCTCGAGCATCAGAAGGCACGTAAAGCCGTTGGTCCCGGTTGCATTTACAGTCATTAATACCCACCAATCAGCACTGCGCCAATGATCATGGCCCATTCACCCTATTCGATTCCATCCATAGGGAAGGTCTGAGCAGTGGCGACACTATTAGGTTTGTGATGATGACCCATACATAAGGAGTATTAACATGTCTGTTTTGCTGTTGTTGATGACTTCCTTAGTGGGCTGGCTCACATACCAGTTAAAAGATTGTTTTTTTAGTTTATTGTAAGGATTTTTTTTACACAGTTGTTATTTTAATCAACTTTAGAAAGTAACAAAAAACTAAACAATAACAATTGAAAACATAACAAAAATTTTGTGTGAACCCAACACAACCCAACTTTCAAATGTACTCGTCAACCAGTGTTTTTTTTTTCGTTAACGGTACTGAACACAATTACGTCACCAAAATGGCGGCCAGAGCATAAGCAATTGCGAGGATTATAGCAGTCTAGCCGACATAAGTTGTCCTGTCTTGATTATGAAATTTTGCAGCATGCAGTCTGCCAATTCTATGTATGTCAAACGTCATAAGGTTACATTAAAAAAAACTATATCGCTCACTGAATAGTACAGTGGCACAACTCAAAAACCATTATTTCGAGAAAACGCCACAACATTGTGGTGGCATCCCATAGATAATTTAAAGAAAAAATATAAAACTTAACAGAATAATATAACACAAATGGTTTAACTGTTATGCTAAAAATATTATTTTCATAATTATAAATATATTAGATTTTCATAACTTCGGAGAGCGTTGTTTGAAATTATGGTTTTTATAAGTTGTGCCACTGTACTATTCAGTGAGCGATATTATCCACAGCACTAAGGTTAAATATTCTTAAATTTTCCACACAATTTTCTTAGTTTTTCTTTCATAAGAACCTTCTCAACAATAACAAACACAACAAAAAAGAAATATCGTAACCAAGGGAAATAGGGATTCATTTTGATATAAATATATATTTGAGTTGATACTGGACAGATATGGATGTTGACCGGGGACAAGTTGGAGACGGCGCTGTGCATCGCCCGGTCGCTGCACCTCGGCGGCGGCGGCAACTGGTACCCCGCGCCCCCCTGTACCACGAGACGTGACGCGCACGCGACGCTGCAGGCGCTGGCCGAACTAGCGCCCGACATGGACCTCATAGTGGAGGGGGAGACTCTCGAGGTTACAACCGTTCTAGTCGTATATTCAAGTCTCGATCATATGTATATATATAATTTCAATTGCTCACCTATTTTTATTTCTCTGCACTGCCATCGCGTTTTTTTTTAATTTTCCTAAAGGTGACCGAGAGAGAATGTTATTAGCATTAAGTCCGGCTTTTGTACCATGCTTCTATTGGTCAATAAAGTTCAATAAATAAATTATAGCCTAATAAAGTTACGCTCGTAACTATATTGTATTTTTTGTATCCGTGATCGACGAGCTTTTCTTAGTCTTACTCTTACTTTGTCTTTAATCATAAGTAATTTATTCATGTTTTCTTTAGTGTTTCGCCGCCAGAAAGTACTTTGATTTGTTGTAATTTCATGGTGTTTGTATGAATGAAAAACGAATATTTGCGGTTTTCGTTAATGTACTGTATCTCAAAAATTGGCTATATCTCGTTCAAGCAAGTTAAAAGTTAATTTCAAAAGTTGCGGGGGGGGGGGAGACGGCGCTGTTCTACACTAGGCACGTAAAAAGGCCGTTGATGAGTCTATGCGATGTGGTAGATGTGCCTGCACTGGTACGAGGAGGAGATGGTGTCAGTGCTGCGGCGCTGCAGCGGCGTGGTGGTGGCGCGCTGCTCCCCCACGCAGAAGGCGCGGGTGGCGCGCCTGCTGCGGGCGCGGGGACTGGTGGTGGCCGCCGTGGGGGACGGGGGCAACGACGTCGCCATGATACAAGAGGCCGATATGGGTACGTTGCCACAGCCTTACCTCGCTGCCTCCGCGGTGGTCAAAGCCCGTTCCTCCTGTTTGATTTGGGAAATATGATAAAAGCGAATGATACGTAAACATTTTATTTCTATAGTAAACAATAATTTATATTAATATGGTATTCAAATACATGCAAATAAAAGTAAATTAGTACTTTGTATAAAGCGCAAATTCGTCCGTGTATGGAATATCGCTCACACCTTTGGGAGGGTTCAGCAAAATACCAGCTTACCGCGCTCGATTCGGTGGACCGTAGAGCCAGAAAACTTGTGGGGGATTGTGATCTCGATAACTCTAAGCTCCACAGTCTGTCTCATCGCCTAAAAAGTTGCTTCAATGTCGGTACTCTACAGAGTGTACTTCGGAGAGTGTGCTTCTGAGCTGCATCGGCTCATTCCGCCAGCACCACCGGGAATCCAGACGTACAGCAAATTATTACGCACACCTTATCATTCACATTCCACGTATCCGACAAAGCGCTTTGGATCATCATTTATTATGCGCACAGCCAAGGAGTGGAATAGCCTACCTGCCTCTGTTTTCCCGGTATCCTATAACCCAGGAATATTTAAAGCACGAGTGAATAGGTATCTTCTGGGCAAACTCGTCCAATCTTAGGCCTTACGCTTAATATTATTACGCCTGAGGTCAAGAGTGAGCCCATCTCGGATAAAAAAAATGAACTATGGTACATTTGTTATCTACACTTAATTCAATTTTACAGCCTGTCACTAAAATTTGTTCTTATATTTATTAACATTATCATCTTTATTATAAGCACGTTTTTATCATAACTAATCATGTTAAAAAAATATATTTAAATTTATAATTTTTACAATTAATCCTTTTAATGTATTTATCTAACATAAATTTTTATTTTACTCACATAATTGCAATTAAATCTACACAATTTAAAGTTTCATCTACTAAACTATGTTAATAAAACACAGACATATTTAACATGCTACTATAATAAATCGTTAAGGCGTCCATTAAAATTCGCACCTTCACCTTGAATCAAGATCGGCTTCGCACGCGATGTTATTTAACGTACTGCGTCAATAAATCGTCCATTAGCGTTAACACGCTAAATTTTAACGCCCTAAGTACTTAGCGCTTAACGCTGTTAAGTACGTACACGACGTACTTAACAGCGTTAAGCGCTAAGTACTATTAGCGTGCTAAACTAACACGTTAAGCGCTAATTTAACCAATTCGAGGGTATGTTCCGATATACACTTCGACCACTGAACAGTATGTCGTCAATTTAGTATACTGGAAGCCCGTTCCTTTATAGCAAGTTATACTGGTGACTTTTTAAAACGGAACGCAGTCCAGTATACTGTTAATCCTATTTTTTGGCGCCATTTTCAAATTTGTTAATGCAAGGTGAATATAAATATAAAGATTCCCTCTTTTCAAAAGAAAATATTATAAAATTTGAAAATTGTATAAAAAAATTATTTATCTATCTTATAATAAAAGAAAGTATTTTTTTTTTGTTTATTTAGAAACTTATCATTTTCTGATTCTGTTTCGACTGATCACGTGATCAAAAGCACTGCGAGCACCTTACCTCGAAATCTCCAGTGCTCACAGTACAAAATGGCGGCAATTTATGACGTCATGAATTTCCCTAGGGTACTGTAGCAGTGTACTGGCAGTCCATAACGGAACGGATTTTTCAACAGTAAGACCACTGCGCAGTGCTCGCAGTGTATATCGGAACATACCCTTAACCAACTCTAGTCTGTTGCTTATTCCCTCGTGTGCGTCCAGGTGTGGGCATAGAGGGCGCGGAGGGGAAGGCGGCGTCGCTGGCGGGGGACGTGAGCGCGCGCACGTTCGCCAGTCTCGCGCGGCTGCTGCTCGTGCACGGACGCCGCTCCTACATGCGCTCCGCCGCGCTATGTCTGTTCATAGTGCACCGCGGTCTGATCGTCTCCACCATGCAGGTAATAGTGCCTCGATACTCAACACTCTACTGTTAAACCATAATTTAAAATAAATACAATTAGCCTATTCAGCCTGCTATGTTAAGTAATATATCAACTTAAATTTGAACTTTTAGTAAACATTCTGGTTTAAAAAATCTATATATTCCTGCATAGAGAAAAGAGAGAGCCAGCCAAATAATTATTTCTTGAATTTAGTGAGAAAAATGTTCTGTATAGATTCCGGAATATTATTTGGGCCATATACATCATGTAATTTCTCCACAATTAATTCTAAACTTTAACTTCAAACTATTAAGGTTTGTAATCGAGTGGAAAAATTTGACAGATTTGTATGACGTGTTGTGATAATAAATAAAAATAAGGTAACGTTTGTTCACAGGCTGTGTTCTCCGTAGTATTCTATTTCTCGTCCGTGTCACTGTACCCCGGATTCCTTATGGTCGGTTATGGAACAGTGTACACGGTGCTCCCGGTTTTCTCTTTGGTATGTTAAACTAAGTTATTGATAAATAATATATTTTAAACATTTCTGTGATTTGAGTATTTATCAAATGATTTAATTTCATCAAGTTACATCATTTTGAATCTAACACGGCTCACGGTCCAAAAGCCCCAAGATGGTGAGATGGTATGTTTCAAATACAAGGGAAATTATAGTGAAAATATAACCTCTCCTAAATCCAATATGGCTAATAAATATACTCAAGATGGCGGACTGGCTATATTTAAGCTTTCTCATAATATGAGTATCAAATGAAAGGATTCGCTGAGAAGAGGATGATGAAAAACTAAAAAAAGGGTTTTTTTTTTAATCAAATCTAAGCCATTATTCTGCTACATTAAAGTATATATACCTACATATTATGTAGAAAGCTTGTCGCTATTATTATTTTTATTTTACTATTATACTAAAATTTAAAAAAAAAAATTTTTCTATAGGTGCTTGACAAGGACATATCTAGTGCAACAGCACTACGGTACCCGCAGCTTTACAAGCAACTAACGAAAGGACGGCAGCTTTCTTATAAGACTTTTTATATTTGGACTGGAATATCTATATATCAAGGTATATACATCTAAGAAAATGAGAAAATATTTAAAAACAAGAAAGCACTAAAAAGCACCTCACAAGACGCTACTCTACCAAAAGAGTTATTTTTTGAGTTTTGAAAATTAATTTACCTTTATACATGAAAAAAAACCGGAAAGGTTGTCATGGAGAAATCAAGGAAGTACCGTAGCGACATCTAGTTTGATTTCGGGAACTATTTTTTTAATACTTCTTCATTATTAACAGCCTCTTTAACTTCATCACCGACCTATCAATATCCCCACTGCTGGGGGCGCACAGTTCATATGGATGGAATCGATTTAAATCAACCACGCATGCTCAGTGCGATTTGGTGGATATTAAAGACTGCTAGTACAGCCAGGACCAATGGCTTAACGTGCCTTCCGAAGCATTTAGATTTTCGAGATAATAAATTTTTGGTCACCCATTCTATGACCAGCGTAGTGTAGTGGATAAGCGTCGCGGCACAAGCGTTGTTAAGGCCCAGCGTGGGTCATGGCTCGTCCTCCTTAACCATCCATAAGGAAGGCCTGAGCCCCTGCAGTGGGGACGAAAAAGCGCTGTTGATGATCATATACCCGGCCCACAAATCGAAAAAATGATCGTAACGGATCGTCGTCGTGATATATTTTTGTGTGTGGATAGACTTTGGAGGCTGGAGAATGAACGGGGGCGTAGTCCTAGTGGCAGCAAAGAGGTTTAATTATATATAGAGAGTAGTCAAGAAGAGTCCCGTATAAATTTCCGTTTCATGTCTAACACCCGGTTTCTGGATTGAGAATTCCTTAAACAGGTTGAAACATCACTTAAACGGGTTTCCTTTCTGATTTTTGTTTTTTAAATGATCAGTTGATAGCAGTTTGGAATTTTTGACTTGTGAAACGTAAAAAACTTATTTTATTGAGAATAATTAATTGAGATTTTGTATTTTTCTCAATTCGGAAACTGGCTGTTAGAGTAGTAATAACACTTACTAAAATGCATGAATTTGTCTCATAATTTCAGCTTTCGCCTACGAACTTTAGTTTTAAGTCATTCAACACATAAACTACCAGTATTAGTACGGAAACGAGACAACAGAGGGCGTTAATTTTTATTAATTACATTTTCCAAAAACGTAGAATTTTTTTTTATTATCTATTTACCAATAAATTATTTATTACAACGAGGAGTCCATTTTATCGTAAAAAAGTAACTTCTTGATGCGCTTTCAGTCCCTATATATAGATTATATTTTGATTGTTTACTGTACTCAGGTCCTGTAATGTTATAAATAGGAAAGATTTGTTTTTTTTTTACTGGTGACATATGATATTGTTAACGCAGGCATAGGAGAACAAGTAGTAAGTGATTGTCACGTTCCAGGCGGTGTTATAATGTACGGTGCCCTAGTTCTATTCGAGGACCAACTGATCCACATAGTGGAGATAAGTTACACGGCACTGATACTGACCGAACTGATAATGGTGGCGCTCACCGTGGTCACGTGGCATCGGCTCATGATCGCGGCAGAGTTCGTCAGTCTGCTCATGTATACCGCCACGTTGCTCATATTCACATCGTACTTCGGTAAGTCCTACCCCCCAACCCCCTTCCTTACTAGTGATAAAAAGGCGTTGCGGCCGGTGCGTGCCAGTGGACGTTCACCTTTAGCCGCTAGAGTCTAGGGTTAGACTTCTCTGGATCCGTAGTAAAGTTAAGTGACTTGTTGTTTTTGGTGGGCGCGTACGTAAAATTAGCCAACATCAAATATCGGAGTGCCTGAGGGGAGGAGGAGGAGGCGGTCCGCCCTGGGCCTCCAAATGGCTACAAGTTCCCTTGGTCAAATCATAAATTGGTGTTGTATTGCCTTATCTTTCGTATGTCTAATTTACGATTCTTTCGTTTTTTTTTTTGTTAATCAAGTCATTTTCCATCAAAAAAAAACATAAGATTTTACTTTAGTAATCACATATCAGTTATCGGGCTATCGATGTTACTATTTTCGGCGCGAAAATATTCAATTTACTATTACATCACCTTTTCCTCTGAAAGTGCTTTAATTTTTTATTTAGTCTTTAGACAAATTTCACAAGTTAATATTACCCCAGTCCAAAGATATAAGCAAAAGAATCAGCCGGTGCGAGCTCGTCTTCCGCGATTCACTGGTCGCTCACCAAGGGTTAAAGATATTTTACATATGGCAGAAGGGAATGAAATAGTGTATGGAAAATTTGAAGGGGTAGGATCAAAACAAGACTGATGTGAGGCCGCTCTTATAGTATTAATAGAGCGACGGGTGCCACAAATCTATCAAAAGTCGGTCCAAAACACTAATATAATTCTCCATCTTCCCCTTTAGATGCGGACTTCTTGAGACAATGGGACTTTTGGTGGAAAGTGACGACAATAACTGTTGTATCGTGCCTTCCTCTCTACATAGTTAAATACATGCACAGAAAGTGGAGCGTGCGCCAATATAAAAACATTCAAAAATGATCTATGTTTACTTCGACTTTAGGCTTATTTACACTGCACAATCTTCTCTTAAGATTAATATATACTCACTGTTTCTATGTTACACATACTCAAAGTAAAATCTGTCCTATGTATAGTCACAATTTGCAAAGTCGTGTTAAATTAATATTTTATAAGAAGTGAAAAATAAAACATTTGTTGGAAGGGACCGTATGGAAATTTAAAAAAATATTTGTGTTCAATTTAGTATAATTATGATTATTTTTAGTGATGTGTCAGCAGACTGTAGGTAATTATCGAATTAAATATATCTTTATCATAGCGAAACGAGTATTATACAAGGAAAAGACATAGTTGATAATCAAAATCGTATAGTAAGAATGAAACTGACTCAACTCTAAAAAATAATGTATTCTACAGTACCCACTACCATTTTTATAAATTTGCCATCTGCAAAATTCATCTTTGCAGAATAAAACTGTCTAAAGCTAGTACCCACCACTTGAAAAATAGAACTTAAGTGAATTATGTTAAGATTTTACTTGTAGTACTTTATAACTCATGACTGTCAAGCGAGGTGTGTCATATCGACCAATAGCAAATGAGTACGACTCGCGTGCCAACACGGACTGCTATGATTGACTAAAACTTAATTAAACAGCTTTAAACATGTTTATATATACTCCATTCACTATAACGATACGATTTTAACAATTATGAATAAATAATAGTCTAACAAAATTAAAAAGCTGTACTACCGAAACGTTTGAAAGGGTTAGGCAACGTTTTAAATTTGGTAGAGTTATAGTAACATGAGAATCGTGCCGAAACTATCCAACCCTGCTTCTTTAGGTTCTTTACGATGAACACTTTTTATTGTAATATTTATTAAATCATTTAACTTAGTCATTTAACTTACTCAATCTTCTACATTTGTTTAATAGATAGCTTAAACGACAACCGTTAAGTATAGCAGCTGGTATTTAAGTGAATATGCAGCAAATTAGCCGTCAGTCTTAAAAGTAACATAATTATTGATATTTTGTCACAAAGTATACCATAAAAAGAACCTTATTTAACTTCTGTCTAATGCTATAATGAATGGAGTATAGACTATTTAAATAGGAGTAGTTGATCAAAAAGCTAAATACTGTTTGTCTAAAATTCAAATTGAGTCGGTTTCACTCTCGCTGTGCGACTTATTTAAAATGGAAAGTAAAGGTTTATCAATAATGATTGTGTTGTTTCAATATAAATATTATAGTATTACAGTACTAAAGCAAACATAATATGTTTACTTAAACGTCAGTTAAAAGTTTTGTGTTAATAATATAAAAAAATGAATACATCACGTACAAAATGAAAGCATTTTGTAAACAATGGATTGTTAATGTATAGTCTAGATCTAGATTAACCGTTTACATTATTTTTGAAATTAGGTATTTAAAATCTCGTTTTTATTAAATATTTTTATCGGTCATAAACGTTTAATATGTACCTAAACCAGTGCTGTTTCCATAGCGATGGCTAATTGATTATATCAAATAATAAAAATGAGTATTTGTATTGTTTAAGATCGATAGCGTCGCATAATTTTCCCTAAAGTTTTACTATAGTACAGAGTCACTAGTTTCAAGTTAATTCTCTCGATAGGTAGTGTCAATGTAACTATCGATAACGAAAGTATCGCTATTGTAACAACACTGCTTTAATCAACTCTACATCTTTATTGACCGTTTACTTTTGTTGAAATATTGAATTATTACTGTGTGTGATTTCCGACAAGACAAAAGCCAAGAGTATTTATGAATATTAACACTCCTGCATTATTATGTACGTATTACAACCAAAGACTTATATGTAAACTACTAAACAAGCTGTTGGTTCTCTGAAATTTGGAACTTCTGGTTTGATATCCGTCATTATTGTTCTCAAAAATAATTTTAATCTGATTGATATTTTTTTCAAAAATCGGCATCGTCTACTACGATATCAGATTACATATAGATTCTAGTAGTAAGCAAAATTGCAATAATATTACTTTTCCGATAGTATACCTATTGAACAACCAATATCTGCTGGTTGTGTAATATGCTCACAGAACATATGTTTTGTCAGAATTTAAAAGAATATTCGCACTTATATAACTTGAAATCAAATAGACGAAATACACACGTAATTAAGGACAACCAACGGTGTATCAATCTCATTAGGAAATAAATACTAACCGTTCTCTTCGAGTTGACCTTCGGCAACTGATGACGTCATTACATCATAGGTACATCAACTAGTACTGTCGATAAAGAAATGATACTTCTATTTTAAGTCAGCTTAACATTCCATCAGTTAAAGACAAGTTGAGACCTTAACAAAACAACTATATTTATAACAAAAATAAAAAATCATAAAAAAACAGAAATAATAATAGCGACCAACACGGACAGACATACGCGATTGCGTTGCTATCGGTACTTACAGGGTCGGCTTTTATTCAGTAATATTCGCGTATCGCAGAACGATATTGGTACATATTCAGTTCCTCTTCTGTCAGCTGCGTACAGCTAGTTGTTTTATGAGCCACGTACAGCGTGGTAAGGTTCTGAATAGCCGTCATAGCATGTTATCTCCACTGAAGGGCTTTTGTTTACCGCGTACGGCGCTGGAAGAAGCCATACGCTACGCTAAACTATTCATTATCTTCTAGAAACAGCTCTGAACTCTATCTATAGCATTTTTATGATAAAAAAAACATTTGTCCTCGTTTTATGCTCAACGGAGAAGTACGTATCTCTATGGACAGAAGCTGTATAGAGCTAAATAAATGTAATTAGTCTCTTAACCGCTTTGCTAGCTCACTTACAAGCGACTATTGATGTGTTGTGTAGTTACAACCTTTTTGGCAAGTAAGTTTTGGTAGTATACATCCAAGTTTTTGATTACTATTTCCTTTTAATCATGTTTATATGCAATTCCATAGTTATAAGTTTATTATTAGTTAGTTTTACAAGGTACAAAATGTGTTATAAATGTGATATAAATTTATTTTAAATTATGTTAGCTAAGTGTTTATATAAGCGTGTATTGCCTCGAATTTGAATACAGGTATAATGACATTAAACTGTAGTTTGGAATCAGCCCCCTAATTGTCTAATTTTAAATCTATTGCAATCGCTTTCAGTTTGAAAGGTGTTGCACAACCATTGCTGCATAATACAAATACTTTTTTTTCAACTGTCTTCAGAAACAAGCAATGGTTGTGCAACACCTTTCAAACTGAAAGCGATTGCAATAGATTTAAAATTAGACAATTAGGGGGCAGATTACAGAGCGTGTATATAAAAGAAGAGCGTGCATCTATATAAAAAGGCGGAAACACATTTTTTGTCGTATTGTGTTATTATGACGTGACAGAAATATATCCGTTTCATTCTAATGTATGAAATAACATGTGACGAAGCATAAATTTGTTTCCACCTTTAATTAGTCGATAAATATTTTGTTGTAAAATGATTATTTATGGAAATGTAAAATAAACGTTTATCGAGAATCTAAGTATGTTTTATTATATTTTGTTGCCTTTTGTATTGCACAGTCCTATAAATGCAAAATGAAAACAGGTTTTTTATATTAATAAATATTAATTTATTGCTTACAAAACTTAAATAAATCTTAAACAATCAACATGTCTTATACAATAAAATTAATAAAATGCTTATGTAAATTAATCACTAATAAAAAAAAGTTACCTACGCGAAGGCGGTGTTGTAAAGGAATTGATGTCAAAGTCCGTAGTGGTGGTAGATGGGATATTGTTTTGGGCGGCAGCGGCGTGTTTGGTGACCACGCGACGAGCCCAAGCCAGATCACGGGAACTACGCGACTTTCGACTCGGCGTCTTGGAATATTCCGAAGTCGCGGTACGGTCTGACGACGTGCTCGCAGAACCAGTCCACATAGACTCGCTAGCATGTCGATCTAGATAAGTCCTATCCGAATGACTGACGGTACTCGTCGTGTACATCCTTGTCGAACTCTTCTCGTGCTGAGGTTTCTTTTCTATCCTCAACTGAGATATTGACGTTTGCAGTTCCGGTACATTCTTGTGATGTTTAGATTTCTCAGTTCTACTTTCAATAAAAGGCTCGTCACTCACTATTCGCTTCGAAAGTGGTGGCGAATCAGTCTCTGAGCCCTCGTTGCCGCTCATTATGATCTCCATCAATTTCTCTGTATTTTCATTGAAGTCGTAAACGCATTGAGTCTTTACGGAGCCGTGCGAAGACTTTGTTTTAGTTCTAGATCTTTTGTAGCGCTTGCCATCATTGTCGTTGCTGTATTTAGTCTGCAGCATAGACGGGAATGTAGTGTCGACTGTTGCGTAAGTTACTTCCTCTTGACGACTTCTCTTCGTACGACCTGTGCACTGACACCACTTATCACTTCCGAATATATAATTGTAACAAACTTGAAGCATACATATCAGCAGAGCCGCCATGAGAACCATACCTACGTAGAGCGTAGGTGTCCAATCGGCATTGACGGTGATGTAAGACTCTGATAAAGCTCTCCACGGATGCCATTTTGATATTCCTGAATCTTGATATTCGAAGAGATTCCTTCGCGACAACCCTTTGCCGTAACTTTGAACGGCAGCAGCTACTCTCAATACGCCACCAAATGCAGCGTATAGTTTTTCATCTAAGAGATGCGGAGCGATGTCTCTCTTCATCCAGTGCCATAATTCGTTGTTGAAATTAACAAAATCAGGATGTCGGCACTTTTGTGGGGAACTGCGAAGTATACACCTTGTAGCAGACGTGTAATATTTTAATAGGATGTTCTCAGAATGCGGTGAAGTCAAACTGACTAGGCCACCGACGTTGAATGGAAGAGCGATTGCCGATGGTTCATTATGGTCATCGAGTTTGGGTGTCGGTATGTTAATGCAAGAATTAGAATCTCGTTTAGTTATCAAATACGCGCAAGGGTCCAATAGTTTCCCAGAACCGATGAGAACTTTAGCGACAGTCATGTTTGACCACCGTGGTACCTTTTCCGGCTCTCTCCAACCCAAGCCCTTAGTGTTAAGAATGGTCTTCGAAGATTCATAAAAGTCATGAATTTGTCTGACATGTTTATACGACACGTATCCAGCGTAATAAGCGAAGCGTACAGTAGGAAGCATTTCACTACGTAGATGTCCACCAATGGCATCAAACAAAGCCTGCTTCAGTAAGTCTCTCAACTGATCGTCTGACACTGACTGCTTACTTATACGCACAGCTCCTTTATAATATCGTAGGGTTTCTTTAATGAATTTATCGTTAACCTTATCCGGTGTAACTTGTGGAGGGATAATTCCTTGGAATAGTTTACGAGCACTCAGTTTCATCAGTTCATCCTCAGTCCAACATTCTGTTTTCCCCCGTCTGTTATAAAATATCGTACTACCCACATTAGATGGTTCAATGATTACTATATTCAATATAATTAGTAACACCGTTAAACATAACATTGAATGCGTCTAACGATACAGTAAATAAAAAATGATAAATTGTACAGTATGTGTGTAATGTCCACCATTTATGATTTCCTTAAAATTTTCCTCTAATTTTCATAAAATCTATGATCTAAAAAATTTTTTTCTCTATGCTTTTACAGGCGGTACAGACTCAAACCGAGAAGTCTCGCCGAGCTTTCTTGGCAAAAAGCAATATAAAGGAATGAGAAGACGAGAAACATAAAGCATATCCCATTCTCGTGTCTTATCTCGGGTGTTCTCGGGGCTTTTCGGCGTGAGTGTAAGGCCTTTAAGGGCATAGTAAGTATATCAAAAGCACACAAAGATATTAAAAACACCATAGTACCAGATCAATATCTGTGATCAAGAAACTTATATATTTTTATGCTTCTTGTCTTGGATCATAGAACACTTGCCCATATATTTTATTCGTAGCCTACTTTAGTTGTTAATCTGAAGCGTTGTCTCACGACATGGTTACGACCTCACGACCTTGTGTATATTATATTATATAATCTATAATCACAACACAAAAATAGGATAATGATGCTTTGATGATAATAACATTTATGTACTTCGTTAGTCACTTGTATTCCTAAACGAATACCCGATTTAAATCAATATTTTTAGAAAATCGAATCAAAACAATGTGATCTAACGACTTTTTGAATCGATTCAATAGAATACGATCAAAGGTCAGCAGATCGGTCCGTAAAAATCAGAACCTGAATTTGAATTCACTCAGGTTTGCTTAAAAATTCATAACAAGATTGATTGATTCATACATATCTCAGATATTCTATCCCTATATCATTTAGAAACTTACTTCAGTTATGCCACGAAACATAAGTGTCAATTCAATGTTAAGCCGATGTCGCTTTCGAAGTGAATGAATCCTGAATCTTGCCTGGAAAATTGATTATATAATTGTACCCATAAAACACATACAATGATATAAAATCGATGTATACAGAGCGAGTGATTATCCAAAAGCAAAGTAAGTCACTCCTACCTCTTTTCTTTTTTTATGGACAAATTAAAATATCGATACACATACCGAGTATGTTTTGAAAAATAACGATTTTTTGACAGACTGAAAAGTTTGGCACACAGGCTTATTTTCTGATAATTTGAAATCGTAAAATGTGGCAAAATGTTTCAGTTGTGTCCTTACAGAAGTTTGCGATAGATTTAATAAAATAACGTCAACTTTTAATACCAAACGGACTCACGTTACTGGTATGGTGTGAGCATTAAAATATAATCTATCTATTGTATAAACTTAAACATGTCCAGAGTAAGTAATTAATTATGCTTTGATAATATTTATAATGGTTATCAAGGGTTTAGTTTAAGTATATAAATTTAATAAGAACGACTAAAATAGACCTGATATTGGTAATATTAAATATTTAGGAACCGCAACATACAAAAGAATAGTCTGTTGTAACCAATTTATTTATAATGTTTTGAATACAACGCATGACATTACTGCTATCTGTGAAACTCTAAATAGTCAAAGATCAGTCGATTATTTGTTACTATAACATGACAATCAGCAAATTTTACAACTATGTTATTCATGTTATAAGAGAGCTACACATTCTTTTTTACGCATTTTTTAATCAACATCAGTTATTTTAAAATTATGTTATAAATTATAGTTTTTCAAAAAGTCCAAAATAAAATGTATTTCTAATTGATTTATACTAATTTAATCTATATGAATGTGCGACAATTGTGAACCAAAGATTTAGTTATCTATAATATATTTTGTCAGAGTTCTCTGTGTATAGTTTTACTAATTGTTGTATTGCTACCAGTGTAATTTTATTTCAATATTGTAAAGATTACTTACAATATTTTTTTTTTTGTGTAATTTTTGTGTAGTTTTCTATGCTAATATTCTAAAGAGAGAACAGAATAAACTTTTGTTTGTCTAAATGTTAGACTGATTTTAATAATTATTTCACCATAAGGTAATTTTAAAAAAAAATATGTAACCCACTGCACTGGTTACATAAGCTTTATTTTATTTTTAAAAATGCAACATAATTCTACACATCTACTTCATAACATTAGTCTTATATACTACATTTGTTATTGTAGGATATAAGATCATTCTTTGTTTCAAAAAAAACTGGAAAGGTCAAAGTTGAAGAGGATGATGATGACATTATACCAGAGTCCCCAGATGTTCAGATCAAAAATAAGGTAATAAATATAAATTTTAGATTGTAGTGTAAATGATCGGATAGTAAGATTTCTTATAAAATTTTAAATCATAGTTCTAACCAAACATTGTTTACTTTGTTAAAAACAAAACAACATTCATATTTTCTAAGTCTTCTTTTTACCAGAGCCCCTTTACATACACTCTGACCACATGATAAATATGTATTTATGTGTTAGTATTTTACTGTTTACATAGAGGAAGATTTTAAGTCATTGTCATTTTTTTATCCTTTATAGAGCCTATTTTTGATAAAAAAGATAGGTATGTTCCTTTGAGATTTTTTTTCTGGTAACTTCAATATTTTTCTATGTTTGCCAAATATAATGTAAACTCTTATAATAATTTATGCTGTAAATCATTTACATGATAAGATATAGCACTGCGACTGAACAGAGAAAGTTTCATGCAATGAGCCAGCACTACGTATCTCTTTCATTAGTGCACAAACATTTTGCTTTTGTGCTTGCATGGATGCATGTAGCCAGATATAGTAAAATGAAACTAAAATCTTTGAAAATGTTCAGAGTTCTTTCTGTTCCACAACTGACCTATAGCAATAGAGGGTGAAATTAAAATGAAATCTGGATAATTTTTTAGTTTTGAATAAAAGATTTTATTATCATCAGCCTTTTTTCATCCTCACTGCAGGGGCTCAAGCTTTCCTTATGGATAGTTCAGGAGGATAACCCTCCATGCAGATTGGAGGGTATTAACAATTAGATTGCAGATGCAGCCAGGATCAATGGCTTAACATACCTTCCAAAGCAAGGAGTAGCTCAAGATAATAATTTTTTGTTCACCCATTCTTAACGTAATCCCATCGTAACTGACCCTTGATAAAGTTGCTTAGCAACAATGATCGAGGATTGCAACACTACACCACTATGCCATTGAATTAAACCACCACAAAATGGATATGAAATGAATTGATTTTTTTTTAATCTGATTTATGTTTATAGAAAAAGAAATCAAGTAAGAAGAGAGTTCTGTCTGACTCTGATGAAGAGATAATCGAATCAAAGAAAAAGAAAAGTAGTGTCGAACCAGTGAAGTCTGCATCGAAAAATAAATCACCCCATAAAAAAATTAAAGAAGTTAAAGCTTCAGATATATTTGGAAGTGGTCCAATAATACGGACCGATCCTATAGTGAAGAAAGAAAAGAAACAAACTGAAACTGGAATTCACTCTGATGATGATTTTGAAAAAAGCCTATTAGAGATTGATGCTATTGAAGAATCAGCACAAAAAACATGTGAAAAAGAAACATCAAGGGAGTTAAATACCTGTGATAGTGAAAATCAAGAGCTCAAGATTGTGAAAGAGTCTCCAAATAAAAATAAGGAACATACAAAATCAATAAAAGAAATTGAAATTAAAACTGAGAATATTATTCCAAAGTCTAATAAATCCAAAGTCAATGAAAATAAAAGGAAGTTTGCAGATTTTATTGATAATAATGAACATAAAAATGTTGAAGAGAAAACTATTAAGAAGAATAAACAGGAAGATAATGTCAAAAAAATAGTAGTAGAACATGTGAAAAAAGAAACTGAACTTAATGAGAGTCAGGCATTTGATAATAGCTTTATTAATAACACACATGATAGCAATAAAAAGAAAAAATCTAATAAATCTTTAAATGAATCAGGTAAGGTAAACGCCATCCGTAACCGAGTGGTTAGCACGCCGGTTTCAAGGTGTCGCTATCTCTGAGGTCCTGAGTTCAATTCCCGGTTGGATCAATGTAGAAAATGAACTTTACATTGATCTGAGGGCCTGGGTGTTGTATTACCTTTGTTGCCTCAGATATTCCATGATAGGGACTTTAGGTACTCATCTTGGAGTCTGAGCAATGTATGTGATTATTGTCTAATATTAATAGTACTTACAAATCAAATAGAAAAAAGTTGAGATAAAATGTGACAAGACAATGATTCTTTTCAGTATTAACAGATGAGGAGAGACACGAAAGGAGATCCTTTAGTGCTGCATTGTATCAACAATACTTAAATAGATCTGGTCCAAAACATATTGGCTCCAAAGAAATGCCTGAGGTATATAGTAAATGTTTTTACCTAAAATATATTATCATGTTGATAGGTTTCAGTTTGTCAATATTCACTTCTAGTTTGAAGAATAAGTAAGTAATCTATTTGAATGAATCTAATTTTCCTTGTATTTTGTTTAGGGCTCACCTGATTGCCTTAAGGATTGTGCATTCCTCTTAACTGGTGTTTTAGATTCTTTTGAAAGAGAAGAAATCACAGACGCTATTGTCAAATACGGCGGATGTGTCAAGAATGGTATAAGTAAAAAGGTGAATATTAATTGAAGTGTAAAGTATTCAATAAGTTTTGCATCTTGAGTGCATTTTTTAAATGCTATATCTTGTAGGTGACACATGTACTGGCGGGTGAAGATGCTGGCCCTGTTAAAATGGCGAAAGCTCAAGAGTTAGGTATTAAAATAATTAACGAAGATCAATTCCTACAAATGATAAGAGATTCTATTAATAAAGATGTGCCAAATAATAGAAAAGAAACAAAAGATGAAAAAACCCCGAATGGAAAAGCAAAAGCTGATCACAAAGCAACAAAAAATAAAAAACTTGAAAAGTCAAGTAATGAAGAATCAAATGGGAAGTCGACAAAAAATAAGATGAAACATAATAAATCAAGTGATAAACATAGAGATGAATCTAAGAGCCCACATCGAATCAATAATGACTCAATAGAAAATAATGTTACAAACAAAGAGAAATCGGAGTCACCTGTCAAAACAGACAATGTAAATGGTATGGAAGATCCATTAATTTTATTCTTACAACACTCCATTGTTGAAAATTGGCGTTGGGCAACCCTAATATTAAGAAAACAAATATTGTCTTTACTAGTTAGAAAAATTAATATGGCGTTTAAAAATAAATTTCGTATATTTTCATAGCAAAATTATTGTTAAGATAAAATGGATTATCTTAATTTTTTTATAAAGTTGGCACAAACGTCATTCTAGCAAAGGCGTCATCTCAATTCGTCTGACGGTGCCTATATTGCTTTTTGTTTAATGTATTCTGTTTCTGCTCTATAACAAGTACCTCAGAATGTTTATACGATTTATTTATAGGAGCTGTATTAGAATCATGTGGAAGTATAGAATCTACTACACCCAGCATAATGTGGGTAGATAAGTATAAGCCTCAAAACTTAAAACAAATTATTGGTCAACATGGTGATGCAAGCAATGTTAAAAAGTAAGCTTTTCGTATCAAAACTATTTATAGATATATTGACTCTCGCCGTAGTGTCCGTCCTGAGTAGCTCGGTGGCGTAATGGATAACCGCCGCGCCCCGTGATCGTTATCGTTAAGCAACTTTCGCGAGGGTCGGTCACGGGATGGATGACCAAAAAATTATTATCTCAAGCTACTCCGTGCTTCGGAAGGCACGTTAAGCCGTTGGTCCCGGCTGCATTTGCAGTCGTTAATACCCTCCAATCCGCATTGGGCCAGCGTGGAGGGTCATGGCTCGTCCTCCTTAACCATCCATAAGGAAAGCTTGAGCCCCTGCAGTGGGGACGTAAAAGGGCTGACGATGACTCCCGCCGTATGCCTTGCAGAAATAACCAAACGCCTCCTCTATTTTCATTACTCTTTACATATGTACAGCAATACTGTTTTTTTGGCTTCGGTAGCCCACTTCTAATTTTAAAATATATCGCAATCTATTTCAAAGATATAACGAATGTGATAGAGATTTGTGGAATCGTTTAAAGTCACATTCGGGTCCATCCATAAATTACGTCACACAAAATTCAGGATTGTTAACCCCGAATGACACCTATTTATCCATATAAATACTACTAATATAGGATAGACTGGTACTACCAAACTGCAGAACTGAAATATGCAAGAGAAACTCATATGCTATGTGCGTTAAAATATTTAATAACTTACCTGAAAATTTTAAGAAATTGCCGCTATCGACATTTAAGCGTGAACTGCACCAATGGCTACAGCAAAAGTGTTTTTATTGTATCAATAAATATTTAGACAAGAGACATAAAATTTGACATTTTAGCTAATTATAATAAATGATAAATATGAGTATCTCCAATTCGCAATATTGACATTACTATATTATGAATCAATTAAACAAATGACATAAAGATTTGAATTCATTAATTATAATAAATTATAAGATGCTATATCCGTAAATTTATTATTAACATTGTTAATTGTATTAAGATTGTATGTGTGATTCTGATTGCTTATTTTAATGGTATCTGATGGACTTGCTAATTGTTACATATTATGTTTGTATGACTATTAATTTAATAATTATCATTTTTAATATTATTTGAAAATTTTTGCATGCTATTTATAGCGAAATGTGCCTGAACTATTATTTTGCTAATATCTTTATTGTAAACCGCATTTCTAGCAAATAAATTACTCATTACTCATTAAATATTGTTCAAATGTCACAGTTTGTCGACCCCCCCCCCCCCTCCCCCTCCGCATGCCTTATATGTTTTCAATCAACGTCGTTTATTCAATATCTTCCAATTAGATAATTAAGTCCCCTGACTTCACCTTCCAGCAATTTCTACATCGATCCACTTTCGCGTTGTTTTACATCAGATTTTATCAATATATCGAAATTTTCAGACTATGCAATTGGTTATCAAAATGGTACCTAAACAGAAAGGCAAAACTGCCCAAGCCCAGTCCGTGGGCAAAAAACGACGATGGAGGTTACTACAAAGCGGCTCTACTATCGGGGCCACCTGGAGTGGGTAAGATATTAGTATGTTAAAGACATGAGTTCTTAAACAAGTGAAATTAGATTTTTTATTCATAAAAAGCTGAATTTACATGTTCGAAGTGCTTAAATTTTGGCAGTCAATTTTGAACTTAATTGTTATCAGTTTAAAGTTGAAAATAGGTAGAAGTGAATATATTTGTGAGGTTGAATGTTATTATTACTAATTAATCGCGATTGCGTGGTGAAGTCACGATCCTGTACATTTGTCCAGGATCGTGGCTACACTGCCACGCCCACAAGGCCCTTCTATCGTCTTTCTGTGTTCTGTGGTTATACTTACGTACGCTAAATATGTTTATGATTGACTTAAGCTATTGAGATAATAGTGCGATTTTAAGTTTCAAAATCAGAATGTTTTAGTACATAAAAGTAGAATTCCAATTTTCCTTTTATGATTATAAATGCATTTTCTAATTGGGGTGCATTGTATAAGACGTCCGTTATTTCTGTTACACATTGTAAAAATTGTTCATAACAGGAACCTGTATTTTCAGTCATAGGAAACTTAGCTTTTAAAAAGGGCATCTTACAGGAAACTTATCTTTAAAAATGACATCTTACAGGTAAGACAACGACCGTATCACTCGTGTGTAAGGAACTAGGCTTCGATATGGTGGAATTTAACGCGTCCGACACTAGGAGCAAAACCCTCATCAAAGAACAGATCACCGAACTGCTCACTACCAACTCCCTCTCGGGATTTGCTAGAGGTGAGTCTATTGATACTTATCGGTGGCAAAGAGAAACACTCGCACTTAGTATAAAGTATTAAATCCTATCAAAGTGCCATCTAGTGTCATTAAGTGAGGCTAAATGAAAAGATACGTGTTGCTTCTGCTGTGATTTTTAAAATGGCGTCGTGAAAGTGAGTAACTTTTATACATAAGGAACGGTCAGAGCAATTTCTTTTATATTGTCTCCACTGAATGCAGTCTAAAAACATATTTTCACAAAAGATTCATAATTTACGGAACACTAAAACTATACATGTATTACATTGAAAGCTAAGTGTGACAACAAATAATTTATTAAAAATAAATATCATTGACATTATATGGCACAGGTTATTGTTTCCTAAACTGGGTTATTATTACCCCTATCTATAGAAACACCCAGGATCTATAGAAATACGTCAAAAATCGGGCGACATACTTTAAATGAAATTTGGCCTTAATTATAAGATTCTTTATTACCTCCACAGAATAGCCAATTAAACCCCGCTAGGTTGGGAACCACTGACTTAAGCGGTGCCGTCGCCTCTCCAAGAAACATCTGTGCCGATTGACCATCTCTAATAATTTTCACATAAATAAAGTCATACATAATGTTTATGTTACATAATGTAGTTTTAGGTCCTTTTGTCCTTTATTCCACATGGTGCAATAAATTATTTATTTATCTCTATACAGGTAACATTGGAAAACAGGCGATGACAAAGAAACATGTTTTAGTTATGGATGAAGTGGATGGTATGGCTGGCAATGAAGACAGAGGTATGGTATAAATGATTTAACCACCAAACAAACACCCCACAAAAATAGGCCATTAAATAAAAACACTTTCTTGTTTAAAATTTAAACATTTTTTAATATCTTCAAAACGATGTCCCAAAGAGTAAATATAGTATATATTAGAGAAAATAAGTCCACTCTGCATATTTTTTGTCATACTATGTAGTAGCATTGACACAGGATTACCGAGTTAATTGTTTGTGGGTGTTACTGTGTCAAAATTTCTAACAATATGGCGGGACGACTTAAAGGCCGAATATTCAGATTTTTTTCATCATTTAATAATCTTTCTTAATAAATAAGTTTTTATTGTAAAGGTCCATTATGTAGAAGCGCACTCAGTGACGTCTAAATGAATTATGGACTCCGGTGCCTAGTTATAAGGTTCGTTTCTGATTAACAGGCGGTCTCCAGGAGTTGATAGGATTAATTAAGTCTACATCGGTGCCGATAATATGCATGTGCAACGACAGGAACAGTCAGAAGATGCGATCTCTTGTCAACTACTGCTACGATTTGCGTTTCAACAGGCCCAGGCACGATCAGATTAAGGTACACACACATAAGACAGATACACAGATGCCGTTACCTAACCATATTTTCTTTATTACCCGAAGGCATATTAAATTATTGCTAGGTTAGAAATTCAGACATTAAAATCCTTCATACTCTCTATAGGTTGTCATAATCTTAGTTATGCGGAAGCGTGAATGGGTCTTATAACATTGATACATTGTCGTTTTAGCGCCGAATTTAAAATGGAAAACAATAAATTTTTGGTAAAAGTAGTTCAAGTTATACGCGGTGCTGTGACTGTATTAACTAGAGCGGTGAACGATCCCATAGTGTTGTGAAGTGTCATTAGTGACGTGCAATAGTGAAGTTGAAGTGTGAATTTTGTAATTAGATTATATTTGTATTTTTTTAAAGTAAATAAAGTAGGATTGTGAACTATAAATTGGCGTTAATTTCGATACCGGACCCCAAGTCGTGACAGTAGTAATGTGGTGTCAATACACCACAAAAAAAAACAAAATAATTTTTTTTTTATCCTATGCTGTATTAAATGCTTGAGCATAAATGCTCGATTGGTAAATTAAAGGTGTTCAAATTTATACATGTTATGGAAGAGAGGGTCCTCCAGATACAGGCATCTTAGTATGGACCAACTACTACTATACGACGATGGAAAGCAAACACGTAGTAACCCGCAAAACCAAAATTCAGAGCAGAAAAGATTTTATTTTTTTCGACAAACAATTCCTATAAACGTCCATTTTCACAAATAAGGTGTTCCTTAGTAAATTTATACGGAAATAAGATATATTCTTTTTGGAAAAATATAAAGATTTTCCACTTTAAATATCCATTTTGGTTTTGCATGTTACTACGTGTTTGCTTTCCGGCGTCCATATGTACCCTTTAAAATAAGAATTAAAAAAATAAATTAACCATCGATGACGATGGTTCGGACTCCATTTTGTCTTGATAAAAATCTTTGCTATTCGATGTTCAATTCGGGGGTCACCAGTATGGCAGTAGCGATGACGAAAATAAAACTCCCAATAATGTACACGATTTAAAAATAACTAAATATATTCACTATCTTACAAACACAATTGAATAAAATTTGTTTATATACATTTTTTAATTTTCCAATCTTAAAAATATAATATTGAGACAAATTCAGATAATTATTCGAACAGAGAGTATATATCAATATATGTATTGTATATTCTTTTTATTATTACTCTTTATAATTGCCAGAGTGTTTCAATGATCTATGATGATGAACTCTTTACGCGAATGTGTAATGTCTATGTTAGTGGTGAATATATGTAAATAAATAAATATGGAATGTCGTGTGTACGTATAGTGAGTTACAAACGAATAAATATTTTTAATTTTTTTTTTCCAGTCGGCTATGATGTCGATATGCTTCAAGGAGGGCGTGAAGGTGCCCCCGGCGGCGTTGTCGCAGGTGATAGAGGCGGCGGAGCGCGACGTGCGCCAGACGCTGCACCTGCTGTCCGTGTGGGCCGCCAGACCGGAGGCGCACATCGGCCACAAGGTCAAAGACGTCAGACTGGTACGATACCTTTATCTATATATTTAATTGAAAAATAATCCCTGGCACTCTGCGATGGAACTAGAACCCGTTACCTTTCGCAATCCGGGCAACTGATCTGAGCTATCCTATACAAACTTTCACTTTCATTTTCATCCCTCTATTTGCTGTTTTTCGGAATAAAATATAGCCTACGTTCACCGCATGTTATGTAGCTTCCCGTAGGTGAATCGGTTCAGTATCGGCCCAGTTGCAAACAAACCTCTTTATAATATTAGTATAGATAAGATATAGGTTATTATATTTGATCAATTTTGCATTCACAATGCTATATTGAAAATATTCTTAATGAAAAATACTTAAAAAATCCACTTTGTCCTTGATATTACTAGATATTGGCTACTACTGGATTTTATCCCGAAACAGCAAATAGAGGGATGAAAATGGAAGTGGAAGTTTGTATAGGGAATTAATGCGTTACTATGGTAACCATTGTTAACTGTTCAATTTGTCATTGTAATTATATCCGTGTGAATCGATATCCAAATAAACAGTTCCATAGGTAACACGCGGGCGAAAATTACTAGCTGACCCGGCGAACTTCGTACCGCCATATTTTATTATTTATTAAAGATCTGTCAGCCTGCTGTCATATACCGACAATCGCTTTTTGTATTAAATATTAAAAATTAATTCTAAAAAAGAGATATTTTTTTTATAAATTTTCTTATATACAAATCTTATCCTAACGATAAAGAACACATAAAAAAAGAATCATCCGATGTTATTGCAGCCATTCCGATTCATTTTTATATAGGTGCTAGCTTTTCGCCAGCGGCTTCACTAACGTAGCTAACGTAAACCCTAGGGAACTGTTTAGGATAAAATATAGCTTGCGACCACCGAGCGCCGTAGGTGAAATAATTTTTAAAATCTGTCCAGTAGATTTTGAGCCTATTCGTCGTTCTACTAACAATTAAAAAATGTAATCTTTTCTCTTTATAATATTATTATAGAAAAGTAAGATCTTTATAAATATATAGCCTTGTAATTAGAAACTAATAACGGTTGACTAATTACACATAGCTCTATTCACGTCGTTCCAATTAGATTTAGTTTTTGGGATTGGCTGGGTGTTGAGGTATCTCCGATGTTTTGGAAGGTGTGCAAAAGGAGGTGAAATAATAATACGGTTTCGTAATAAATGTCGGCGCGTGAGCATACGAGTGTGTTGCGTATCGATCCGAGCGACATGCGCTTCGCGTTGTGGTCAGTTTATCACTGGCGATCGGAGGGTCGCGCGCCGCCGGACTACCATTTGAATGTAAAGGAATACGTATAAAAACTCGAACAATAGAAGTGCGTAAGGCGGCTACTATACCGCGCCAAGCTATGTTCGTGCGTTATAATGCTATGCCAAAGATTTTATTAGATTACGTTCTTACTTATTTTGTGTGTATTATATTTAGATTTTATTTAATAAATATTTGTTATACTGTAAATATATAGATATAAGTTTTTATTAGGTTTTAGAATGTAAGTATAAATTGTAATATTATAATGGTAATAAAAATAATAGATATGATGTGGGTTGCCACAAGTTCAAGTAAATTATACATTGCTTATTGGTAAGGCCTTTAATAGACAGACACTGCATCATCGAGCTCCATTAATAGGATACGTATATATGCAAATATTATATTGAATGCTATTTTTAAATGGAAGAGTTGAATGTAGACTGCATTATTTCGACAGATTTAGTTTTGAACATTCAAATTATCTTTCTTTCCGAAAGCCATAACAGCTTTAAACATAGCATAAAGAAGCGTGAAGAATCACCTTGCAGGTGGCAAGGTGAGGTTGGCTAGTGCAGTACCTACGTACTGTTTTCACTAGCTGTCCTCGCGTTTGGACTACGCCTCCGCTTACCATCAGGTGGAGCGCAGTCATTTGCCCTTCTTTTTATAAAAAAAAAAAATCACAATCACTATACCTATGAAAGGGATTGCGATAGATTTTGAAATTGGACAATTTACCTGATTTAATTTTGAGAGTAGCTACTATTTTTTTTTAAACATGAACCTTTCACGGTATTTGACCAAGGAATCTCTAAAGCCGTCGATATAAGATATCTTTCCCAGGGTCCATGGGAGGTTACCAGGAAAGTATTCTCTGAGGAGGAGCACAAGACGATGAGTCTGCACGACCGCAGCGACCTGTTCTTCTACGACTACAGCCTCGCTCCACTCTTTGTCCAAGAAAACTACCTCCAGGTCACACCGCATTGTCCCAAGTATGTCTACCATTTAACTTACAGAAAAAAATACTTAAAAATTCTAACTCCATAATCTTTTGTTATCCTGGCGACCGCTTTAACCAAAATTCCAGTTTTGTTATTAAAAAATGTACGACATTTGAAAGCGTAGTCAGTAGTCAAGAAGAAATTAATGTTATGGCTTTGTAGATAGAGTTGAAATTGGTTATAAATATAAGAAAGTTTCGTCTCGTCTAAACGCGCGCCTAAAACATTTTTCTTCAGAAATATCTACGTTAATAGACCTTAGTTTCTGTTCTCATTTTGTCCCTTACTATTCAAAATGATTGTTAAAGCAATAGACCATTTTTTATGATACTGACAATCATAATTAGCCCCTTTACTTCCCCACTGCAGGGGCTCAGTTCTTCCTTATAGATGCTTAAGGAGGATAGGCAAAGACCCTCTACGCTAACCCGTTGCGGATTAGAGGTATTAACGACCGCAAAAGTAACCAAGACAGCTAAAAGTGCCTTCCGAAGCACGGAGTAGCTCGAGATAATAATTTTTGGTCACCCATCCCGTGACCGACCGTTGCGAAAGTTGCTGAACAAAATGGAGTTTGCGCGAGCCGCGGCGTTAATCCATTACGCTTCCGAGCTACTCTATGGCAATAAAGTATGCTATATTCACAATAACGTCGGTTTATTAGAAAGGAGATATTGGATCGCGTGAGTCAAGCAGCGGACAGTATCAGTTTGGGTGATCTAGTGGACGCGAGGATCCGCACCAACCAGGCATGGTCTCTGCTACCAATACAGGTATTTATTTACATAGATATAACATAGATAGATATAACCTGTACCATAAAAAAAATGCATAAAATTAAGACTACCCGCTTACTTACTCTTACAAAGCCTTGGTTGGCGTTGGCTGAAAGATCTCTAGTACAGATAAGTCCATCTTTGTTATATCTTTATTGACTTGTTTTATGTATAAACTAGCTGTGGCTAGAATGAAGATACTAAGCTATAATGAAGTTATGAAGATATCCATTACTACAAAATCCAATCTTAGCTTATCTTAAAAATAAACACTATGCGAAATTTTAGACTCCTAGCACTTGTAGTAATGAAGTTTAATGCAAAGTATCAATTCCTTACGGGTCAATTTAGGTAGACATCTTTTTCTTCCAAGCACCACCCCCACTCCCCCAGCCTCCTCCCTCCTATTTAGTAACAGGCCATTTCAACTCTAGTTAACACATTCATTCGAGTTTTGCTAGACCTACCTATCATACTACCACAGAACAGGTTAGAAAGGCGATTATGCATCCTTTGTACGAAAATCGATATCGCCAGTTTTGCCCCACTTTTCGTCCGCCATGCATCAGATAAAATGTTAGACCAATTATAAAATAGATATGCACACACTTGCATTTTAAACATGCCAATCAGAGCGCTCCAATGTAAAATAACCAATCACGCTTAACCGTAACATATATCTCGAATGCGTAAGAAACGTGTAAAAGTCATTTGACATATGACACTAGTATTACACTATTAGACTAGATTCACATTGATTTACCATTGATATTACCACCACAAGGCCCTTCTAATGTCTTTCTGTGTTCTGTGCATACTACCATTCCACATACTGCTTATTCTTTTGATTGCCAGCTTCACCGTCTATATTTGCAATTGATTCATTCATTTATTTAACTACTGGAGGGGGTTAATTCTTCACATTCCGTTATTTATTTCTTACTTTGACCTTGTTACAATACTTGCTTTATTAATTATTAAAATAACAGTTATGCCACGAACTTTGTAGCAAAACTGATCTTATAACGAGGGGTAGGGAAAAAAAAACAAGCTTCAAAACAAACTCGCTTTCTCTGTCCCTATATACCCTATGATTTTTTTTACATAGATAGGGTGATTCAAAGGGAAGGTTTTTATGTATAATACAATACCACGCGGGCTAAGCCGCTGGCGGAAAGCTTGTATTTGAATAAAGGTTATTTTGCTCGAATGGAATAGGGATGATGACTGGGTAAAAAAAATGCAATACTATTTAGTCCGTCAGTCAGATAATAGAAAAATATTAGATACGTATTTTTTTTTTTTACTTCAATTAAACAAGAAATAGCTTAGATAACAGGCATTAAAGTTGAGTGGGGGCTCGCTACGTCACAGTTGAGTAGAAAACGTACTCTAACGTGACGTCATGCGAAATTTCAACTCAATGTAACGCCGTAATTTTATGATTACGAAAAAAAAAATACGTGTTTAATATTTTTTAACACTCTACCCGACGGACAAATAAACAAAAATTAGTCATCATCCCTATTAGAGTAATGATAAAATATTTTTTTTGAACCGTTAGGCGATGTACTCGTCTGTGATGGCGGGGCAGGCGATGCGCGGTCACGTGTCCGCACAGATACAGTTCCCCGCGTGGCTCGGGCGGAACTCGCGCGCCAACAAAATGAAGCGGCTGTGCCAGGAGATACACGCGCACACGAGACTCAGGTGACCGTACTGACACTTGGCTAATATATTTATTTATTGGTTAACCGCTGAACAATACTTTTACTGACACCTTATTCGAAACTCCAGACCTTTATAAGTGGATCCAATACGGGTGTAGACAGTAAAAGAAAATAAATAAATATATATATATTTTTTTTTATGGTAGTGTTTAATGTGTACTATTACCGATAGTCACACTTTTATGCTTATTATATTTATAATATTGCTTAAATTAATTATGAAGTAACAAATATTTTATACTCGTTGTCACGTGACCGCAAACAGCGCATGATGTCACGTTCCCTCTCTTACATATATCAGTAGTTAGAGAATTCATCCTTTATAGCACAGGGCTTGAAACCGAACGAATATTTTGTATTCAGAATAAACGGTTTTAATTTATGTAAAACCTGTTCTCTTGTAATGTTCCATTCTGGATCGGAACTGAATGTGGATTGAAAATGGAATGAAGACCGAACTATATTGTCTTTGAATTAACGTTCATATAAACGACTTATAAGTTTTATGGTGTTCAGAAATTCAGTGATTTCTATCCTAGGAACAATATCTTTCTAGTGATAAGTGAGGATAGTGTTGTAAAATGAATATTGTTTTTAAAATCAATTCTTTTGTTGTCATTAAAATAGCAATTTGGCCTACTATAGACACAGGCGTAAGTCTCTCTTTGTTCATACATCATAATTTCCCAGTTATACTAGAACTGATAATTGTCATTATTGTGATGGGAATTATATCATATGTTAGTCCGTGTGAGAAGAAATGCAGAGTAATAATATTTTTAATAATAATACTAAATCGATTGTTTATCTCCAGTACGTCCGGTTCGAAATCGTCAATATTCCTGGACTACTGCACTCATTTGCGCGACGCTATAGTGAACCCTCTGATCAAGGATCGTAACGACGGCATCGCCAATTCCATGCAAGTGCTGGAATCATACCACCTCTTGAGGGAGGACCTGGACTCCCTCACTGAATTGTCCCTGTGGCCAGGGCAGAGAAATCCGATGCTGTTGATCGATTCCAAGGTAACACTCTACTATTATTACCGTTGTTAGTTTATTCGTCAGGGATGTGACAAATAATCGATTAATATAAAAATCGGTATACATCGATTGTTAGCTATATCGGCAGCTATATTAGATTACTACAAAATGCCATTCTGCACTCGATTTCAAGCCTTAATCTATTGATAGTTTAAAATTTATTGATAGCTTATAAGTGGCTGTGCTAAAAAGGCTTCCGTTCCTTCATTGCTAATAAGTGTATAGTTTAAAATGTCCAATGATTCGCTTCAGATTTACTCATATCTATAAATTATTGTGACGGAAAATTTTGGTTTAAGTTTAGGATATATTCCAGAATAAGCCTAGTTTACTTTCTAAAAAAATTGGAGCGATAGGTAAAAGCAGCGATGACTCGCACGTACAACAAGTCGGGAACTGCGTTGCCGTACGCGCCGGGTACCATCAAGAAAGTTCGCACAAAAGACGACGGAGAACTCGGCGACGAACTCGACGACGAAACCTACGACGTTGACGGGGAAGAAGACAGCGATCCAGAAAACGACGTGCTTATTAAGGTATTATCGTCATCACCATATTGACGTCCCCACTGCTGGGGCACAGCGTTCTCAATGAATGGAGTCCTATTAAATCGAATAGGGAGGGTAAGTCATGACCAGTGGTCGGAATTAGGTAGAGTTATTCATGTACTTACACTGATTTCATACAGCGAAAGAATAAAGTGGATATGCCTCAAATCCCGAGATTAATTTTAGAGAGCATAAAAAATCCCGTGATTTTTTAAATAAAAAGTTATTTACTTTTACACAATTTAAACTACTGCTCGCACGACGTTGCCAAACTTACATCAATGACATCGGATGTCCAGAGTTGCAAAATACCAATACGCGCGATGTTGCCACATTTGTAGTTCGCATAACATAGCTTGTGAGAACAAAAGAATACAATAGCGCAAATGCGAAGCACTCCCCACATAACGTAATTTACTAGATTGTGTCTCTTTCTACCGCATTCAAACTATCTAAATCCTGGGAAGGTCCACATTAATATCAACATTTCGATGCAAGTACATAAATAACTCTACCTAATTCCGAACTCTGGTCATGACTCACCTTGCGGGTCCAGTGCGGGTGTTAACGACTGCAAATGCTGGTCTTGACAAATGACTCGTCAATGCCTGTTTAAGCACGGAGGAGCTCGTGATAATAATTTTTTGGTCACCCATCCTATGCCCAGCCTTGCGGCAGACCCTAAACTTTCGCATTGCAAGTCGAAAGCGCTAACCACTACACCATTAAGCTTCTCAATTAAGTTTTAGTATGCTCAAATAGACCAGCCAGAGAAAATGAAATGAACCATAGGCAGATTAGCGACGGGCAATACTTATTGATTCCTAAAATTAATTGACTTCTTTTGCGGCTTATAAAATCAGATATTGGACAAAGAAATATTACATGTGATATCTTCCTATTATATATCCCACCCGCTACAATCAGATTTCTTATCCTAGATGACAATCTATCCCCTGTGTTCCCATGGAGTCTCACGTGATGAAGATGAAGTTTCCCTAAACGCTAGTATAGGATGGACCAACACATTGATGTAAATATAATTACTCTTTAATGTATGTAAATAAAATTCTAATGTTTTTAATTGCAGAAGAAGAAAACAGAAAAGTCAGCAGGATCCAGTAAAGAGAAATCTAGTTGTAATAAGGAAAAGGCTTGTTCGAGCAAAGAAAAAGGAAATCAAAGCAAAGATAAACCCAGTTCAAGTAAAGAGAAGAAAAATAAAAAACATGTTGTAAAAAAACATCTTTAACATGTCTTTTTTTTTTCAATTTTGAACCAGTGAAGAATTATGTTGATGATGTCATGTTGTTTTACATTAAAGTTTTTATAAGCATCTGACATTTTATTTACTTCGTTAAAGGAAAGCCTGAAATATTAAATAATTTATCTGTAGACCTCTATATCGTTTCTGCCTTTATCCAGCTGTCGATTGTTGTCTTCAGTGCTATGAGTAAAACGATACAGGTATATATAGATAGCGGTAGGTATTCATACTATTCGTACCTTTGTGCCTACTCTCGTAATCTATTTTTTTATATATTAAAATCAAGCTTCTAACACATTTTAAACTATTTTAAAACTCTTGTCATTTATGTCCTCATTCTACATCCTTCAACGCGCGCTGCCATCAGCTAACCTGCGCACTGAGTACTGAGCATATAATATTGTAATCTTTGGTACTGATTGAATAGAGATGATGAGAGTGTAAAAAAAACAGAAATCTATTTAGTCTGTCTGTCAAGTAAAATACAAATATTGGATACATATTTTTTTGCTTTAATTTAACAACTTATGACTTAGATAATAGGCATTAAATTTGAGGAGTGGGGGCTCACTACATCACAACTAAGTAGAAAATCTACAACGGTGTGACGTCATACGACATTTCAACTCAAATTATCGCCGTACTTTATTGATTACGAAATAAATACGTGTTTAATGTTTTTCAATAATCTACCTTACGGACAAACGAAAATTAATCATCCTTATTGCATACCATCGGTACTTTAATATACTAAAATAGTTTTAAAAAGCTTTTTCATAATTTTTCCATGAGTTTGCATAATTATTTTATGACTTTGTCTCGCTCAAAGAGTAAAAGTATATACTTGTATATGGCCTAAATAAATGTTCCAAAAACGAAAATCATCATCCATCTATGCATTCATGGAAAAAATATCAAATGCATTGTAACGTTGTTCTATTTAATGATAAAACAGTAAATTAATGTTTACGTGTCTCCGTATTAATTATGAATTGTTTATCATTATTTACAAACTGCAAATAAATTAAAATAAATAATAATCTTAAAACTATGTTAATTTTTAATGAAAACTTAATAACTACTAAAGAATAAATAATTATACGTTAAAAAAAAAAAATACTTAAAACCTAACTATATACAAATTAAATATTTACAAACAAACAGATCGCACGCAGATGTAATATATATATACAGCGATGTTGGCGCGGGCGCGGGTAGCATACAAAAACGATAACAAGTCGACCGCGCGGCGGCCGGCGGCGGCCAGCCGCTCGTGCCTGTTGCGAGCCACACTTACAAATGAATCTTGTTTGAAAACAGCTGTGTAACGCTTTTGAATATAAAGTCTGTTCGATTTTTACTAAGTCTTCGACTGACGATTCTTATTTTAAATAAATATATAAAAAAAAAAAGTTTAAATAAATATAAGAAACACTTAGAAGTGTAGTGAAAAAAATATAATCCCGTACTGGGTAAGTTGTGCATTTAACCAATTATTTAATGAGTAGAAACGTTTGAATTATTGTAGTTACTTATTTTACATTTCTAAGTATGCAGCTTTTGCTTAATTAATTTACTTAAGTTTAACAAGAATCACCGTAATATTTCATGATCAATAATAAAAGTCATTATTGATATATATTTTATATTGCTACCTACGTTCCATGTTCTTTTTTTTATTTCATTTAAATGCCATCAGTTTATGTAACCGTTACTGCTTTTTTTATTTATAACTGCCACTTCGACCCAGATTAATTAAGAATACTCTCTTCACTCCTGTACTAACTAGCTTTGCTAGATTCTACGATTTAATTGCTAATTTTAACGACCAACGCTAGTGGCAGTACACTTCTTCAGGAACTCCGTACGGATTAAGAAAATCACGCCAACTTTACTTATACTGGGAATTGATATTTGAGAATTGGAGAAGTGCCTTATGGAAACCAGAAATTGAAGCCCGGCGCACCGTAGAATTCACAGGAGTACAGGGAAGTTCTATCGAGTGATCTACCATCAGACCTCTAAGAAACCTACCCACGACCCTAGGGACCTTGACCTCGATTTTACTTATCGCAAATAAATATTCTTTCTTATATATCGTTCTTTTTTTTTTATCACTTAATAAGAAAAGAACGTGTCAGCATGTATGTACAAACATGAATAATAAAAAATGTGGGGACTGTATGGACAAAGTCCTTTGCCTTTCACAGTAAGTACTACAAAATGTTAGGCTATAGGGATGGACGTTCCTTCGCCTATCCCATGGACGAATTATAATACTACTACTATAGGGATGGACAAGTAAAAAATTGAGGTATAATTGCGAAAAAGTAATACCGCGTTTCATAAAATAAACGAGTCAGTTATTTGTAATAAGTGCATAAATACATTATTTCAAGGTTTTATATCATAAAATGTAGTAAGAATAAAATAGGTAATACAGCACATGTCTTTGAAATTTAATAAAGGTATAATCCCGTAACCCTAGTTTCCGTGAGGTTGGGTGAGCAGTGGGGAGGTTGTTGTTTTATCAACATGCCCGTTAAAATCAGCTCCAACGTATCCGAGCTTCTTATTTGGCAAAAACTGTATTACTTCATCCATTGCCATCATCACAAACAGCCTGTCTCTCTGCCTGATAGTCCCGCCTCTGGGGATATGCTCCATTATATGATATGACATTCATTCGTTCTTGATTATCCAGGGCAATTTAATGACAATAATCCTATCAATGACTCTGATCATCTCGACTATGCAGGCTTAAAAGTTATCACTGACCACTATGCATACATCTTTTTGATTGTTTTTCGAACTAGAGCCCTCCATTTCTTATTTACTTTTTAAATCGATATTGTAACATATCGATTATTATTGCAAACCTCTTACTTACTTCGATCGACATTTGCTTGACATTGACATTTATTAATTCCCAAAAACGTTTACTTTCATTTGGCGGAATTGTAAATAAATTATTTAGGTTAAAAAAAAGCTTACGGAAAATAAGAAAAGTTTTTCTTTTTACTGAAAAAATAAGTAAGCAACTATTAAGCTGGAATAAAATAAACCTTATTTACTTCTAACGGCAATCTAAATGATTTATACCGGCTACGTTTATAGTTCTATTTATTTTATTGGTTTTTACTGATCGTATCTGTAATGTGTAGTATTTATTACCTTATTTCTCTACTAAGAGATCGTCTTAATATAACTCTGAACATCTTATTACAGAAAGTGCAATAATGACTTCGGGAGAAACTCAAACTGTAAACGATTACCAACAGAGAAAATGGCAACATATACGCAAATTATTGGAAAGATCTGGTCCATTTTGTCATCCAGATTTTGAACCATCACCCGAAATATTAGATTTTGTCATGAGCTGCTGTAAAGTCCTTATTGTTGGCGCTGGTGGTTTGGGCTGCGAGCTCCTCAAAGACCTCGCCTTGATGGGTTTCAAAACTATTCATGTTATTGACATGGACACAATTGAATTGTCCAACTTGAATAGACAATTTCTCTTTAGAAAAACAGATATTGGTCTCTCCAAAGCTAAATGTGCAGTTGAGTTTGTTAATAAAAGGTATGTTTTTAGTAAATATGAATACAGTTTATTAATATAATTGATGGATAAAGTATGTCTTTAAATTTTGTAGAATTCCTGGCTGTAAAGCCGTTGCACATCATTGTACTATACAAGATATGGATGAAGGGTTCTATCGCCAATTCCACATTGTGGTCTGTGGCTTAGATTCCATCGTTGCACGCCGTTGGCTTAATGGAATGCTTATGTCATTATTACAGTATAATGATGACAGTGAGTCACTATTATAAATATATTTATTTTATTAAGAAGTCAATCTATATTTCATTCAAATTGTATATTTATATAGGAAGCTTAGATCAAAGCAGTGTCATACCATTAGTTGATGGAGGTACAGAAGGGTTCAAAGGAAATGCAAGATTGATCCTCCCAGGTATGAGTGCATGTATCGAGTGCACCCTGGACTTGTATCCACCACAAAAGACTTTCCCATTGTGTACGATTGCAAATACACCAAGGTAAATTATATGACATTAATTTTATATGATGGTGACTTGACTAAATTGGTTATTTCTGTTTACGTATTTGTGTTCACTGTCTTCAACAAATATATTTGATCAATATTTTCAGTAAGCAATAATGACAATATGACCATCCACACTGACTAACAATTTAATCCAATATTGAGAAGAACACTAATCATGTCAGATGAGCTTACACTTTCAATGGCTTTTTTTAAACTCATTACTATCATTTGTTGTTATAAAAAAGATGGCAAATACACAAATTAAACCAGTTTCGTCAAGTATACATTCTCGTGATTTGTCAAAATACTCAATAACAAATAACCCAGTAATACGCTAGCATAAGATTCAATATGGCTTTATGGCTGTATAAAGTTGCATCTATTGAAGGTTACTTGACACTTCCAGATTACCAGAGCATTGTGTTGAATATGTAAAGGTGATCCAGTGGGCTAAAGAGAATCCTTGGGGTGCTTCTACCCCATTGGATGGTGATGACCCACAGCATGTCGCTTGGGTATTAGAAAAAGCACAGGAGAGGGCCATCAAACATGGAATAACGAATGTCACATATAGGCTCACTCAGGGTGTATTGAAAAACATTATTCCAGCAGTAGCAAGTACTAATGCAGCCATTGCAGCTGCTTGCGCCACAGAGGTAATATAGTAATTATCTTAGAATAATATTCCAACTAGTAACTTCTTGTTAATGAAGTTGTCTTCTGGCTGAGGCTCTTCTAACTGTGCTACCAGACACTTAATGAGATTGTGAAATTTTTAAAGTACATTTACCTTTGAATGTAAAGTTTAACAATATAATCAGTAATGTCTGTTCACAGTAATGTAGTAATGTCAGTAATGTATGAATTCGTTCTATCAAAATGTTTCAGCATTTTACTCATACTTATAATTAACTATTAAACAAATTGAATAAAAAACAATCAATACTATCTTCAATTGCAGGTGTTCAAATTAGCTACATCATGCTGTACCAATATAAACAATTATATGGTGTTAAATATGTCCGAAGGAGTATACTCATACACATTCAATGCAGAACGCCGCCCAGACTGTGTAGCTTGCAGTAACACCACTAGAGTATTAGAGCTAGAATCTGATGCAACTCTACAAACAATTTATGATAAACTTTGTGAAGATCAAGCTTTTTTGATGAAAAGTCCAGGTTTGAAAGTCAACTAATACCAACTTGGTCTTTTAGAAATGAGGTGTAGCAATGCATCCTAGCTTTTGAAAGGTGCATTAGAGTGCATAGGAATTACCAAGTAATCACCCACTTTTAATGTTTTACTGTGATCATTGTCATACTTCAACTAATTTACAACAAAACCTTTTATGTGAATTTCCCTATCCATTGGTGAAAATTATAAAAAGTCTGCTGAGCAGTCAATATCTATTGCTTGCCGATATTTTTTTTTAGATAAAACCAAATGTTAATTAAATTTATATCATTAGTTTTCAGGTTAGACTCTAGAACAGCATTTCTCAATGTTTATCATAATGTCAGGGTCCATTAAAATAATGGTCATATTTTGGCTAAAGGTCAGAATTACAGTAAAATAAGGTGTTATTATACATAAACAGTCCACATAAAAATACATTTTTCTTTGTGTTTTATGAATTCATGTATATATTTGTTTTTTAAAAGATTCCAACTGCCGCTGTAAAATATAATATTAATGAATACCAGTATAGTAATTTCAGAATGATTATTTGTATTCCAGGAATTACTACTGTCATAAATGGTCGCAACAAAACACTTTATATGTCTTCAGTCAAAAGTATTGAAGAAAGAACAAGAGATAATCTGAAGAAAAAAATCACAGAACTAGGATTGTATAATGGAGCCGAGATCTTGGTTGCTGACATAACAACTCCAAACACAATTACCATCAAATTGAAGTTTGATGAGAATATTGATGTTGACATGACTCGATAAAACTTGTAGCATGTAATACTCATATAAGCTATTCAATTAAAATATATTTATAATTTGAAACTCTTCTTTCTGTCAGTCTGACCAATTGCCACATATTCTGTTGTTCCTAGAGTGGTACAACAGAATATGTGACCATACTAAATTATTTTAATTTGGCTTTGTTATAATATTACTCCATAGTCAATTTCCTTATTCAAAGAAATATATTTGTAATCCTATATTATGATTATTTATTCAAATTACTTATAGTTATTTAGAATCCAAAGTATGTTTGAGTGGGTCAAAAGTAAATTTAATTCGAGTAACAAATAAACCACCATGTAATATTTTATAGTTAAAAGTAAGATCTAGGCTATTGTTCAGTAGAATAAAGAATCTATGGGCAAAACGAAAACCACTTTATTCCTTATTACATAATCTTGTTCTATGTTCACTAACAGGGTATGTTGCTGCGATTCAATCTTTACGGATTAATTTGACTTTAGGGTCGTCTGGTCTCATGACAACATAAGTCATCTTGTATCTCCTGTTGTCTCCATCGTCTTTTCTATAGTTGTACAAGCCAATACTCGCCATGCCTATGCCGATGAAAGCCATACCAGTCGAGGCTAAGATTTCAGGAATTTCATTATAAGCCTGCTTTAGTAGCTGGCCTAATGTTCGTCTAGGGGCAAGAGCAGCCATTTAACCGTATCTTGATTACTTATTAGAGTTATTTATTTTTATTTCGAATAAAACACTCGCATTCACAAACTTTGCTTCGCATAAAAAATATAATACCAAAGACTAGTACAAACTTCTCTACGTAGTATCTTCTTCCTAGTCTGTGGCTTAATTATTTTTTTATTTGACATTAGGTCTGAGCAAAAACAATCGATATTTTATTTTTATTTAAAAAAAAGGTTGATTTTTAATGTATTAAAAATAAAAATAGTTCCCGAAATCAAAGTACGTCATTGCAGTACTTTCTTGATTTCTCCATGACAACCCTTCCGGTTTTCGTTCATGTATAAAAGTAAATTAGTTTTCAAAACTCAATAAACAACTCATATTATATTTGTATTGATATATAGGTTTCGGACTTTGCGAATTTCAGTTTTTTAATATGTTAGTTAAAAGAAACGGAAATTAATATCTTTGGCCCAATCGTTTCCTGCAAAAATCAACTTTTGCTAAAGTCGCCATCTAGTGGTGATGCTTTTTAGTGCTTTCGTTTTTTTTAATACTTCCTCATTGAGAAAGTATTTAAAAAAATACAAAAATTTACGTCACTAGATGGCAGCACAAATTGTTGGATCTAAACGTCAATTCATGACGTTAAACCAAAGAGAAAAGAATTGTCAGTGTTGTATGAATCTGATAACAAGGATTAATATCGAGTTGAAATTTAATTAGTTCGAGTTATGCAAACGCAACTCGATTAATACTAAGTAATCTTTGATTAAATTTCTTTTTTATTTGTATAGAGGAAAACGGAAAATATAGTATAGTTGAAATTAAAAAAAAGCAGCCATTGCTGAGATTCTTGCCGATTTTTGTCAGTACAAGATCTCCGGCCTTAGTTTTTAGAAACATTGGCAAAATTTTCGATTGTCACAAGTACTATGTAACAGCCTAGACTGAATTGGTTTTGATATTTATGTTAATATCATTCGTTTAGTGGATGCATTATCATCACACATATAAATACAAGCTGAAACTAATAAGTTGGCTCATCACTAATGTTGACGTATAAACCAAACATCGTTCCTTTACACGTAACATAATAAACAACTTAAACTTACGATTAAAATTTGTTTGAAAGTGAGATATTATAAAAAACACAAAACGATGTCATATTTATTAATTTTCGATACTCAATTAACTTTTATTACATCAGAAACAAAATTTGAATTAATATCATAAACAAAATCCAAACATTGCGAGTGACATCTAGTATGATTTCAAGAACTAATTTTTATTTTTTAAATACTTCCTCATTGTGGCTGGGTTAATTTGTATGCCCTTTGGGCTTGGTGAGAAGTTTCAGGAGGAGGTAACATAGATTTTAACTCAGATGAAATATTTTAAGCTTGATCTCTTGATCCTCAGTCAATATTAAGTGAGCACCTAGTAAGGAGTTAAGATATGTTTATATTTATTTATCTTTGCGCATAGACTGACATTGACAACGTGTCTTTGTTTTTTTACTAATTGTAAACGTGAGTGACGAAAGCTCTATAAATAAAAGAAGTGGAGGAATAAACTACATATCTGCGTTCAACAAACTAATTAGTAAACCAAGGGAACTTCTTCAATTTAAATAAAATGACACCGGAGCCACAAATTATTGGTCATCATATTAAATTTGCCAATACGTTAATTGGGACATTTAAAAAGGCGTGCTGGCATATTCCTGAAATTGTTGGTGCTACAGCTTTAGCATTAGTCGGAATAGGAATGGCAGGGATTGGATTATATAATTACGATAAAAATGATGGTGATAATCGAGAATATAAATGGGTGTACACAGTTGTACGCTCTACTGATCCTCGAGCATGTAAATTGAAAAATCCTGTTTACACACAATATTAAAACCATGTGAATACTTCAGTAATATATTGAGGGGAAAAAACATTTATTTTTTGTCCATAATTTGTTTTATTGACGATGAAAAAACTAGTGTTTCTTTGTGCTTATTTAGATGTAATTTTTCTGATAAGCAATTACCTACTATTTATTAATTAGCTTGATTTATATGGAAATAAATGTTTTTACTGTTAATTATTATATAACCTGATGAATTGTTCTTGATATCACCAGTAGGTGATGTTAAATCGTAGATACTAAGTAATAAAATAAGGATTGTTCTACAGTTAATGTATTTTGTGAAGAAAAAACAAAAGTTAGTAAAAGAATGAATGCCGCGTCAATTTGATTTACTCTTTTTTATACCATAGAACAGACATCAACCAACCTAGGATCCAACACTCGTCCTTAAATCAACTAACGCGCAACTATTAATTATAACTATCATCAACCTCTTTTTTAAGCACACAAACATTCCTCACATCAGAAAAAAAAAACTTACTTTAAATTTACACACGTACGCAGAACATATGATTAGATTTAGGTAAGCCTTTAGTTAAAAATCGGCTGGCATATGTTCACGTTTCAGAAAGAATAACTGAATAATACTTTTTTCTAAGATATCATTCACAAAACGAACTCTGACGTCAATGTGTTTGATACGTGCATGATAGTGACTTGCGTTTGCAATAGCAATTGCTGATTGACTATCACAGTGGATTAGTATGGGAGAACACTCAGATGAATTCAATTTCTCCACCAATCTCTTCAAGTACACCGCTTTTCTTGTTGCATTTGACAATGCAATATATTCCGCTTCGGCACTTGAGAGAGCTACAACTCCTTGTTTTTGCTTTCCCAACTTATTGCGGAATTTGCATATTTGAAGATATACCCTGAATACAACTTCCTTTCGACAAATCACCTCCGAGGTCAGCATCGACAAAACATTCTATATCCTTTTGTGTTTTGGTAAATGTTAACCTTAAATATTTTGTACCGCTTAGGTACCTAAGTACAAGTTTTGCTGCTTGATAATGTCTTCTGTGAAGCAATTGTTGAAACCAATTAGTTCCTGATAAGGAACATCCGGTGTCACATGATTTTAACTTAACGGTTTCGTTAATCTTTGACCAGCAACTAAGAGCGTCTATTGACTTACAATCCTGCATTTCCCATTTCTTTAGTAATTTCTCCACGTATTCCTGTTAATCTAATTTGAAGCCATTATCAGCTTGATGTAACCTCATACTTAATATCAAAGCAGCTTTTCCTAAATCTCTCATCTCAAAGAGACTCATCAGCTGTTTCTTAAGTTGCAACATCTTAACTTTGTTATTCTACAAAATAACAAATCGTCAACATAAACAGCAATAATATAATCAATCTCTGAATTGAATTTCTTATATAAATACAGGGTTCTGTTTTGCGGCTCGCTCTATTCGTCTTTTAAAAAAAAAAAAAGCAATTACCATTCCTACTTTTATTAGGATAACCAACACACTGATTCCTAGATCCCGAAACGTGGAGAGCTAATGAGGACTGCTCTTCGCAGTTGCTAATGCTGAACTAACTTAAAAATATTAAAATTATTATAATAATGGAATATGCAATCTTGCACTTTACATTTACATAGTTTCTATGGAAAAGTACTGAACGTGTTGTCATCTATTCTCAAGTACAATGTTGGGTTATAACAGTTCGTTCTCTAAAGAAACAAACTTAATGTGTTTTAAGGCTGTATTATTAGTGAAACTATTTTTAGTTTTATTGTTTTAACTTTGTATTTGTAGCTTTTACAACTTTACTTTTCATACTCTCAATACTGCCTTAACTACGCCATCTTGTTGTGTGTTTCCCGCTCTCTCTCTTATTGCCAGCTACATGACACAACAAAGGCAATGTCTAGTTTCTTGATCCATTGTCTTGGTGCCTGTTTCAAACCATACAATGATTTTTTAAGTAAACAGACATACCCTTCTTTATATTTTAATTTAATTTTAAGCCTTTTGGTTGTTTCATATATAACTTGGCAGAATTTAGCTACTGCGTTCCAAGATTTCTGACTGGACCTTGTGGCTACCACATGACATTTCATTATTTTCAAGTGCTTGCATAAACTTACAACTAACTTTACTCTACTAAAAAAATGTTCGAAAATTGGGTTCATTGGTTGATTGTCTGATGTCAGTGATGAGGCACCTGCAGTACAACCTTTTTAACCGACTCCAAGAAAGATGGAAGTGCTTAATCACATTTGAGTTAAATTCTTATTAATAAAGCAACCAAAACATTTATGGTCTCCCATCTCGGGAATGTAAAATCATTCTCGATGAATGGCTTATGTAACTTGAGTATGATGAATAATAATGATTTAGAAAAACTATTAAAAATAATTTATAAACACATACACTTGGGTGTGCCCCATTACACTTGGGTGTGCCCCAAACACACTCTTAAATTAACAACAGTATATTTTTATTTGCCAAATTTTTCTTGTTTTTTTATTTGTGCAAACCGAATTCGTCCTAAGTGGACCCTAATAACTGCAAGCAACACAGTCTCTGACTAACTGCAGCTATTAACGTTAAACATTTGTTATTGTTAATATAAAATTATTTAGCACTAAAAAAATATTATTAGTTTATTTTTTACAAATCAAAATCAACATAAAAAATGTTTATTCAATCTTATTTTAAAGGGTACATATAGTAGTAGTTGGTCCATCCTAGTAGACATACTAAGATCCCTGTATTAGGAGGACCCTCCCTTCCGTAACATGTATAAGTTTAATCACCTTTAATTTACAAATCAAGCATTTCATGCAGCATAAAGTATAAATTTACAAATATATAATTTCTTGGTTCTTTTGTTTATCATCATGCTATTACGGATTTGATTAATCTATATTTAAAATAAATATGAGTTATTTACGGTAGGTATTTTATAAGTATGAGGTATTGTTTGTAATACAATAATAAATCTATGCTTGCAACACTGAGTTAAAATTGTATCATCACATCCGTCACATCAAAACTCTCATCAAAATGACGTTTTTGACATTGACTCCACGGTGAAAGGTCAATGAATTCAAAAATAATATCTACGTTTACAATTGAAATACACTTTATGTATTACCGCACTGCATAACACATAATTTCTGTGCTGTGTGCATATCGTCACTGTATTTCGTTTATACCGGACGTATCCCAAAGTATAAGAATGGCTTCGCGTTTTCAAGTTGTGGAATTGGGTCCTCCAATCGAAGTGTTCCAACTAAATAAATTATGTGTAGAGGATTCGTATCAGAATAAAGTTAATTTGGGTGTTGGCGGTAAGCTCAATTAAATTCTTTTCCGTAGTTTAATCAAGTTTTCATATTATGTAACTTGTTTAAATTTAAATGTAATACAGCAGTCTCCTGCAGGGCACACGCTTCTTTATAGTCTTTTTCAACTTCTTGGAGTTTATTCGCTGTTAATTAATTATTTTTAATTTAATTTATTGAAGATGATTAACAGAAAAGATTTTGGTTAACAGTTTGTTATTCTTAACTTTATTAGTTAAAGTGATTTGAAAGTGGTGAAATAAAATTTGATTTCATCACTTTCAAATCACTTTAACTAATTCTTAAATTGAAAATTAACATATTAATCATATTATATTAAGAACCAATTGAAATGTATCCTGTGTCATAAATGTCAATATTTTATAGAAAATAAATGAATTTGTTCAGCAGTTATTGATGATAAGTTAATTTAACAAACTTATACAGAAAAAATATGCACAGTCTGTATGTTTATATCCACTTATGTGAACATAAAAAAACTATATCTCATTTAATGTAATTTTTCATTCATAGCTTATAGAGATGAACATGGGAAACCATGGGTGTTACCAGTTGTTCGCAACATGGAGAAGCAAATGGCAGAAGATGCAACTCTTCTACACGAATATTTGCCAGTACTTGGTAAGTGTAAAAATTTTAATTTGTAAACAACATATGTTTTATGCTCCTTAGATTTATTAAAATAAAATCTCATTTAAACATACTTGTACACCACAGCTTGTTATCTGACAAGATACATTACAAACTTACAATGCTTACAAAATTGCAGTGACATATATGCTTATTAAATCATTTAGCCTTTATGATTATATATTTCTGAAAGGATGCTTATAATATTTAAGAATTATATGTTAGTGATTCTGTTTACTTCATATATCACTATAGTATGATCTAGTATATTCACAATATAACAAACTTTTTATTGCTGTGGTATAGCTAATTTGTAATTAGTAAATGAGGAATTCATGTATTTCCTCCTGTGTATTTAACTGTACATGCCATGGCAGCTTGTAAGTGAGGCAACACTTATTTGTATGCAATTTATTATTGTAATAATACTATTTTCAGTGTATTGTCTTGTAAGCTGTCCTTAAATAAATAAATAAACATGGTTAAAGTACAGTCAGAAGCTTGTCAGATTTAAAGAAGACTCAATTTTCTCAAACTTCAATGTGTTGTATAAAAAGTTAATTATGTAAATTTTCTATGTTATGATAACTTAAAATACCACTATGTATACATTTATACAAAAATATATAATTGTTTAAAATTATGCAAATACATGAACTACAGATTATATTGTATTATAACCAGTCTTCTAACATGATATTTATGACAGGAAGGGAGTGTAATATATGTTAATTGCTGTTAACATGCATGACATACAGCATTGCTCATTGTTTTAGTTAACATTATACAATATCATCATTCATTACCATACTCTTGTTACCTAGTTTAGAACAATAAGTAAATTCATATAAGTTTAAAAAGATCTTATTTTTGTACAAAATTAATGAGTTTTTATTTATTTAATCTTACTACTTACTGGATTTACCCACTCTATTAGCTTATCACTTATTTATGACCAATACTTATTTAAGTAAAGCAATAGTAAGATTGAAACTACTTTTTTTTAAAAATTAACAATAAGATTGAAATTGCAAAAGCATACACAAGACAAAAATTGAATTTCCTCATTTATTTTTTATTTCTTTTTCACTTATTATAAAAAATAGAAATTTATACAAATATTATAAAGAGAAAATATTTGATTGTTTAATTGTATTGAAAGGGCTCTGAAGCAATTAGATCAATTATTGAAAATTTCATTTACAAGAATTTTAGGAAGACATAGTAACATAGGCTATAATTTATAAGGGCATAGTCGCGGGATACTATTCAAGCATCATGTTAAATACATATTCAAAAAAGCTAAAAGTTTAATTGTTTCATAATCAAGTTAAGTGTTTTTCATTAAATCTATATTTATTTTTTAAATATAGATATTGTAAGCCTCAGGTAGTTGACAGATCATAAATATTTGCTTTATAACATTATTTTCGTGATTAAACCAAAAAGGTTAAAAAATATAGGTCATATTTTTTAACCTTTTTGGTTAATTTCTAACCTTCAATGAGATTATGTTCACGTTATTTTTCAAGTTTTTCTTTATCTGTTTATCATTTCGGCCTCCTCATGGCGATCCATTTGCAGGTTGCGTTCTGAAAAGGTCTCCCTAGCAGCGATAGTAACAAATACTTGTGAATTTAATTCTGTTTAAGAAGTACCTAGCTCCGTTGGAAGAGCGCGTTCAGTAAACAAACCATCGTCAGTTCAACTTGGTACCAGTAAGTGAAAGCATTAAGAATTTGTATGGAGATTTGTAGTTCTTGGTCGTTACCGCTAAGGGTACCGGATTCCATACTAAAATCTTAACGTGCTCACGATCGACAGTGAACGTAAACGTCAAAAAAACATACACTAAGCGCTCTGATACAGTCTGGTGACAGATGGACGAAAAGTGGAGTCTCTATAATAGGGTCACGTTTTTTTTTCCGGGTACGGAACCCTAAAACAGATGAGTACTATGCTATACTGTTATAAAGACAGTATCTTAATTGAAGAATGACTTTATTGCACTAAAACCGGATCGTATTAAAATGTTAACGATCGAGGACTAACGTAAACATCAAAAGAAAAGCGTTCAGCCATGCGATTCTGTAAAACTTCAAACCCGATTTCGAAATCACTCGGGTGTCCGAATTCACTTCAAAAAGCGGCATCCGCTCAAACTTGAATTGGTAATAATGTTTCGTGAAATAAGTGAAGTGAGTTTCGAAATGATATAGGATTAAAATATCTATGACACGTTTAATCAATCAATTTTGTTTAGTATTTTTATACAAAAAATGGAATCGATACGATTTCTATACTAAATGACGAGAATTCGAGACCCGAGTGAATTCGAATTCGGGTCTGGATTGTTACAGAATCGCAGGGCTGATGTTGATTTTTTTGCAACCTCCCTAGTATTTTCTAATTAAGACTCTTTCATTCATCTCTAACTAAAAGGTTTCATAAAAATAACAATTACGAATACGGTACAGAGTGGACAAGTTGTACATTGAAGTTGACATCGTTTATAATAGGTCATTTATGAAAAGTGTCAAAATAATATAATCCACTATATTAATATGCATTGGCGTATTTATAAAGAAAGGAAAATTATAGGCAATCGATGTTGATCAAAAGTTGATTGTGTAATCATGTGCCGATAAACATGTTAGGTATGTGTAAAGATTTTGGCATTAAAATTTTTAATATTGCCAAGATAAGATACAATTTATGATGATAAAATGTAATAGGATGAAAGAACCGCATATTGATGTAATGTTTGCGGATCGAGGTGTTACCTAATGAATTGGATTTGGATGCTATGAGAGTGTCGAGACACTCTTAAAGTATAGTCAAAAGCACGTTATACATAATTAAAAATCTCAATTTGTAAACATTAAAGAGTAGACAACTTCGGTAGTTTGATATAGGTATTAAAGTAACCTTGCGTTCTTCGGGGCCGTCCATAAATAACATCACACAAAATCAGGCTTTTTACCCCTCCCCCCCCCCTATTTATCTATACAAATTCTACTAAATATTGTTTTAATGTCACAGTTGTCGACCCTCCCCCCTAAAGTGTGACGTTATTTATGGATGACCCCTTCTTTGTGTACAACATGTTTTAATAATATAAATATCGTAATATACGAGGGTCAAACTGAAAGTTCTTAGAACTGGCCACTTATAAACAATATAATAAAAAAATAATTCTAAAATTTGAAAATATAACTCTTTGCCAATATTACTGAGTATATATTTCATTCATTTGTCATTTGTTTTACGATTTGGCGGCAAATTGAAAATTGTCTGTGTCACGTCATCATGAATTTAACACGAGAAAATTTTCGTGCAATGATTTTTTATGACTTTCGATGTCATTTAAGTCAACAAGAAAGTTATGATAGACTACGATTGGCCTTTCACGATGAAGCCCCATCTCGTGCGACTGTTTACAACTGGTTTAATGAGTTTAAACGTGGTCGCACTAATCTCACTGATGATTTACGTGAGGGACGGCCTTCTACGGCGACGACTGAAGATAACATCTGTGTTGTGCGGCGTATGATAGAGACTGACAAAAGAGTGACCTATCAACAGATTCGGACAAGCTTAGGCATCGGTATGAGTCAAGTGCACAAAATCCTCCACGAACATTTAGCGGTCAGGAAGCTTTGCGCCCGGTGGATACCTCATAATTTGACTGAGGCTCAAATACTCCATCGTGTGGATTGGTGTCGTAAAATGATTGAAAGATTTAACGGAGGTGACTCAAATGCTGTGTTCGACATACTAACAGGTGACGAAAGCTGGATTTACTGTTATGATCCTAAAACCAAAAGACAATCTGCTCAGTGGGTGTTTCCTTTCGAGGAGTTGCCAACTAAAGTGAAGAGAGATCGAAGTGCGGGAAAAAAAATGGTGGCCTCGTTCTTTGGAAGGATAGGTCATTTTGCAACAATTGTGTTAGAGGATCGAAAAACAGTTTCTGCAGAATGGTACACTACCAATTGTTTGCCACTTGTCTTGGAAAAAGTTCGAGAGAAACGACCTCGCAGTAGGATCCTCCTTCACCACGACAACGCCTCGTCGCACACCGCCAAGCGAACGATCGACTATTTGGCGACATCAAACGTTGAATTACTGGGTCACCCGCCGTATAGCCCCGACCTCGCGCCTTGTGATTTTTATTTATTTCCAAAAATTAAAGAAAAACTTAAAGGAAAGCGGTTTATGAATGCTGAAGAAGCGGTGGCTGCGTATCGCGATGCCATTGAAGAGACCCCTAAGGACGAGTGGGCAAAGTGCTTTTCCCAGTGGTTCCATCGCATGCAGCGGTGTATTGACGTGAATGGACAAATATTTTGAAAAGATATAATAAAACTAATAACTGGCTAATGTAATCAGTTTTTGATTTTCTAAGAACTTTCAGTTTGACCCTCGTATAACAATCGTAAGATAATTCAATTTAAATTAGAGGCGGCTCAGAAAGTTTCATTCAAGAAACTTCAAGTTTGGGGGGGTATTGAATTGATGATTTTTTTTTAAATTTGATGTTAACCATTTTAAAATTTTGAATTCCCGAATAATAAGAAGCAACTAAAAAACCAAGATTTAAAATAAAGTCATTATTGACGAAAATATTGTGCAAGAAAACTGTCGGACGATTTTGCGATCGAACTCGGTAAATTAAAACAGGTTGGTATGATCAGAGGCTTTACTATAGTTAGGGTGTTGTCAGGTACTTTTACAAAAAATAGAAAACACGTTGAAAATAGACCTTAATATATGAAATCACAAAGATGTTTTTTTCCAAAATCAAAATAGTCTTTATTCAAATACAATATATAAATTATAAAAGAACGAGTGAATGAAACTCGTTTCATAATTGCTAGAGCTAGCTCTCTTTATAAATTAGTAAACTTAGAAGAAAGATGGATCACTTTATTTATAAGTCGTATGTGATCTGTTTGACCTGCGTATGTGTCTATTTATAAAATATAAATCTTGCGTAATAATGATAAGATACGCGTATGCTTTATTATGAAGATTCAAACTCAATCTATTTTCAGGTCAAAAAAAACATTTATATTCTTAAAATATCTTTATTCAAGTAGGCTATTACAAGCACTTTTGAATCGTCCAAAAAAATTTTTTCCCCTACCACTTGTTCAGGACGTCTTTTAGCTGACAAGAAGAACAAGCGAAAGAAACTTACCAGCTCTTTATCATAAGTAATGACATTTATATAAATTATGTCATTACCAAAAAAATACATGAAAAAATTAACTTAAATAAAAACTAAAAAGAAAAAAACAAGCCCAGTAGTTTAGAAACGACTCATAGCCGGGGCCCCTTGGGAAGATTTGATTGGTGAAATTTGAATGTGCCCGAATTGTGAGTCGTTCTGTTCTGCATTAGAATTTATTATTTGTTTTATGTGTCTATCGATTATAAAACTATTTCAATTGTGTAGTTATTTAGTATTACTTAACAGAATTCTAAACTAGTGGGCTTGTTTTTTCTTTTTAGTTATTTATTATTTAAGTTAATTTTTTCATGTATTTTTTTTACGCAGTCGGGATTTTTAATTTTAATAATTAATTTTTATTTTATACTTTTTTTGTTTGTATATCGTTTATACTTAAAATAAAAACTTAAATCAATAAGTAAGAAAATTAGCGAATATGATTGTTTTGTTAAATAACTTTAAATCGTAATATATCCTAAACTATTATTTAAAATGAAAAGTGATAAAAGGAACCTTAATATGATTTTAAAATACCTATTCAACGACACCCCACTTTACATAGTTCGTCGATTTTTTTTTTCATTTTGACAATATGGCTTCTGGTTGTCGCTGTGGTGAATTTTGATTACTGTCATGTCTTTAGTGACACTCGCAAGGTTAAGACGAATCGATTGACGTAAGAATCATCAAAATCGGCCTACGCATTTCGTCTCTGGAACGCCACAAAGAAACAAACAAACATACATACATAGACTGATAAACACATTACCCTCCTTTGCGTCGCGCTGTCGGGTAATAATATGTATTATCACAATAATAAATACAACTTTCAAAGTCTGTAGGACATAGGTTGAACATATAATTAGTTTTTATAGAACAAAGCGAAGGCTATTAATTCCATGCATTGCGATCCTTAAAACAATCATCAACTTTATAATAGAGCATATTTTATTTTTTGTGCGAACTCTTATCACTCATGTTTCGGTATTTTTTATATTTTAAGGTAAACTTTATTATATATTTATAATGGTTATACTATCTAATAATGGAAATATAGTAGAAAACGCCAAAATATAAGTTTTATTTAAAGATATACCTAAACAAATTGGAACAAGTCGTGTAGTGCTATCCGTTATGTGACTATTTTTAAAGACCAATTAAAAAAAAACTACTGCAGTTATTAAAAGATATTTATTTATTTTAAAATATCTGACATGTATATTAACTAAAAAACTTAAAAACGTATATCTCAATTCAAGAATCCTGAAAAAAATGTACTTTGTTCATCAGTTTTGTGACTAATGATACTTTTTTTAGAATTTTTTTAATTTGTTTTTGAAAATATTAAGTTTTTTGCGATTGCAAGACCATCTATTTTAATAAAATTAATTTTTACACTAAGTGATACTTAATACTATACCCTTAAACCAGAATAAATAGTACAATTTTAGTTTTTCTCTTTCCGAAATTAAGGGACAGTGACAAAACTGAACTTCCGAAAACAGTAAAGGCTTGTCTATATGGCACTATTTTCAGAGATATTTTTTTCTTTTAACGATTGACCTTAGGTATCTTATATCTTAGAACTATCTAATAAACCGAATAATGGTAGGTATTTCTATTTATTACACAAGTAAAAAATAAGTAGGCAGGTACTCAAAAATAGATCATAATTTAGCTTGATAAAAAGTAATTAACGTCTTTATGAACGAACCTTTATGAGGTCAATCATGTAGTAACTTTTGGTTCAGCCCGTATGTGACCAGCAAAATAGTCAAAAAATGGAAGTCACATATATTTACCCACATGCATTAAAAAATAAATTAAAAATTATCAATCGTGCCTGGCGTTTGAAATTTATAACTACTGATTACTAAATTGAATTTACAATAACGTGTAAAATTAATAGAAATTTTGAACAATTAAAAAACAAATAATTAAAGACACAAACCTGAGTTAAAAATGTGTTCGTCCGTAGGGTCACTTCAACACGTCTTGTTTACAAGCTGCACTAATTTGACACAAAATTCAAAATTACGTTTTTGTGTAAAGAAGCATTAAATGTTTCCATTTCAAAAAGAAATGTTCATATTAGGGGAGCTTTTGTAGTTAAAATACGGTGGCAAAACTGAAAGTTCCGGATTGTACAGAAATTTAAACGCGTCAATTTTTCTAATTTTAATAAAATATCTGTAAACAATTGAGAAAATTTTAGCATATATAACTGCTGTCGATATTTAAGTATAAAATGAGCCAAATACATTATGTGATTTCTAGCAAAAACATTTATTATTTTTCATAATAAAGCATAGTATTTGATGAGGGGGTACATACGAAATCAGTGCATATGGATCACTTTAATGGTCATTAAATTAGTTCTGCTCGAATCAATGGAAAAAATATTTATTAATTACAAAATAAAACATATGTGAATTGCATTTTCTGATAATAAATCTCAAAATATATTTTTTCTTGTAGATTAAAAATCAAGTTAAACCCGGGGGACAGTCCTATAAAGGGCTGTGCACAAAAAAAAGAATATGCTCAATAGCCTTTACTCAGAGGTATGTTCTTTACATGAATTTTAAATTTCTTTATGGGTAGGTCAACTTCATTTTGTGGAACTTTATTGAACACAGCAATTCATTAACCCAGAAATGATCCTCTGGTTTTCTTAAGTCTGAAGCTTGGAACGGCAAGTTTATTTTTATTTCTTGTGTTAAGATTATGAACACTACTTTTTTGTGAAGGAATCGTAATGTTTTCTTCAGTACATAATGTTTTCATAGATGTATTGAGAGGCAACAGTCAAAATATTTATTTCTTTAAATATTTCTTTGAGAGATTCCCTAGACCGTAAATGATATATAGCGTGGACAGCCCTCTTTTGTAGAATAAAAATATCTTGAATGCTAGCCGCAGAACCCCACAACAATAGACCATGCGTAATTACACTATGAAAACGACTGTAATATACCAATCTTGCCGTTTCAACATTTGTCAAGAGTCTAATTTTCTTAACAGCAAATGCTGCAGAACTCAGTTTTCTTGACAAATTATCAATATGAGGATCCAGTTGCAGTCGGGAATCTAGTTAAATACCAAGGAACTTTGTCGATTCTACCAACTCAACTTTTTCACTATTTACATCTATAAGTGTATTAACATGCCTTACATTAGGTAATATAAACTTTATGCATTTCGTTTTATTTGAATTAAGCTTTAAATTATTACTATCAAACCACTGTAGAACATTGTCGAGAGCATCATTTACATCGTCAAAACAATCATTACCCCTCTTTACTTTAAACACTAAAGAGGTGTCATGAGCAAATAATACTGTCTCGCACAAATTCTTTGTAAAGTGAGGAAGATCATTAATGTGAATTAGAAAAAGCAATGTTCCTAATACCGATCCCTGAGGTACGCCCATAGTAACTGGTGCCCCTGCAAATTGCGCTTCATTAATTACTACTTTTTGAATTCTAGCAGAAAGATATGATTTTATTAGATTAAGTGAATTTTTCGTCACACCATAATGCTCTAATTTCCCCAACAGTGTTTCATGATTAACGCAGTCGAATGCTTTTGAAAGATCGCAAAAAATGCCGATAGCATCTTGTTTATTCAGATCCTGATACTCATATTCGCAACAAATATGGTGATAATAAGTAGATTTCTTTGTCGACAGGTATGGAGCAGTTCAGCGCAGCGTCTGTATCCATGCTACTCGGAGAAGACAATCCAGTCATTGCTGCCGGTCGTGTGAGTTTCATATAGGGTTGCCATAGTGCCGGAATTTTCCGGACATATCTGGAAATATGGATCTTAGTCCGGGACGCGGGGAGAATCAATAATCATTCGGAATTATTTAAATGGAGGAATAATTAAAAAATTAAATCAAACATATTATTTTTTATTAAAAATCAATATTGTTGAATATTACTTTTGTTACGTATTTCCATTCCAAATTGGATTCCAAAAATATTGTTCAATACTTCCAAATCTCATTAATAACTTTTATAGGTCATATTTATTATTATTATTTTACATTACTTTATATAAAATTTGATTCGTTTAATAACCATATGAATGATGCATACAAAACGATAATATAGTTTTATATTTACAAGAAAGTCCGGAATTTTTATGTAATGCCAGGAATTATATCCCGGATTTTGTTTTTTAATCTGGTATCTCTAGTTTCATATTATTTAGTTCTTTTTTCGATGTAGACCAAATACATTACGCACGATCTCACTAACGAAACATGATGTATAATTGTATATAATACTTAAGTACATCTGAGAGCTATTTATGACAAGGGGTCGAAGGACGTGCCTATGGAAAAACTATGCGCGGTACTTGATTTTTTCTACCTGTCCTACAAGGAAATCTGCGTGAAGAAATGAGAATTATTTTTATTTACGGGAATATTACCATGTTAAAATCCGCAATGGATTATGTATGACATATACCCAAAATATTAAGGTTTAAAATCGAGTGAGAAATTTTGTCAGACTTGTATAATCTGACACGCTATTTACTGTATCTTATATTTACTCTCTGGTCTCTGTGGTCAATGTGATCAAATAATATCTTAAAGTACAATAGAATTTTGTTTTAAAAACGTTTTTCAACTTTAGATCTATTGTTCGTGTAAATAGGTCACTTAATAGCAACGAATTAATATTTTAAGTAAATATTATTTCAATTCTACAGGCATTCGGTGTTCAAACTCTGTCGGGAACGGGAAGTTTACGCGTCGGAGCCGAATTCTTGAACAAACATTTGAAAGCTACCACCTTTTATTACTCCACACCTACATGGGGTAAGCTATATACGTTTTTTTTAAGTAAATATTAAACAAACATCACATACATAGCTCAGATTCCAAGACGAGTGGTTAAAGCCCCCGTATTATGGAGTATCTGAGACAACGAAGGTACCATAACACCCAGACCTGAGACTATATAGAAAAGTTCATTTTCTACATTGACCCGACCGGGAATCGAACCCGGGACCTCAGAGATGGCGACACCTTGAAACCGGCGTCAAACATAATAAATGTTTTTATATATATATATATAAATATGTCCTTTTTTGTAGTTTTATACTTGGACTTTAACATATATACAAAGAAAACTCAATCAATAAGAAAGTATGTTTTTTATCTTGATTAGTTGGACTGCATGACGTAAATAATAGACCTTTGTAATATAACCAAAGATGGTCACGATAAGTATTTGTTCGATGGACAAACAAGTATTTTTTTATCAATAAGTGCTTACAAAGTATTATCTATATACTTGTATGGCAACATATTTTCTTATTATATTTGATTGGATCAATTTTGTATTCATATTAAAATTATTTGTCTCCGGTTCTCGAAACTGTTTGGCAGGAGAGTTGGCCGTTAGCGCAAATAACGGCTTTTTGCGAAATTCATCAGTCTTTTTATGTCTTGGATAACTCAATGGTTAGAGCAGTCGTTCGTATTGCTGAAGCTTGTGTTGTTGGTTCGAATCCCATCTCGTGGTAACCGAGACTAATGATTTTTTTAAGCATTTTTCTGTAAGATAAACATTTTTTTTATCGAAAATTAAAAAAATTAGTACGTAATATATTATTATAATTAAGTAAATTAATATATTAAATGAAATAAATTTTAAACGGTTTCATCGCGTCTGTATTTTCTTTTTATTGACGTTTCAGACTCTAGTTGTACCTATGGGTTAATTGTTTAATTTTAAAATCTATCGCAACTTTGGAAAGTATGGCGATTGTGATATTGATTTGTGGAATTATGGACCATTCGCATTTGGACGGAATGATGGTCCAATCGAAATATTGTAGTTAGAATTCAACTCTATTTTTTGACATTTTTGAATTCAAGTTTCAAATTGAAATACAGTTTGAAATATAATTAAAAAAAAAACCGTAAGATTTTTGAAGTTTCAAGCATTTTTAGAGGTTTTTAAGGGAGTTATGATTTTTTTTAGTATGTCAGCTTATTGCCTACTTTTGTAGCTGTCTAACGATATCACATTTATGTCTGTAGGAACTCTACATCGCCAGATATTGCAAACTAAATAAATCCACCCGTACTCGGAGCAAAAGAAAACTAAAATAGCCGCCATTTTAAAACAAATGCGGCAAAATGCTTAATTATGGTGGATCTATTTATAAAATTGATTATATTACTTCGCCTTCATGGGTGGGACACCGGTGTTCAGATACACTGTAGATTGCGATAGAGTTAAGAAGTAGTCAATTAACCCCCTGACTTTTCTTCGCGAATCATTAGAGAATCACCATCTGGTGTTCGTCAACTCCGGCTTCACTAATCCCCGGTCGTACCGTTACTGGAACGAGAAGACCCGGGCGATAGACTTCGACGGTCTCATCGAGGATCTGAAGAACGCTCCCGAGAACTCGGTTATACTGCTGCACGCGTGCGCACATAACCCGACCGGCATCGATCCTACGCAAGAGCAATGGGAGAAGATCGCTGACGTCATGGAGGTAAGCTCCTCTACATTTGGCTGTCTACTGTAAGCATACCTATTGTTCTTCTCTTCGATTGGCGTCTTTAATATTGAGATAAAGTTACATAAAGTAATATAATAAAACTTAAATAGTTTACTTTGTAAAATAAGTCGTAATTAGTCCTTTGGAGCTTTCTTTTGGACACCAATATTATTGCTCGTATTATGAAGGACTAAAGTAATATTTTTATATCTGAGGTACTGTCATCTAATAGCGCCCACTGTTTTCAATCGCTGTAGTGCTAAAAAACAAACTAGCATATATTGTAATAATAATAATAATAATTATAATATATTTTAATAATAATGAAATTGAAGCTTTATCAGATGGTTTTTTAACGCTTGACGGTTAAAGACAGTGGACGTTATTAGGCGACAGTAACTTTATAATTCATTTACAGCAACCTATATCCTATTAATATTATAAATGTGAAAGTTTTTTGTTTGGATGTTTGACCGCCAACCACGCCGAAACTACTGAACGGATTTTGATGAAATTTGGTATACAGATAGGGTATTAGCTGACTTAGATAATAGGATACTTTTTATCCCACTTAACATTTCGCTAGGGACCACGCGATCAAAGCCGCTGGCGAAAGCTAGTATATTATAAAACTTTACGTTAATTTAATTATGTGTGTGTTAATAAATAAATGTGTGTGTGTGTGTGAATTGTATATTTGAAAGTGTGAAAGAAATATGTGTAAAAATTAACTTTTTATTATTGGTTGAATTTGACCGTAGCTTATATTATATATATTTTTTTAACTATTGTGTAAATTTTGTCACTTGTTGACGACGGACTGTTTCCTTAACTCGACGTGCTTATTTCGAGTGCAACATTGCGAGGCCTCAGTCCTACCATCCCAACACCATGTAGTACTTTAGAGAATAAATATACGAGTATATTAACTTCATTATGCACTGAACTTGATTGGTATACGCAAAAATTAGATCAGCCCTGCGATTCTGTAAAAATCCAAACCCGAATTCGAATTCACTTAAAAAAACGGCATCCACTCAACCTTGAATTAGTGATAACGTTTCGAAGTGTAACTGAAGTGATTTTTTAAAGTACATATGAATAGAATATCTGAGACAAGAATAATCAATTAAATTTATACAAAAATGTTCACCCCTCAACCTTTCTCTCCCTATGATCATATTCGTCCCTCTAAGGCCGGCAGCGCGCTTGTAGCCCCTCTGGTGTTGCAGGTGTCCATGGGCGACGGTAATCACTTACCATCAGGTGATTCGTCTGCTCGTCTGCCCCCTATCCCATAAAAAAAAAGACATGAATTCTGACACATGAGGGAATTCTGATTTGGGTTCGGATTTTTACAGAATCGCCCTGCTGTACCGAAGAAATCCCTGACTTTCTATTGTCAATCAAGCTATATCTCGGAAATAACTAAATTTGTGCAACATGGTCGAATTTTGTAATAGGGATGATGACTGGGTAAAAAAAATGCAATTCTATTTAGTCCTTAAGTCAGATAGTAGAAAAATATTAGATACGTATTTTTTTTTACTTCAATTTAACAAGAAATAGCTTAGATAACAGGCATTAAAGTTGAGGAGTGGGGGCTCGCTACGTCACAGTTGAGTAGAAAACGTATTCTAACGTGACGTCATGTGAAATTTCAACTCAATGTAACGCCGTAATTTTATGATTAGGAAAAAAATACGTGTTTAATATTTTTTAACACTACCCGACGGATAAACAAACAAAAATTAGTCATCTTCCCTATTAATATTCAAGATTGCCATTTTTTTCCATATGCTTAGTAGCGTATCGTTTGTGATTGTTTAGGAGCGCAAGTTGTTCCCGTTCTTCGATAGCGCATACCAAGGGTTCGCGTCCGGTGACCTGGACAAGGACGCGTGGGCGGTGCGGTACTTTGTCAAGAGAGGCTTCGAATTACTCTGCGCGCAGTCCTACGCCAAGAACTTTGGACTTTACAGTCAGTATAACCACAAACTATTTAATGTCGTATGCGTTTTAGTTTGTAATTTTGGCTAAACTGGCAAATTTTTGCCTAATGAAACAGAGAAGGATTTCTTTTTCAATTCCAAAGCGTGTCATTTTTTAAATTGTGAACATTGAAATTATATAATGTGCCCCCCCTCCCCCTCCAGTGGGGGGACGTAAGAGGGTCGACGATGGCACGTGTACAATCAATTATTTATTGCATAAAAAATGGCGCGGGTACAACAGATGTCATAAAATCAGAGTATCACATATTTACTGTATAACAGTGTGCAATAGTTTTAGTATGTAAAATATTATTATTTTTAAATAATTAATTTTTATTAATTTACATCATAACCTTTTTATGCATTTTATTTCTCACATCATTGACTCAAAACATGTGATACAGTTTCTATTACATCTTATTTCGTTCTTATAATTTAAAAACGTTTCGTTCTTATTTTTCATAAGTAAATCAATTTAAATGTTACAATAACAACAAGTCAAGTATGCTTAATATATAAATTCATGTCAGTTATAAAACAATTGTGTTGTAGACGAGCGCGTGGGTAATCTAACATTCGTGATATCGGACGCGGCGTGCGCGGCCGCGATGCGCTCGCAGCTCACGTGGGTAGTGCGCGGGATGTACTCCAACCCGCCCGCGCACGGCGCGAGGGTAGTAGCAAACGTGCTCGCCAACAAACAGCTGTTCGACCAGTGGTAATTATAACGTCGTCTATACTAATATAATAAATAGGAAGTATTTGTTTGTTTTCAACGAATAGGCTTCGAAACTACTGGAACGATTTTAAAAATTCTTTTGGCAAGCTAGATAATATGCGTTGGAGATAGGCTAGATTTTATTTAAGGAATTAAAACGTTACCATAGTGACTATTATTAAATATTCTTGTCATTGTAATTATATCTGTGTCATGATGTGAATCGACATCCAAATAAACAGTTGAACAGTAGGCGAAGCAGCTGGCGGGAATCTAGTATTATTATAATTATTATATTTAATCTGTAGGGTAATCTATTCTATTTGAAATAGTACTTGTAAATGTAAATGTATTTTAATTTAAATAAACAATAATACAAATATTACGGTATATAAACACATTTTCTTGCCTTAATAATAAATCAAAATCTAAACTTATTTTATATCCGCTAAAACGCTGTCCGACATATCCTTGACGTCATTTGGATATGTATACACAACAGATGCACAGAGCAGTAGATTAAAATATGTCAATAAACAAGAACAGTGCCATGTAATGGTCGATTACGAAATAGAAAAGATATAAATAAGGAATTAGATTTTAATAAATTGACGTTGTTTACGACTAATCTGACAGCTGTCGCTAGAGTGACATCGCACGATGGCGGGTCGTGTGTCAAGTTATGTGACAAACATCCAAAAAAATATTTCCTTGTAATTTTAAGATAATCGTGCTGTTTTAGGACTCAAAATCAAATATCTATGTTTATTACAATGTAAATTTTAGTTTTTGTGCAATTTCGTGATTTATTTTTCATTACCGTAACTACCCTATGCTGTTTCGATTAAAAATATTATCGAAGCCCCTTATTTTCTACAAAAAATATATTTTAGATACCCAAAGATATTGTGATATCTGTTTCTCTCAAACAGATGTCTTTATGCGTTGCCATTATGTAGGAAGAGTTACGCGAGAAATATTTTTTTAATTCGTGCTTGTCGTTTCTATGACATTGAACTAGGATTTTTTTTTAAGTAGTCGCCATGATTGTCAAAACTTGAGACTGTTGCATTTTTTAAGCATTTTCCATTAAAATATATTTATTATATTTTATTGTATTCAGTGAAGGCCTATGCCCCAGCAATGTAGACAATTATTAGGTCAAAGATGACTTAGCATAATCGAATAAATCCAATCAAAACAGCTATATCTAAGAAATCTGCTTTTAGATGTCAGTTTAAAAAATAAGATAATTATTTAGTTCATATAACAATAGTAAGAATTATTTTGTACTAGTTTTGTTACATATGTTATCATTATCTCAGGAGAGACCACATCAAGATGATGTCCAGTAGAGTAATACAAATGAGGGAGGCTTTGAGGGCGGAACTCATAAAGTAAGTAAAAATGCCATATTAAAGTTAATTTATATCACTTAACTTTAGTACATCTCAGTTCTATACTAGAAATTTGGTCCTTCGAGTCGATAAATATCAAGATACCTAAATCTTAAATGGAAGAAGAAATTGTGTTTCAAATGTTTTATATTACACGTTCAATATAAATTATTAATTTATAGTTTATTATACTACATGTATTTTAAGAATATTTATTCCGTTTATAATTTGCATAAATGTGCCATTTAAATTGTTCTACCCTACAATAAACAGGATCATAATATATATCTACATATTTTAATCGATATATAAGTACAATATTTAACAACATCACATATATTGCCGACTCCAAGATGAGTAGCTAAAGCCCCCGTATTATAGAGTATCTGTGACAACGAAGGTATCATAACACGAGACTATATTAGAAAAGTTATATCATCTTAAAAAGTTGTATTAAAAACATTTTCCACAAACAGACTAATAATTATTAGTCGGCATTAGGACCCGGGTTCTATTATAATAGAACCTGGGACCTATAATAGAACCTGGGTCCTCACAGATGGTCACCTTGAACCGTATGAGGTCGTCAAGATACTTACGACAGTCAAATGCTGTGAGTTACGTTGTTTTCAAACCATTTTTAAGTACATTAAGGGGTTGATTTTCAAAATCTCATAATCGATATTTGCCTTCAGATTGGGCACCCCTGGCAACTGGGACCACATAGTGAAACAGATCGGTCTGTTCTCGTACACGGGTCTGACTCCCCGTCAAGTGGAACATCTGATCCAGGAGCACCACATATACCTGTTAAAGTCCGGTCGCATCAACATATGCGGCCTCAACCCCTCCAACGTGCAATACGTCGCCGCCGCCATACACGATGCCGTCACCAAGTTCCCGGCCGAACAGTAATTCTATACACATTATATTTTGCATTCGCAATGCTATACTGAAAAAAAAAAATTCTTAGAGAAAAATAATTAAAAAGTCAACATCCGGTACCTTACAGGACTGATTCCACTTTGCTACCCAGGACCTAACAGGACTGACGATTTCTTCAAACACTTGTTTAGAGCAGGTTCGAGTCCCATCTCAGTATACCAGTGCCAAGTAGATTTTTTAAGCACTTTTCATTAAGAATATTTTTTTTAGTATAGCCGTCTTCTGCACAGGTACATCGGTGAGTCATATTAGTTGAGTTTTACGGTAAGCCTTGATATGTTAATTTATTACGAACTTTAAAGAAAGTTTTTTAAACGGTCATACCTCGATACAAGCAGCAATCGTAAAGCGAAATTAATTCAATCATAAATTTTATTAAGCACATAGTTTCAACTCGATTCAGACGTTTTATGAAGGTTGATTAGTGACGCGGTAGCCCCACTAGTTAATGTTATACAGATAGTTGGAAAAGGTTCACAAAGTAAGTATTTTAAATGTTAAAAAATTTACTCTATTTTAGACCTTATTCCTGAGCATTTAATGCCACCAAGACGACCCATTATAGAAACTATAGTGTGAACCTCGTCCAAAATAAGAGGACTCTTATAGTACAACTATAAATATATTATTAAAAGTGAACTTACTCCAGGGGAATTAATAAAATATCAAATTAAAATATCTGTCTTAAAAACTGTGAAAAGTGACAGAAAATCGTCATAATCTGAACTAAGATTTTTAATTCGGGTCAGTATAATGACATTTACACATCGACTTTATGTACTTCTGCAAAAGGTCTAATTTTATTGACTCCAATTTAAAATCGTAGTTAAGTGTGTATATATTTCAGAATGTACTATTTCCAATTCTATATTCAGATTTGATAGTTACTATAGAGATTTTTAAGAGAAGAGAGTAGTCAGCTTGTATTATACTTTTCACAGTTAAACAACATCTTGTTTAAAAATTAATTCTTTTACCACGCATATGTTTTAGTTATCAATAGATGTATTGTTGTATTATGTTTTCGGAGATATATATTAAATTGATTTAAATTACTAATATTTCAAATTGCACAATCAATAAAGAAACTCAATGAGCAAGTAGATAAATTATTTACTTGAGATAATGTGATTAAAAATGATAATTCAAAATGATTAAATAAGACAAAAAAAATGCTATTGTCTATTTGTTAAATAGTAAATTCATCGGCAAAATGTATCTTAAGAGAATAATATGTATTCGGGTAGCTATTACTTTTTATTGTTATTGACATATAAAAGATACCAATAATTTGACTTTCTAAACATTTCAACGTGATAGCAATAAAATATTAACACATTTTTCATCATTTTCATACTATTTTGACGTGACGTCGATTGGTTCGATAAATTTATAGATATATAGTTTGTCAACTCTGATTGAGATTATTGTAGTTTTGTAAAGGGATTGTTTCAGTTTTGAATGACGATAGGGGTTTTACACGTGCACTAGTACACGCCATACTCGGTAGTGTAATTTTAAAAGCTTTTTCTATTTTTATTTATTAAATATTTTCAGTGATTCACTTGTTTAGGTTCAGTTAAAAGCAATAGTATCTATATAGTCTATATTGAATATATCCATTGACCTATCGGGGATATTATCCAAAACTAAGCACTTGTTGGAAAATGTACGTCCAGAAATCAATGAAGAATACTAAATAAATTTGACTTGATGTTTTTCATCTTATTTTTACACTTGTAATTTATCTAGTGTTTATTTAGTGCACATGTAATAGTATAAAATGAAAATTTTCTCGTTAACTAATGCAAACTCAAAGTTACCATAAATAGAGCTGTAATGTAAATGATGTAGTTTCAAATCATATTTAGATTAATATAATTCACTCATTTATTCTCATTGAACAAATAAGTTCAAAGAGTATATAAATCAATGTTCTTTATTTACAATATAAAACCCCTATTAAAAGTTACTACTCGATTTTAGATTTTTTTAAGTTAGCAACATTGTTATATAACGAATGCGTTTTACTAGAAAAAAAGGCTTGATATTATTAGTTTTTTATATGTTTGTGTTTTCTTTATTTGCTTTGTAAGGCTGTGAGATTTATTTTGAAATATTTTATCAAATATATATCTTAACTTGATAGTAAAAAATTTGAGAATCTTTTAAATACACTCGAGGTCAAGAAAGTCGGATCACTATAAATTAGAATTTTAAATGCCATCACTAATTGTCACTTGGTATCGTTCAAATGAATGTTTCATATTATCGTAATAGAAATATAAATCTATGAATAATATAAAGTTGATTTGAATGATAAATTAGTGACTGTAGTGTAAAAGATATGTTCATATAAACACTGCCTATGAACAATGAATCATGTGTTCAAATATATACGGATTGTGTGTATGGGACTTATTGGTCGATATATTTACGTAGTTGTTAACAGAGTTGTTATAATTATTTTTATGCGGACAATAAGTCAACAGTATTAATTGCTTTTAGTGTTTTCAGCATTTTGTTTATTAGAGCTGCCGTTATTATATATATATAAATATATTTTGTTATTTTTTTAACCACATCTATTGTAAGATAATGTTGCAAATATAATATCGATTGTTATAATGTTGGTTTTATTGTGTAGGTAGTTTTTTTCTTTTCCTTTGTTTTTAGGTTTGACTATAAAATTTATAGGCCTTAAAATTATTCGAATAAAAAATCAATGAGATCTAAAGATTTCTTTATAGTATTTTCCATTGTTGCCTAATCGAAATTGCAAATATTTATATCTGTAATCTCGATAGGACTCTGTAAACTATCGAAATATTTGTTCTAGAGAAAAAAATAAATAAAACCAGAGCTGTAAAATTGAGCTAAAGGCCGAAAATGGCCTCAATACCATTAAATATTAAAACTTCAATAATAATTACTAATTTATTTATTAAATTGGAATCAAATATTTATTTGACACGGACAAGCTGCGATCCAAAATTAATATTTAAAAGTACTTTGTTAGTAACATTTTTATTCGCAAATATTCACATTCAATATACTTAAATTCTATTGAGTCAGATGGATGTAATTTACACGTCAGATCAAGATCATTTATTTTTATTAGATAACCTTTTAATCATCGAACACAAAAACATTAAATTAAATTGACCGAAAAAAAACTTAAATTTACTAAAAGCGCCATCTCTTGGTGATTTTCCAACTAAAACATAAGGACATAAAAACTGAATATTATACAAACTAAATTCATTAACTGTTGATAATTCATTACCACCAGCCCTTTTACGTCCCCACTGCAGGGGCTCAGGCCTTCCTTATGGATGGTTAAGGAGGATGGGCCATTACCCTCCACGCTGGCCCAATGCGGATTGGAGGGTAAATACTTGTTTATTCAGAAAGATTGATATTCATACGACATATCCTAAAAACTACTTTGTTTCTATTACATTACCTTTATATTTCTCGTAAACATATTAATATCAAGTCATTTATGTATTTAAGGCGCCATCTTTTGATGAAAACCATCAAAAAGTTATAGGTTTTTTAATTTAAAAAATTATTTAGTTAGCTTATAACAATAGGTATATTATTTAACTATTAGAATGATTTATTTGTCTATTGATTGACTTAGAAACATTTTTCAAATCACAACGAAAAACTGACTTTCTTAAAGTTGAGTTTTTTTGCTCCGACAATATAGACATCAATATCATATCATGTACTTAGAGTGCCATCTCTTGGTGGTTTTCCAAACAAATTATAACCTCAAAATGAATTATATTTTGCGTGATAATAAGTTCTAAAACTTGGTCGCGGTATAATAAATATACAATGAGAATTAGTTAGTGACACAAATTAAAATAAGTATTTTCCTATATTTTTTTGGCTCTGGGGCCACCAATGTGTGGACGTTGAGAGGAGACATTATAATCTACGTTTTCAATTTTACGTTGCCGTCTATTCAAATTAAACATATTACAATGGTTGATTTTATATTAAAGTTTTAGCCTGCGCATGGTATCGAATTGTAATGCTCTTTACATTGTAGAACTACCCGCGCTTAAGGCAACTATCATGACCATACGTATAATGAAAAGAAACAAAATTAACAGTAATCATAATCTTTTAATGTTAAATAATAATATATTATTGCTATGTATCCATAGCACTCGGCTCTGTTTTCACTGCTACAAGCGGTCGAGATCCAAATTTGTTCATAACTGAAAGAAAAAAATACTACATTTTATAATTTTCAAAATCAGGGTTCAGAAAACCTTTTCAATATATTTATGTACTTAAGAATTCATTTGTTTTTGCTATTAGAGTTGTTATCATTTGTTTAAATAAACGGGAAGCCCGGGATACTCGCCGACATCCGTCGCTAGTTTTACTTTTGGGATTTTGGGTGTTTCCCTTCGACACTTGACACAGTAAAAATACTAGACCATAGGAAAGTACGCTGATTAAAAACCTTACAACTCTTCTGAATTGTAAGATTTTAGAATGTCCAATTCCAAAAACGTCCAGTTTTTCTAAATGTCCAATTCCTGAAATGTCCGATATTTATTTATTGAATACACAAATGAATAACTTGTAGTATCATTAATGCTACTATAAAACGGATATTTAAACATCTGTGCCATCCTTCTTCGCTTGTTGTTGTGTCATCAAACTCCTAGATGGCGCTGTTCTTAGCTAATTTATATATCGCTAAATGGCGTCGTTCTTGTTTTATTGACATCTTTTAATCTTCTATCCATCTGTTTTATGTACATATCACAACTACGTTATGAATATGACGGACAGCATTTTCGCGGGTATATAAAACAGACTAGAATACCTTATTTTCATTAAATATTATTCTTTGAAACACAGACTCAATACTTACTCAATGACAATTGGCGTTAGTATACCGAATCAAGAGTACGAAACGTCACAATTGTAATGTAGATTGATCGTGTTTGCATGCTGGACATTTCGGAGATTAGATATTTAGAAGGCTGTACATTACAGGAATCGGACATCCTGAATAGAACATATTATAAGGTGACCGTATATTGAATGGGATATCAGTGTTACGTACCTTGTTCTACCTGGTCGAGTTCCACCAGTTGTATGCAGCTCTGCTTGTTGTCGCCGCCCACTGCCACAGACCACGCTGCCTCCGGGCACAGCGCCGCACACAGCGCTGCGCCTACGCGACTCGTGCTCTCGCTCACCTGCACCGCGCCAGAACTGGTGGTATATACCACCGTAAATCAGTCCTTTTTACGTTAAAGAGGATGTACCATGACCCTCCTCGCTGGCCCTATGCGCATTTACGTGCAGTCCAAAGCACGGAGGAGCATCATCACCAGCCCTTTTATGTCCCCACTGCAGGGGCTCAGGCCTTCCTTATGGATGGTTAATGAGGATGGGCCATGACCCTCCACGCTGGCCTAATGCGGATTGGAGGGTATTAACGACTGCAAATGCAGCCGCGACCAACGGCTTAACGTGCCTTCCGAAGCACGGAGTAGCTCGAGATAATAATTTTTTCGTCACCCATCCCGTGACCGACCCTTGCGAAAGTTGTTTAACGACAACGATCGAAGGCCGCGACTCTTATCCACTACGCCCCCAAACTACTCAATATATACTACCACCATACATTCATATAAAATTGTCAAACGAATCGATATTTTGAGACAGAAGGATCGAGATAAAATGAGCTAGTTTAGCTGACGGGCCATTCAATATTTGTCAATATTTACGTTAGAGTACGTTTTCTACTTAACTGTGACGTATCGAGCCCCCACTCCTCAACTTTAATGCCTGTTATCTAAGCTATTTCTTGTTAATTTGAAGTAAAAAAAAAAATACGTATCTAATATTTTTCTATTATCTGACTGACGGACTAAATAGAATTGCAATTTTTTTACCCAGTTATCATCCCTATTAAATCGTATTTTTATATTGCAAGTATATGCATACAATTGTAAATAAACTAGCAATTGGCTACTCGACAGTAAACAATTAATTATGTGATTTATTTAGGATGACAACTTATATAATGCAAGCAAAATTCAATTTACTTATTGGGGTGGTCTCAAAACAATTATTGAACAAATCATTATTAGTGGACAATAAATATGCAGTATTATCTGTTTTAAAATAAATAATGTTCTGTATATTTCACTTTTACAAAATTAACTTGCTATGTATAAATCTGTAGTTTACGAGAACCGAAATTCGGACGGCCGCGATGAAGCATCGTGTGACGTCACATTTCAATTCGAAGGGTTAAACATCAACGTTTTTGTAGCGAATGCAACCAGTACATTTTTTTTTTAAATATGGCGTCACGGCTTTTAATGTCACGGACTGTCTTCGCGGGACAATCAAAAATTAATGAATTAAAAAAGTTTTTCCTATATTTAATATCCACTTTGGAGGAAAATAAGTAGTTGCCCATTGTGTGTGAGTAATCCGTCTCCATAGTTACCTTGTTATATCCCATGTCTTGAGTTTCCCATCCATGCCGACTGTTATCATCATACCGGGCACTTTTTCGTTCAGTATCAAACCTTAAATATAAATTCTAATTCATGTATATGCACTAGCACAGGTAGTTCTAGAAATTAATCTTATTCATGTCTTAAAATCAGCGAATCATTAATTAAAAAAATGTTAATGGGTGTTTAGTAATTTTTTTTTTATTGATTGCTAAACAGTTAGTATAAATAACTGGTATATATTATAATATGTATTCGATAATAATAAAACATGTGTACCTGTGACTTCCTTTTCGTGCGCGTTTATAGTCCACAACGGTTCGTCCTGCCTGCAGTCGACATATGCCACTTTCCCCACATTATTGCTCATCTAGAACGACAAAAATATATAAGTGATGAGACTCGAGTAGGATTTAGTGACTGACAGCCAGTTGCACAAAAGTCCATTAAGGTTTAATGGCGCCTTTAAGCTCTAATGAATGTCGAATTTGTATGGGTAATGTCACTTTAAACTAATGAGAACTTTAACGGACGTTTGTGCAACTGACTGTGAGTCACTCAAGCTATTTAACTGTCATAGTCAAGTTTTTGAGTCACTCATGTAAAAAAATGCATACTTGAGTGAGATTTCTCTTAGTCATTTTAAACAAATACCTATATAACATTAATGAAGTACACATAAAAGGAGTTTACACACATTATTTATTTAAGTAATGAAGAAAATAAAAAATAGGCTGTGTAGATAAATAAATTACTACTCTAGTTAGTGAAATCTAGTGGCAAGAGAATCAACTTGATGTGCAGAGTTGACTCGATAACTTTTTTTTTACTTGAGCATGAGTTTGAAACGTTCACTGGTATGACACGAGTAAACACAGGGCTTTTTGCTATTGTACTATTTACCTGAAGTCCAATATTATTATATATCTGTTACTACTGATACGTAAGGAAGAGATTACACGAGATAATAGTACAATGGTGAAATACAAGTAGGATTCTATTGAGATGCTATTATTACGTGAACAATAGCTGAATTGATCAGCTCAGTGGCGTAGTGGATAAGCTGCATTTGCAGTCGTTAATACCCTCCAAACTGCATTAGCCCTGCGTGGAGATTCATTGCCCAACCTCCTCAACCCATAAGGAAGGCCTGTGCCCCTACAGTGGAGACGTAAAAGGGCTGATGATTACTAGCAGAATATTCTACTCTGTTCGAAATTCGTAGGTGTTTATTTTAACTTAAATAAGCATTTTCTTGCTTTTAAAATTAAATCAAAATTTAAACTTATTTTCTACCCGCGAAAACGCTGTCCGAGATATTCATGACGTCATTCGTATATATATATACAAAACAGATGCACAGAGTAGTAGTTTAAAAGAGGCCAACAAAACAAGAAAAGTGCCATCGGTCGATTACGAATTAAAAAAAGGCATCTAGGAATTTGACGTACACAATAATAAACCGGTATCGTTGACGACTAATTTGGCAGCTGTGTACAAAGTCACGTGACACATACGAAAATAAAAAAATACTCGACGCATCAATAATAACAAGATAATATAGCTATTATTTCCCAGATAGCATGGAAACTTGGGGCAAGTTTGACTTTCTTTGATTTTTAATTGCTGTGTCAAATATGACGAGGCAAGTTTGTGACAATGTCTCTGTAATATTGTTATGTTAAATATGAAGTTTCAAGTATGCGACAATATTGTTTGAATATTGTTATGACAAAGATACTTATATGTAACACACCCATCATCATCATAGGTGCCCGAATAGTTCTAAGTCTGCAAACTAGATGGCACCGTTCATTTAATGCATCGCGGTATTAGTTTATATTGTTAGATTGTATAAGTAATATGCCGTTTAATGTGATCATAATATGGGATTCGAAACCAACAGTTCCAGACTCTTAGGCTATGCTCTGTGCTATAGTTCAAGTTTAAAGTTGGTCCAAAAGCGATCGGATCAAAAGTTTGTATTGATCAAAAGATTAATAAATACTACGGTAGTAGTAATAATGGTTTTTCTAGGTACACTTGCACTACCTTTGATACGTCAAAGTTAGTGCGAGTTAGTCACACTGAAACTAGAAAGTTTGATTTAAACTTGCTGCAAGTTGCTGCAGTTGTCATGGCAACCTTGAAGCAAGTCTTCTTTTTTGATGTATCAAACTTGTTGCAAGTAAGAAACAAGTTAAAATTGCTACCTGGGTTATTTCTCAAAATCCAAATCCCCATATTTACCGCGATGTGCCCTATTAAGCCAATAGGCGTGTATATTTACCGCGAAACAGAACGGACTATGAGCGTCCCAGTGCACTCGTTCGATCTCGCCGTGTAATGACCACGCGCGGCACGCCGCCGCCGCCGACCGGCAGTCGGTAACGCGCGCGCGGCCGTCGCACGCGCCCGTGAGCAGCGTCTGCGCCTCGTACGGGTGGAACGACAACGACTGTACCTGTGCGATGCCGGACGAAAATCTTATTACCAATATCCCAATATCGAAAAAAGAACAAACTAATGGTTTTCGTAATGAAAAAAGAATACATTTAAAATCTACTCCAGGCATTCTTTATTCCTGGTGTAACTAATGAGCGGTCGTAAAAAAAAGAGGTAGTGACGGTAGATAGAAAAAAAAAAAATTAATTATTACTTGTAATGAGAGAAAAAAATTAATTACATTATAAATTACTCCAAGCATCCTTTATTCCTGGTCTATACTCCATTGATTATAACATTAGAAAAAAGAGGGTCATAGAAGCAGCAGTTAAGAACATTTTATTTTCAAGATATTTAAAAAAAAAAATCATTTTGTTAAAAACTTTGAACATTAGGTAGTCTGAAAGAGCTGGGCAATTTTCTATTTTTTAAGATACCTCGGGGTTGAGATGAGGCCAGCATTTTATAAATTCATCTTTTACTCCCAAGCCAAAATGGAACTAAAACTGAAACTATCTATCTGTTGTTTTGATAATTCTAATTGTAAGTGTAATTAGTTAGACTATTGATGAAGACATTGGAAAAACTTCCTGAAATGTCAAGGTTGAGGGTAGGCATGGGGGCTTAGAGTGTATTTTTGTAGGGCCTGCTTTTTCACTCGGGCCTGCACCCGAATCGCAATTTAGCAAAACTAAACAACATTAAGATAGCAACTAAAACAAAACTATAAGAAAACAACAATGAAACAGTAATTACTCAATCACCGAAAATGACAAAATAACAAGAAAGGATTCACAATGAATGACAATCTCAGATTACATATTTTGACTATTATGAATAAATCATAATCTGACAAAATTAAAAAGCTGTACTGCTGAAACGTTTGAAGGGATTAGGCAATGTTTTAAATTTGGTAGAGTAATAGGGACACGAGAATCATGCCGAAACTATCTAACCCTGCTTCTTTAGGTTCTTTAAGATGAACACTTTTTATTGTAATAATTATTAAATGTTTTCATAATAATTAGCCAGTCAAATACTCATAAATTGTTAAATATATAGCTTAAAAGACTACGGTTAAGTATAGCAGCTGGTATTTAAGTGGATATGTAGCAAATTAGCCGTTAGTCTTAAGAGTAACATGATCGTTGACATTTTGTCACAAAGTACACCATAAAAAGAACCTTATTTTCATTCCGTCTAATGCTATAATGAATGGAGTATAACTAATGAGCGGTCATAAAAAAGAGGTAGTGACGGTAGATAGAAAAAAAATGGAAATATTAGTAATTATTATTTTGATGTACTGTGAAATGTTGTAATGTTTGCAGTGCATTATTTCTGAAGGTTATCGTGTATTATTATTTGTTTTTATACAGACTGTCGCTTTCACTTTCGACAATGTAAGTTACCTAGCTGTCGACTGTTATTATGGTGCTCGTTTGAAAATTTTCGTTTGTTTTTATAATTTTAGATTACAAACTAATAATCAGAGGTCGGAATTAGGTAGAGTTATTTATGTACTTGCATCGAAATTTTGATATTAATGTGGACATCCCCCGGGATTTCTAATGGACAATTTCTAATTCTTTGGACATCCGATGTCATTGATGTAAGTTTGGCAACGTCGTGCGTGCAGAAGTTTAAATTGTGTAAAAGTAAATAACTTTTTATTTAAAAAATCACGGGATTTTTTCTGCTCTTTAAAATTAATCTCGGGATTTGAGGCATATCCACTTTATTCTTTCGCTGTATGAAATCAGTGTAAATACATGAATAACTCTACCTAATTCCGACCACTGCTAATAATTTTAATGTATAAATGAACATGACAGTTATTTTGAGAATAAAATGTCTTTAAACCTAAAATCTTTGCCTAATGGCCGGAGGCTGGTTTACACGTAATTAAGTAGTAAGTAGGTTCTTATCTTAAATACAATTAAGATCATAAGTATTCACTTAAATAGGGATAAGTACTAATTTTTGTTTATTTGACCATCAGGTACGTTGTTGAAGAATATTAAATACTTTTTTTGCTTAATGATTTAATTACGACGTAGCGAGCCCCCACTCCTTTACTTTAATGCGTGTTATTTTAATTTTATCCAGTCTTCATCCCTATTCAGAATCTATTTAATTCTAATCTCAAATTCAATTAAGCTCATAACTAAGCTTTCTTAACGCCCGATTATAGGATGGGTGATCAAACATTAACTACGTCAAGCCATCGGTCTCGGCCGCATCTGCAATCATTAACAACTGCCAATTGAAACAGGACCCGTGTAGTACGTTGAAGACTGAGAGCCTTTTGGCCTACAGGTAAAGTCTCGGAGTTTTGTATAATATGCTGATCTTAAAGATAAATGGTCAAATACCTACTTTGTCTTGAAAATAATCTAATTTTGTGTGCGGCGTTCCCTGATCTAAATCCCAAAGTAGCACTGTTTTGTCTGTTGATCCGCTCGCCAACACATGCCTAGAATACGAATAATAATGTTAAAATAAATACCTACATGCCAATACTGCAAATATTTATGTAATAAATAATATCGTCTCAATAGTATCTCAACTACTTGTACTTTGCCATTGTACTACCTGAAGTCCAATATTATTAGTGCAATGTCTTCCTCACATCAATAGTGACTAGTGATGTACATCTGGTTATATTATCACTGGCGAAAATTTTCCATTCAATTTTTCGGGCACATTGGGAATATTGCCTAAAATGCCCAGTAGATTTTTAGTTGTGTTACAATACATTTATTTTACTAAATTTTAGAATTTATCTTACTAAGCTTTGAACCAGTGAGTATATTAAGAGGTTCACTGACTATATATGTACATAAATTTTTAAGACAAAATATATCGTGCGTTCCTTATTTGTAATTGTCCTAATTGTAATTGTGCATAATTTTATCTGTATCTTCCACGTCAATCTCAAGAGAGGTAGATTTCTCTCTCTTCTCACATTTTCGTCATTTTTATACATATATTCATACTAGCAAAAGAAACAAACTACAAATATGCTACATAGCTCATAATTGGAAACCATGTATGAAAAAAAAAACACATTTATGCTACTAAATGCACCACTGAAAAAGCTAACTCCAGTAATTAATATTGTATTGTATAAGCCTGTAAAATTTCTAATGGTAATATTGTTGGGAAGTTTTGCAACTCACTGGGAATTTTGATTATTATGATATTTTAATACCTAGGTGCTTTTGTTTCTAGTCCATAGATATATCTTAAAGTATTTTCAATTCAAATAAAATATTTAATAAATATAGAAAATTAACCCAACACTCCCAGTAAATTCCCACTTCACACCCAAATTCCAGTCCTTGGCCGTGTATCCGAGCAGGGTACATCACTAATGGCGACAGATATAAGTATAATGATACTAGTGGACGCCCGCGACTTCGTCCGCGTGGAAGTCGGTATCCCGTGGGAGTGAGAAGTTTTCCCAGTAAAAAGTACCCTATGTGTTATTCTGATGTATAACCTATATTGCTGTAAAGTTTTATCCAAATCCGTCCAGTAGTTTTTTCGTGAAAGAGTAACAAACATCCATACATCCATACTTACAAACTTTCGCCTTTATAATATTAATAGGATTGGTCTTCAGGTAGATAGTATAATGCCAAAATGCTACTTGCATTTTCTCGGGGTACTGGGGTGGTGGAATATTGAAGCATTTTTCATCGAATATAATAATTGACGTTTTCTATCGTCTTCTTATTTTGTGTACCAATAGTATAAACGAAGTACTACTTTTGTGCTCATCTAATAAGATTATATTGATACAAGCCGTTTGTTCTTTCCGAGTCGTCTTTACTAGGATTCATCATTATCATCATCAGCCCATTTACATCCTCAGTTAAGGAGGATGGGCTGTGACCCTCCACGCGGGCCCAATGCCGATTGGAGGGTATTAACGGCTGCAAATGAAGCTGAGACTAACTGCTCAACGTGCCTTCGGAAGCACGGAGTAGTTTGAGATAATAATTTTTCGGTCACCTATCCCGTGACCGACCCTTACAAAAGTTGCTTAACAACAACAATCGCGGGCCGCGGCGCTACGCACTACGCCACCAACTCCTTAACTAAACTTACTTAATTAGGATTAACTTACGTGAAATTTCTGTTCCAAGACAAATCCAATACTGCGTCTTTGTGGCCGACCCGTTTAGTTTTTTTCTTTTTATTGGGCTTCCTGCCGAGTTTGAAGGCTGGCTCCAAACAGTTCTCTATGTCGAGGTCCCACACTTGTATCACAGGGTCCATGCCGCCCAGTGCACACAGATTACCTACACATACAAAAAAATACATATAAAGTCTAAATTTTCTAATTACTGTCTTATTCAGAGACACTATAATGTATTGATGATTTTTATTTTGCTCTATTTACTTATAATAAGCATGATAATATCAACTGCTACGTGCTAAACCTATTAATTTTGTTGCAAATGTGGAGTTAAATAAGAGAGAAAACGACATTTTTAAAATCTATGATATTCTGCCGCAAGTCTATGTCAGCGTATTATTTTTTACAAAAAAAAAAAATAGGGAACATTCATATTAACTGTTATGTGAAATAATACCTAATTATGTATAATAGATCAGTGCAGTTTTTATTCTCTGCCAATCCCTAATCCCTATTATATTTTTTAGCATATATAGAAAGAAATACAAATGATGCTGCAAAAACTATTGCTAGGTCAAAATAATGCAGCAAACCAATAAATATTTTTGTAAGGTACTCACCAGGCTGTGGTTCCGACGGATCGTGGCTCAGCCACTCTATGCATAGAGGGAACCATGGCAAAATTATGTCATGGTGGACATAGAAAGAACCTTCGTCCTTGTTGAAAACTAAAACAATATTAACACAGTTTATATAACGTTAGCGAATTCGTTTGTAAATGCCCACTATTATTTACAAGAGGAATGAAAATTCTGGGTATACTATTTCTCTAAATGTTTAGGATATATATATATATATATATATATATATATATATATATATATATATATATATATATATATATAGTGGTTCATTTACACTGGTCGACAGGGTCAACACAAAGCGTGCGGGCGAACTCTATGTATTCATCTCATCGAAACAGAACCAATGTAAATACCCTTAAAGTAAAAATATTAAAGCAATGTAAAGCAATGCTTGTATTTATTATTATTATCAAGGTATGTTTGCAAAATAACAACATGATAAACTTGTAATTGGGCCAAATAGACGATCAATCTAGCGTCCATTGAATCCGTAGCGTTGATAACAGTGATTTTGTTGATTGATACCAGATTGAAATGAATAAAATATTGTTAATGTTGTCATCAATCAGCATCTTACATTTTAGTTTTATTTTTTATACTTATCTTCAAATATGAGAAAGTAATGATTAAGCTTTCGCCCATTTTTTAATTGTATCCAAATTCCGTACAAATTTATTTGTTTATTTAATCGGTGAAAATGTATAGTAAACTCAAAAGGCCGTATCAGTAAAAGTAAAGGACAAACTGGTTACACATCTACTGGCCAGTCACTCCCTAAAATGGAGTTTGAAAAGAGAATATAAAAGTATCATAATTGTGATTTTTCAATATTATTTTTAAAATTAATACAGAAGATGTTTGATTCAATTTGGCTGTTGACAAATGCTAAAGCAAACGGCTAATATAGCTGTAGGAGTCTTATATTCGATCAATCAAGCATTCCCATGTCAGAGTACCAAGTGGATTTTAAACATTTTTCAATAATAATATTTTGCAGGATTCTCATTAAAACTAGCTGTTATAACGAAATTTCGCCCGCATAAATTATACCCTATGTCACTCGCTTATGATGAAGATGAAGATCTTTCTATTCTTTAAAAAATAAGTCCAGTAGTTTTGGAGCTTATTCGATGCAAAGTTACGATCAAATCACTCCTCTTTATAATATTACCATAGATAAAATAAACAATGTAATATCTTACTGTAAACTTCTAGCACACTAGCGTCACTTTCCACATGCCCCACCAATAGAAGGTTATCATCTGCTTTTATAATATCATCTTCCTCGTCACTGTCAGCTCCTTCCGTCTGTAAAGTTAGAGGTTTATTACTTATTGTGCTTCAGGTAAGGTTGAATATTCTTAAGCACATTTTAAACTCATGTATTATAATAAAAACTATTTCAGTCACATGGAATTCAATGACTTACGGCTTGTATTGTTGGGACTAATAAAACTATGTATAATATTCATAAAGTTCAGAATATAAAATTTTATAATTACCCTTATTTGAACATTATCACTCAAGTCTCCTAAGTTTGGTAGAGTTGCTACTGAACCAATTCCAATAGGGTTACCTGGAATAAGAAAACTTTTTTGTCTGATTATTGAATTAATAGAGGTTTTAAAATTTTTCTGAATCAAAGAATTTTAACATATAACGCATTATTTCTAAATGCTGAAAAAAAGAGGCTGAATGTTTATTGGTGTCATAAGAGACAGACTTTACTCTCATAGAGTCTGCAGTAAAACTAAAATGTTTCACGTACAACTTGTTGCTAATCTAAAACGAAACTGTTTTATATGATTTTCAGTATCAATATTCTTGTTTATGAGTGTTTTTAATTTTTTTTTTTGTATCAGTTCTGTTTCATAGAGATTTTGATAAAGCATAAACAATGTTTATTACTATGATGCACAAGTAAAAAGCAATAATAGTAATTGTCTTACTTGTATCTTCTGTGTCATAATTTTCAAAATCAAATTCATCATTTGGGTTTCTTGGTGCGTCACATGGTGTACTCACTTCATCTTCATCACTGACATCATCTCCAGCCTCTGTTATTCTAAATCAATCATAAGATCTGAATCATCACAAGAATAGGAATAAGATTAATTTATTTCAGAATTAATCTGAAGCTTTATATAAATACAAAAACATTATTAAATTATAGTTATAAATATTAAATTAAACATATAAACTTTACAATAAATTTGTCGCTAGTACTGATGAAACCTAAATAAAGCGGATGTTCGCTTATAAAAATGGAATTAAATTTATTTTTCTTCATTTATCAAAAGAATTAAAATTAGGGTAAAGTAAAATTGAATGCTAGCCTAGTGATCATATATGACTTTAGAAAATCTTCTTAGAACACCAAGTTTTCCATTGATAGGTCAGAGAAGCTGCACACATATTGGTAATAATTGAATTGGGGATTTGTACAATATATAATATGTATTGATTTTTAAAGCAGTAGGAATAAGTTTAAGAATTTATTTCATATTTATCTGTATCAAAGTCAAATTTTACTGATATGCTGTTACAACCAAATTTTCTTGGTGCCATAATTAATATGTTTAAGGAGTCTCTTTAATTAATTTGATTTGCAAATGGATGGGTAAATGTAATGACACTTCAATTTTAATGGACATTCAATTATTATTATTTTAGTAGGTGTGTTCATCATTCCAGTTTAAATTTTAATTCTCATCTATAATAGGCTTGTGAACATTTTTTGTTATATGTTCAGATAATATGAACCATTTTAACTTATAAATATTTAACAAAATAAATTTTATGACACTAATTTGGATAATATTACACATTAAAAATCACTACAAAAATTTGCTAAAATACATATGGCATTACATTAGTTACATATTACATTACAACTTTCTTTATAATTTTTGTAATATCTATATTTATGATAGATATTACAAAAGTTGTTCAGATGCACATACATTTATTGCTACTGAAGAACTGTGAGAAGTCACTTATTGCCTACAATTTGTAGGGAGCGTTTTCGGCCAACTAGCAGCAGTTTCATTAACATAGCACTGTGTCTCCAAACTATTATTGACAAGCATGCTGTTACTTCTACATTATTTCTTAGATATTAATAGACTTGTTATTTATAAAATAAAATAAAAAATTGTCAATAAGCCTATTTGTATGATGTGAGTTGTAGGCTGCCAGTCTCTAGGACAGCAATCCTTTCAAATGAACCAAACAGGAAGAATGTAGTAATGACCCAACATTACAAATATCCTTCAATTGTGCACAAACATATTGTTATTGCGCTTGCACATATGCAACTATCCAATTTGTCATAGTAAAGAGAACCTAAAATGTTTACGATATTTATCAGCAGGTAAATACAATGGCCAATGTATGAAATGCTCTATGTTCAGAGAAGAACAAAAGCATCATTTCGTTATTACACATATTCAGAATTTGCCATAATATAAAATATTTCGTTCGTATCATAATTAACATAAGCGACACGACGTAAATTATATATTTTTTAATTTTAATAAAATAATTGGGTTTTATTTCATATTTATTATAATTATGTAACTGACGTAATTTAATGGTCTGTGTTGCTTAAGCATCCATAAATTAGTATGAGAAACTAAGGAAAGGAAAAAAGGTATCGTATGCAGGTGAGGTTATGTAAATTGTTTTGAAAAATAAAATATTGTTACCTTAATTCATCAGCAGTTTGTTTGATAATAGTTTCAAGTTCCTTTTCTGTTAATTCAATCTGGAATAGATAAATGTTTAAAAGTCTTTTAATCCAAGAGATTAACTTTGTTTAATGATACGGCATTGGCAAAATGAAAAGACAAACCTTTTCTGGAACTGCTTTGGCTACACCTCGCCTCACGAATTGCATACAAGAAACTAAACTAACTGTGGGTGTGTTTTCTTCCATTTTAATTTATATATTCAACTGAAATCAAACTTAAAACGAAATGTTTTTCCGCGTGCTATTTTTATCAAACTGTATATTGTAGCTTCCCACAGGTAAAAGAATTTTAAAAATCTGTCCAGTCCAGTCACAATTAGGTTTCAAAGTCTACTCGAGGCAAACAAACATACAAATCTTCCCTCTTTATAATATGAATTTGACTAGTTTTCCGACACCGGTTTAAAAGTAGCTTAAATATTTATTTGACTTACAATTATTTGTATTCCAAATTTCATCAAAATCCATTTAGTAACATGAGAGTACCAAATATCCATCTTCATAAACTTTCACATTTACATTATAGAAATTGAATTTTATTTTGTATTTTACATAGTTTTAAAAACTATCAATACCTAAATATTCTTTATAAATATATTAACGGTTCTTTAAAAATATATTTTGTAAAGTTTTGCAATTATAGTTAAATAGTTTTAACATAAGTATAATTCTGCAGTCACAGAAAGTGTGACACACAAAATATACATATAACAATGTTCGGGTCTAATGTTTTTATCATAATTATATTTTAGTAACTTTTCACTTTTAGTATGAGGGATATTTTAATCGTCCCTGAGATTTCATAGCAATCAAGGTCGATTTGTGCGTATTCGCTAGGTGCACGATGGTAGCGCCAACTAGCGGTTACAATTATGTCGGACATTGAAATGTCAAATGGTTGGCAATTAGTACGAATAGTAAGTAAACAAACAATAACTTTATTGAAATAGCGTAATTTACTGAGATTTTATTCGATTATGTAAACCTAAGGTGTCGTTAATACTGTTGATCTTTTTTATTTTCAGTCTAAAATGCCACAATCAATTATGGAATATAAAAGTCATACTACTAGTACACAATATTCTACAACATTAACAATAAAATTTCAAATTGTTTCTCGAAGGCTACAGATATTCACTTTATAATAATAATAATAAATTGTTCTTAAAACTATTTCATCTTGCTTGATTATATATACCTATAACTTTGACATTAAAATTTGATTATTCAAATAGATTTCATACAAAATTTGGCACAAAAAATATATTTTAGATATAATAAAAAAAGGTAAATTAATATGAAAAATTCTTTAAAATGACACTTTTACGTAACTGATAAATATAAAAATATGTAATTTACATCATGAATATGAGCACATACTTTTCTATGTACTCTTACTCCTATTTGGTGAAGCTACAGCTTATTAATTTTGATCTTGTTTCCAACTCACTCGAGGAAATCTATATTTTTTTTTATCACTATTTTTGCCATTGTTCTTGCAGCCAACTATACAGCAGCTATCGTGACGCATTTTATAAATTTTTGCTTAAAATGCACAAATATGTAAATTTCTTAAGTAAAAAGTGACATTTCTTCCGACAGAGTTTCCGTTTTAGCCACGGTGCGCGTTGCGATCGATTCGTGTTCTCCCACCTCCTACTTCGCACCCAGCGAATTGGGATCGCCAAACAATAGCGTTGGTATCTGATATCCAATGCATAATCTCAATTTTACTATATTTAAAGTTCAATAAAAAGAACTTTCCGTAAAATGAACTGAGCAATTAAAAGACCTTTAGCATCATACCTAATATTTTCTGCTCTAATAAAACTCAGCCATACTAATCATTTTGTTTTTTGGTAATCCAAAATTATGTAAATATTCATAAATAATAAAATTATCGGTATAGTTAAGAACACGCGCGAGAAAACGTATTTACAAATAGCGGACAGGTGGTACTAACGCGAATTTGATACTGTTAAATTAATGCCACCTTTGTTTACTAAAGAAAAATCTCAGTGGTTGAAAAGAGACAACAAAATATTTTAGATGTCAACTTCCGATTGCATGATATTTGTATAACCCAAAAGTTGCTATAGGTCAATATTTCCACTCTTCTATTTTCTATGCAGAGTGAGTATTGCTGCAGCACTGTGGTGTTGTATAACTCACACGTATTTATTGAGGATGAGTGAGGACCTCGTTTTACCTTAGAAGAACTCGAAAGTACCCTTCATTTTGAAGTGAGGTAAAGAGAATGAGTATGTAGCGAGGCGTAAGGCAAATAAGGAGGGGATAGGTCCTTTTGGTTATGAATTTCATTTTTCACTCAATAATTATTTTTATTGTTTTTTTTTTTTTCATATAAGCTAACGTTAAATAGGCAGTATTTGCGAAGAAATGCCAAACTAAACTAAACAGTCACTCTATCATACTCCTAAAACCGACTCACTGCCTCGAGCAATCGTTAATATGTTGATTATATAACGACTCACCTTTTTATTCGAAGCAATTCACTATTCTGCTGAGTGAGGTGTGATAACTGTGTAAATACCTCGTGTTCGAGGCCTCAGAAAATGAAGAGCAAAATGAGGTGGCTCAAAGTTGAAAAATGAAAACATCCCTCATTTTGTCGTGACGAGTAACTCAAACACGAAGTACATCACGAGTGAGGGACTCATCATTACAGCACTGCAGCAGGAGCAGGCATTTACAGGACAATTTTGTTATGAAAAATACAAATGTTATTTGAAACAAATGTCCCTTGTAAAAAAAAGAAAACTTTGACCCAGAAAATCTATTATTAAATGTAAGATAAGAGAGATCACTCAGGGGCATATATTGCGGGGTGAGATGTCAAACAAAATTATAATTAAGTGGATTATGACTAATATGAAAAAAATACTACTGAAGTCTAAGAACTAATACATAAATAGTTAAGTTTTCGAGAATTAATGTCCATAAAAAAAAGAAATTATCCTATCCCGCTGAACATGATCTGAAAATATTCTTATAAGTAACTGAGGAAGCAAATGAATACCTGAAATATGGAATGCATCAAAATATAACATATTAGAAGAAAATATAAAAATGATGCCATCTCTGGGTGATTATTTGATTTTCTAAAGTATGGTGAACATAAAAATAATGTTTTAATATACTAGTGGATTAAAATACATTGTATTGCAAGCATTGCAAAAATATAAAATAAAATTGAAAATTCATTATTAATTAATCGTTATGCTTTTTATTTATCTGCCCTTAATGAAGAAGTATTTTAAGAAAAAAAAGAAAGGCCAAAAAAGCACCTCACTAGATGGACTCTATCAAAAGTTGATTTTTGCAGGAAACGAATGGATCAAAGATAGTAATTTCTGTTCCTTTTAACTAACATATTAAAAAACTGAAATTCGCAAAGTTCGAAGCTAAGATATCAATACAAATACGAAAAAGTACAAATAGAATATGAGTTTGTTATTGAGTTTTTATAATTAATTTACTTTTATACATGAAAGAAAACCGGAAGCATTGTCATGGAGAAATCAAGACAGTACTGTAGCGACGTCTAGATTGATTTGGGGAACAGTTATCTTAATCCTTAAGGCCCTACCAGTATTATGTATTATCTACGATGTAGTTCGTGAGATGTTCGTCTGTAGCACGATGTAGTTTGTGGCGCTTAATAACTAGAGAAACAATTTCATACAGAAACCGCGCCAAAAAGCGTAGCAATGTTTTGAAATCAGGTCGTCAAATTATGTTATTTAGTCGTCAGCAAATAACATTTTTCTTATAATTTTGTATGCTTGTGTGCCTTATTTCTACGTGTATACATCAAGTTAAACAATGATAAAATATACGCGAATGACCGATTGAACAGAAGTTCGTAAATTTCTTTAATATACTCAAAATCGAGAAAATATTCATTTTGATTTGTTTATTTGTATTAGTTTTGTATTGCATTCTTTCGTTGCACACAAATAAAATAGGTGAATTCAAATAACTCAAGACTCAATTTTCATTTTGTTGTCTTACTTTGGTGCTGCCATCTAAAGAATATATTTTTAATGTTCAAAGTTAAACACTCTCAAATGTGACTTTATTTTTAGATATCACGTTTATATGTAATTTAGAATAAATTTAATTAAACGACTTCAAATCTCTATAGATCGTAAATGCCATGTAAAATATTTTTGTTGGCCAAGACATGGCCAACCAAGGTTAGCAATCAATATGGGTGACACAAGTTGACGCTCCAACCATACCTTAATTTTATATATTATGCTCGGCACATACGTATTTATTTATGGAACTAATAATAATTATAACAATGAAAAGAAGCAGGCATGAGCTTACTTTGCTTTAGATACCCACACTGTAGCCGTCGAAATTATATAATTATTGCTTCATGTTATTGATATGATTTTTAATACGATATTCAAACATGTTATTCTATCGTATTGAATCGAATCGTTAAATTATCGATAATGGTATAGTTATTATTTAAATTGAAATATCGATTCGGATGATCATTATTTTCTTCCTATCGTATTATCGTCAACCACTCGTATTATATGTCAAAGCAAGCACGTCAAATTAATGTTATTTTGTGCCTACGTCATATTTCAATAAACATTATTAAGCTGATTGCGACGTTTTAAATAAGTTCTATGTAATTTTGGGGAATATTTTAAATCACATCATTATAACTGTGAATATGACAAGTTATAGAACCTGTTCCGTGCCAATGTGTAGTAGTACGAGCATTAAATATCCCGACAAATTGTTTATACACGTTCCGAAATGTCCTAAACGACGAAAACAGTGGTTAAAGTTAGCACGTCGGGGCTCGCTGTTTACTACTTCTGAAAAATCCACGATTTTCTTTTGTGAAGACCACTTTGATGTGAGTATTTAAAAATTTGTTGTCACGGTATATGTACAAACATGACCCTGGCCCTAAGCGGTTATTTATGTGCAAAATTTTTACTAATTAATATATGTAATTTTACAGCTGTCTAATGACATGGAGAATTACATACAGTACTGTATAATGGGTTCTGTAGGGAAAATAAGAATGAAGCCTGATTGTTTGCCATCGAAATTTGAATGTCAACAAGACAGAATAAAATATATTGCATCTCCAGAACCTCGATCAGCTGTAAATAAAAGGCAATGTATGGAAGTAACACAAGAATTACCAATTTCAAACATAGAGTGAGTATAAAACTACTGTTTAAGAGGCGGGATTTAATATTAAATAATTTTAACCAATTGTTATCAATTAACATGGAAAATTAATATCAACATGATATGCAAGTTTCAAACAACACAGCATACTTAACTAACAGACTACATAGAGCTGTCCACCCTGCATATGTACACACATCTGTATGTCAGGTAATTATGATATGTAAATATTGTTTAAGAAAAATCATTCATTGATAGTGCTATTAATAAACAAGGTTAGAAGCCAGAGTAAATTTATGCTAAAATTGCAATTTTAGTCAAAATTCATACTATACAGAAAATTATCAAACTTACTACCTTCAAGGAGTAAAAATTACTCCCAGAAAACTTATACTATGTTAAATTTTACTAAGTCTCTGTTTAAAAATATGAATTTTGACCAATACTAAGTGCAGTCTCAGTGTAAATTTACTCCAACACTAAACCTCGTTTATTAATAACACTGTGAATGTTTTTTCACTACATTTGCTGCAGACAAGTACACTACACCCAAATATACTTCACTTTACATTAGCTTTCTTAAACATTATAATCATCATGCAAAACACTTATAACAAACCTGACTTAGTGTCGATATGCACTTTTACCCTGGGAGTGAATGCTACCCCATCTAGGGGGTGAAAATTAAAAAGAAAAACCACCAGTAATTGAATCATAAACTTACTTTGAGGACAAAATAAAGAATGAAGTTTTTCTGATAAAGTTATAGTGTTCAAGTTATTCTGAATTGAAAATGTGAAAAAAGCAAGTATTTTAACTAATTAATAACTGAATAATTTGATGTTTTATGGAAAAAAATAAATTGTATCAGAATTTATGTATAGAAAGAAACTATTTGGTTTTGTTTAAGGCATTTTTTGTTGTAAATTTTCTAATAGTTTCAATGTCATAAGACTAAAGATTTTTCAGAAAAAAATAATTGTATGTTATATAATAAAGTACCTTTTGTAAAGTACTTTATTATATCTTTAAAATGAGCTGTAATAAAAGTTCTCAGCATAACAATTGACAATGTTTTAACAAAAATAAGTTATTGGAATTATTGAAAAACAAAGAATAAGCAATTTGGTGTAGTGTATGAGTGATAAAATAAAAATTAAATTTAGCTAAAAAAAATTTTAATATATTTTTTTTGACATGAATAATTATGATAAGTATGTGTTTATAATAAAGATGATAATGTTAATAAAAGTATGTATAAATTTTAGTGAAGGGATTTAAAATTGTTCAAATTATGTGTAGATAAAAATTACATGGTTATTTACTTTTTTATTTCACATATATTAGAATAAAATATTAAATAAATTATTGTTTACTATAGCATGCGCTCAGTTCAACTCATTAATTAACACGCTCATTTTTCTTAGCATTTGGTCTTAAACATATTAAGGTATTTTAGTCATTTTGAACAACTCTAATAAACAATGGTTCATTTTTAAGTGTATCAACAAGTCATTATAATAGGGAATTGCCAATGTGATTTTCAATTCGCATCAAAAATTTTGTAACTGCAAGAAAGAGTGTGGATGACATGTGGGTGTTGCAGACTAAGATTATATTGCAGTGTTGTAAGGAGCTTGATGTTACCGAATACAGATTGATCCAAACATACATAGTTTCAAAAATATTTCACTGACTTCCAAAAAACAGAATTATTTCTAGTTTGGGGGTCAGGGGCTCACAATAATGGAAGCACGATTACGCCAACGTGTGCCGGTGGTGGGGGGTGGGGGAGAGGGGACTGAGAACCCATCCTCCCCACCAGACGCCAAAGCTCGTAGAAGTATAGTTAAGAAGAAAAAAGAAAAAAAATATGACTATATCATCCATATAATTAAATTTTAGACCGTATTTTTTAGATATTAAAGTTTTATTTTCTCGTGCAAAAATATCAAAATATATGTTTATGATATACGAAAGTAACATAAAAATCTTTTTCTGTTATCTACTTAAACAAAAATAACCTAACCTATCGACCTACAGGGCCAAAACAACTTTTTTGATTTTTTTATCTGATAAAAAATAATCTAGAAATTTGGATATATGCATATAAATTGCTTTGCTTAGTCAGTGTTTAAGACAAAAACATTTGTCAAAGTTCATAAAACACCAATAAAAAGTTAAATTTTAGTATTTTACGTATTTTCAAAAAATCGTATCTATGAAACTAACAAACTCCACACCTTGACACTTTGGAAATGAAACTCTTAGCATCTGTGTGTATGAAAAAAAATTACAACACAATTAACGTAGTCGCCGATACTAAAGCTGATCCGGTTTGAATAAAGATTAATATTATTTAGTTTAAAATAATACAATAAAAAAAAATAGTTTCAGAATCCGATATTGAATATCTCTATATAGTTTCGAATCACACACACGTGGAAGATGTTCAGGCAACAGCTGTCGAAATTGACCCCCTAGACGACCAAGAGGGCAATGACAGTGATGAAGAAAAAAATTAAAAGAAAAATTAATACATTATTCCAGGGCTCATAATTATCAATATAATTATTTTTTTTGGATAGCACGTTCATACTAGCTGGCAACAATTTTTTTTAAGGCATTCGTATTTGAATGAAATTTTATTTTTGTCATTTTAAATTATAAAATATATACAAACAAAAGAAACAAAAAATTAACTGTTTAATCACATTGAATAAAAAGTGAAATGGAAATATAAACAAATTATTTGTTAATAAAAAGGGATCTTTCAATTTCTTTTTTGGGTTGTAAATTTTCTGTATCAGAAAAACAACATTTGACAGTTGTTTAAAGATTCCTCTTTAATTACAAGTCCTAAAGTACAAAAAGAGTTTATGCAGTGTTTTATAATTTCATCCACTCCAATTCCACTACCAAAGCACTTCAAGCTCTCGAAAACATTTTTCCATAAATTTTATTGTAAGAAGTGGCTTTTATGGGTTTAATATGTCTTAAAAAGTATTTATCAGATTGTGTTTATATTGTTATGACTTAGAGTTCGGGATAAAAATTAACGCCAATTAAGTTTACAATCCGTGTTTATTTAGCACAATAAAATTACAAAAATAATCAAACTACAAAATTCACACTTTAACTTAACTATTACACGTCACTAATAGCACTTTACAGCACTATTAGATCGTTCACCGCTCTAGTTATTGCTTCGAGTTTCGCTTCCGATTGCTTTTGCTTTCATCGCTTGTTCACTGAAGAATCTCGAGATGGCATATTTATAGGGGCAGATTTCCTCGGCCCTACCCATGAATTCGAGGCATTACCATAAAGTTCTAGAACGGCTACCCGTTCCATTGTTCCCCAGTGTCTGTCTCTTTCTCGCTGACCCGATGTTTACCTATATGATATAGGTAGTTACAACAGTGTAAGCGCGATTCATTGGCTTGTAGCGTCATCTAGTAAAGCGTAGACGAACCACGTCGCTGCACTCCGTAACAACATACTTTGAGAATAAGACAAAAAATTAAGTTGCTTGTTTTTCATTTTTTGTTATTAATTTATATTTGCGGGGTAGTTTTAACGGTTATATTGTGAAATATCAAAATACTAGCTTTTATATAAATAATACATATTTAACATTATTTGAATATAATTACGGCCTTCTAACTGGTTCAATATATTAATTTCAATTTGTTAAGTTAAGGGATAGTTTTCACATAGTTTTCAAAAAGCATAACTTGCGACTAAGTCAGGTTTGAAGTGGAGGCTAAGACTGCATACTGTTTTACAGAAATCAGAGGTAAGGTAATGTTTTATGTTTAACTACTGGATGGAGTACTACATATTTTAGTGTGGTATGTGGAAACTTCCAATGTTATAAATTTATGCAGTGTTGCCATATCTATAATATGCACGTAGGTGATTCTACAAAAAAATACGGTAGATACATAAAAATTACGATGCACAGTATACCTATATATAATACGGTGTTATTAACGGTGTAATTTTATAGTCTTTATTTTCAATAAAATACTAATTTCAGGTTTGTTTTTCTTTTAAATAAATAGTTGTTTATATTTACGACGCATATATAATTAGTCAGAATCAGAATACAGAATTTCATCATTTTTGTAAATGTTCTGATTTAGTCCTTTCAACATTTCTTTCCATTTGACGACTATATATTACAACTTTATTATATAAAAAAATATTTAACAAAATCGGTTTGATATAACCTGAAATGATTTAAAGAAATTATAACAGTATTTGATTTTTCTGTAATTAAAAATGTATGAACTCAAGCGAGCGTGTCTTTACTCTCGGTGCGTTTTTGTAATGTTTTACTTAAATTGATAGCATTTCTAAGGATGGTTCTCGAATATCAGAATGACTGATCTCAAGCGACAGATTACAGTAGATTTTGTCACAGTTGTAATGCTATACACAATTTTACCTATATACCTAATATAGGTAAAATTGTGTTGATTATGGTTCAGTTACCATAATTACGTTGCACATGGCATCATTGAATCTACGCTAATACTACTTCCACAATGTTTTTTTTTCATAAAGGCTTCTATGTCCTTCAGGCGTTTTGATTGTACTCGATTGAACCCCTAGGGAGTTATCTAATTTTTTTTATTCACAGTACGTAGCGACATCTAGTTTGGTTTCGAGATCCATTTTAATAATACTTCATATACTTTATGCTTTTATTCCCTACAAGTGAGTCTATGGTTGGTTTTCTTCACTGTCCTTTCCTTCACGTTTGTCTGTACCTTAATAAATAGGTACTTTTCCGGTTCTGTTTAATGTAATTACTCTGTGTTACCTATGTGATTTTAAATTCTCTTTGCTTCACTTCGTACGTGGAGTCGTTTTACACGTAGTTTTTGTATTTGTGTGTAAAATAGTTTAAGTTGGCAGGTAAAATCCAAAGATATTAGGTTATTTTATTGTCAGTGTTTATCCAGCATTTTTTATTTGTTCTGGTCAGACTACTCTTCTTCATGTCTCAACAACAGTAGTTGTGTTTTTGTAGCAGTAACCAGAAACTAGAAATAATGAAATTGTATTATTGATTACCTACATACTAATATTTATTAAGTCATAGTATTAATTATTTCTCAAAACCTCTTTGTCAAATATGTCTTTCTTGTCTATAGATGGTCTATCAAGTACTGTCAACCAACTTGTCAAGTTTTATGTCATCTTATCAGACATTTGATTTGGTCATGGTGTGTTATTGTTGTGTAAAGAATATTTAGGTACTAATAAAGTACATGAAAATGTTATTTTCTGAAATACAGCGAAAGAGATACGAGTGCTGTTCATGAAACAGCTAACATGAAACCCGAGAACCATGAATGTCGCGCTTGTCTGCAGGCGATTGACAGTGTTAGTTTATTATTCGAACCTTGGTCACCAGATTGGGATGGAATGGAAAATACTATAGCGGAAGATTTGGCTAAAATTGCGAACATTCAGGTGAGTGAAATTTACTTCTACAAAAAAAAAACATTAAATGCTGGTTATTGTTATAAGTCTTCTGAAGATTTTATTCCCAAAACTTTTTGTAAAATCTGAGATAGATACATGTTTTACTATTTGTATTCTGTTTATGAATTTATTAGTGACTTGCTTTGCCTTTGCACAAGTGTTATTTACATATTATGCTCCAAGTCTTATGTAATAAGATTGTTTCTGGAACTTTCAATAATACTTTAATCTGTTTGTATTAAATCCTAATCTATATATGCTATTATTTACTCGACTTACTGGTGAAAATTACTTAAAACCTATTTGATAGCTTTAAGTTTACTACCTTTAAACATTTAATGCTGACTTTGAGTTTTAATAAATGTTCTATATTGTAAAATCTAAATGAAAATGTCACTTTAAACTTATGTCAATTTTTGATGGATGTCTGTACAACTAGGCTTTAGACAGTTTAATGTAGTAGTGCAACTTGGTTTTATAATAATTTAAGGACATGTATAGATAGCATTAAAATACATAAAAGTAAAACTTAGGTTTCAGAATCGGATAGACATTCCAAGTTTATATGTCATTTGTGCGTTAACCAATTGAAACAAGCTTGTCAATTTATATTGTTAGTCCAAAGAAATGACAGAATATTGAGGTTGAGAAATACGCAAGGAAATGATGAGGTATGGCCAAAACCTATACAGGTAGACAAGAACATTGCTTGTGATAATTTTTTACAAGTCGACATCAAACAAGAGGTACTGTCTGATGATGAACAAAGTTACAATAATGAAGAATACACAGAGACAGAATATATCAATCAACAGTTAGACATTAAAGTGGAACCAGAAGAAATTGTACAGCCTAGTTTACAAATTAACATTAACGGTATGTATTAATATTTATGAATACACAAAAGCAAAGCTTTATAACAACCAATAAGTCTGTAAAGAAACAAATCTCTAAGGAATAAATACACATCCCTATTTTTGTTTGTTTTTAACAGGTGTTTCTTCATTACAAGAAGTCGAGAATGAAAAAGTAACAACCCATAATGGAGAAGTACATTATGATGAAGAGGTACTTTTATTAACTAATTTTCATTGTAGAAGAATTTGTCATATTGCATTGAAATAAAAATTTAAATTTGTCTTGTACAACAGCACATCAGACTACAAAACTGTAAAATTTCTTCATTTGAGGTTAGAATCCAAAATCAATTGAGGAAATTTGTGTACATAATGTTACTTGGTTATTTTCTTTGATATGTACATATTTGCATACTCAAATACCAGCCTATTTATTTTCATTCATTGTAGAATATATGGAATGTGAAGAATGGCATTTGATTTTTTTTATGGCACTCTGTTGACCAATTAGCGACAGGTTGTTGTCTATATTAAAAACATTATGAAGTGTAACAAATTAAGGTGATTGATTTAATGAGGGCTTTTCTTAAATCTAGTTCTTAAATGCGAAAGTGAAGGAGGAGCCAATGAGTGAGACAGAAGACACAGAGTCAATGCCTAGTGATCTACCTCTGGAGTGCTTGCTCTGTACTAGAAGTTTCAGCAGTATATCAGGTTTAAAGGTGTGTACATATTTTTTTCTTATTTATATATTGGTCTTCGATATGTTTTTTATTTTGCCCATGGGATTTTTTTTTGGTTAATTGTAAGATATATCTTTGTTTATACCCAATATGGTCTTTGGTACCTTAGACTCTCGGAAGCCAGTTTGTTTGGGAGGTTGGAAGTTATTGAGCAACACTTCTTTAGTTGTATTCTAATCATGTTTAAGTGATATTTGCACAAAAACAAATATTTTTACTTTTTAGAACCATGACAGTATAGTACTGTGATGGTTGGGACAGACCAAATTTTTATATTAAAAATATATTAATAATCTAATTTTCGATTTAAGAACGGGTATTAACGCGATAGATTTCGATAGTTAGGTTTTTCACCTACCTATATTTCCCGACCTTTCGACCAGGTTGAATTCCATCGTATTTTTCAATATTTTTCCAAGGATCGTCATTTCTATTTGCGGATTGTGCGTGAGGCGATTGAAATTAAAAAACATCCCAGCAATTTCAATCGCGCAGATGGTTTTAAATTATCAACAACGTGGAATCCAGTGATAAAAATCTTTTCGCGGTTGCCGAAACACCAGAATACGGCTGCGATACAGAATAGGGATACCGTTAGTGTTGTGTGTGACGGTACCTAGAGAAAAAACTGGACGGTAGAAGTGGATTCCACTTCAGAAGATGAGACGTAGCATCGCAGAAACAGTCAGCCCGTGATCACGCCCGGTGTAACCTGGTCGAAACGTCGGGAAATATAGGTAGGTGAAAGACTTAACTATCGAAATCTAACGCGTTAATACCCGTTCTTATACAATCTAGTACATTTTTAACTATTTGTTACTTATAATATAACACACACGTTTTGTCATAAACAAGCATTTTTAGGGTCAAAATTTAAAAAAAATAATTAAGTTGTGCCAGTCAGGACATCATTCTCAACCATACCCAACCAACCCAACTAGAAACATATTTTCCTGTACGCAAAGGCCTGGAAGAAATTACATTTTAATAATAAGGCCGCCAATTGCGCAGTTTAATAAATTGTATCCATTTGTTTTTGGCCTGTATCTGTATACAATAAAGCATATTTCACTCTTTATCACTCCCACAGAATAGTTGATTTATCTTCTCGAGGGTAATCACCTACATGTTTTGAACTCCTGGAATAGACCACGTACATAAAATCCCATTGCCCTTATATTTCCATAAAAAAAAAAGAAAATGATTTACACACTGTTTTCAGGCCCATGTGATTGCACAACATTCCTATAAATCTGTAAAGAGAAAAGTTTCCGGCAGTTCGCCACAGGAACTGCCGAAGATGAAGTATATGTGTGCCATTTGTAAAAGAAGTAAGTATTCTCTTTCTTCTCTCCTTCAATGTGGTTATTGAAATGACGTCAGAACGTATACTTTCGTCGGTAATCGAACACTACTTGATGCCATTTTGTTTCTCTTCCGCCGGCTAATATAAACATCGCCATGACAAATGAAAAAAAGTATTCGACCATTGGCGTGCGCCTCACAAGAAACGTGCGTTAAACGGAATTCTTTTTTATGGGTTGGGACTCTTAATTTTATATTCTACCATATAATCTTAACTTGGTCAGTCTTGTGATGTTTAGGTAAGAGCTCATAAGACTCTCTTCCTCTTGTGGGGAAAAAACATTTACTAAGGACAAGGCGGGCTCAAAAGAAAAAATGATAACATAGTCACCCTCCTAAAAGGTTTTAAAATCAGTCTCACGAAAGAAGTCCCGTGGCATAACTCTTATTTCTTTGTAATAAAAGCGAAAACTTTGTGATCTGAGGGACTTCTTTCGTGAGACGAAAAAGTAATAAAGAACGATACCTGTCGTTGACTGATTCTATGAGAATGTCTGGCGCTGGATTATTGATGAAACAGGGTGGTAGACAAAGGCTTTTATTACTTTTGTCTTTGCAAAATATAACGTATAGTTCTTTGAATTTTCAGTGCCGTAACAGACGGCTAAGATGCTCTAATAAAGATATGCTACTATAATTTAAATATTTTCGTATTAAGTATCTTATAGATGCCAAGCACGGAAAATTATGTCGAAAATTTACTAAAGATACAGTAATAGATATATATTTATAAAGATTTTCAAAATAATTCGTGTCTCACGGTTACGTGTGTGATAGATTAAGATGTTAAAATATTTTATCTTAATATATTATAAGATGATATATTCTAGTACCGAAGGTCTATTTTTGGCCGAAGCCGGAGCCGAAGCCGATTAATCGGCGATCGCCACAACCTTCGGCAAAAGCCGAAGCCGAAGCCGAAGCCGATGGTTTATGATTTCTCAGTAATTAATTTTGTTCAATATTGTCTACAAGCTACAATTAATATTAAAATTATTTCAAAACTTCAATATGAGGTTAGTGAAGAAGTTGATTTAGAAATACAGATTTGACAGTGAAGGCGCTTGTGCACTACACTGAATTTTCATGTCCGGCGGTCCGATTTTTTCCGGCCTTATATGTCAGGCCATATGTAGGTAATGCTAGCCTGTGCCAGGAATATTTTTCCTGTCTTCTACGTCTTCGCACGTACAGTAATAGAGCAAGCAATTACCAACGTTTCAAAAATCTCATCGTGCCTATTGTAAGTGACGTGTAGCTTCACAGAGAGCTACCCTAAAATGTGCCGCTCCGATCCGGAAAAAAACGGACATGTGCACAAGCTACTCATCCGAGTTTTTCATGTCATTCGGGACCGGAAAAAGTCGGCCCACCGGCCCTGAAAATTCATTGTAGTGCCAAGCGCCCTGACTCCCCGCGGCCTCTGCCAACACGACCGGTCCATCGCTCTCTCACTCAGTTTTCGAAACAGTTCATTCAATCTTGACGGTAGCTCGGACCTTCGGCGAAACAAAACTAGGCCGAAGCCGAAGGTTTCGCCGAAGATGGTTTTTTTGGCCGAAGGTGCCCGATTTTAGTCTGTTACGATCTTTACAGTCTGGTATCTGGTGTATTCAAATGTTAAGTTTAATAATGTGCGAGCTCCCCGAAATTCATTTTTAGTGTAAACAAAGAAACCTTATAGCACTGTCCGTCTGTCCGTCGGTCCGCGGTTTAGCTCAAAAACTGGCGATGATAATTTTCATACATGTAAAGTGGAGATGATATTTTTTTTCGTCTTCCCCATAGTGTGGAGCATCGTTGGATAGGTCTTTTAAAAACATTGGAGGGTGCAGGAAGGCTGTTATTCGATTTAATTTTTAAGTTCTAAAGAGTTCTAAATGTAATTCAGTAAGTTCTAAAGAGCTAATTTTCGTTAGAGTCAAGACGGTCTCTGCCAACTAAACGGTCGTTGGTAAGAATTCAAACTTTATGGAAGTAGTATCTATATAACTAAGTTAAAGAAAAATTATTAAACTTAAGTTGATTTTACAAGTTTACGAGTAATAGTCTACCAATTGTATTTAACTTAAACATTTCGAACAACTCCTTAGAAAACAACAAACGTGTTTTTTTATGGATAATGGTACGAAAACCTTCGTGCTCGACATTCGTGACTTGCTCATGGCCCGTTTTTTATGTTAGTTGTATTCACGACAGCAGATAGGAAGGGTGGATGTTCCTGACTTTCCTTTTTCAAAAGTAGATAAGTAGGAGCCAATTTACCTATAATAGACTTCTGTTGAGTGTATTTATGTATTTTTTTATGTTCCAGTATTCACAACATCGACTGATTTAATGGTGCATGAAACATGTCACAATAAAGACGTATGTTACGTTTGTAACGCTAAGTTTGACTCGTTTGATAAGCTCAGTGAGCATAGAAAAAGATGTAAGGCTCTCTCGAGTAAGGAGACAACAAAACCGAAGACTTTAGACGATGTTATCAGGTAACTGTAATATATACATAAAGCTCTGCTTTGCCGCGAATCTTCCTTAACATGAACAAGCGTAATTGGTAAGATCCCTTAATATTAATTGAAAATAATATAAATAAGAAAAAAAATTAGCCTACAACCGCCATAACCTAGTGGTTCGCACGCCGGTTTCAAGCTGTCGCTACCTCTGAAGTTCGGGTTCGATCCCGGTCGGATCAATTTAGAAAATGAACTTTTCTATATTGTCTCGTGTCTGGGTGTTGTGGTGCCTTCGTTGTCTCAGATACTTTTTTTCACCACATGTCAAGTTTAAATAAATAAGATGCTTTATATTATTTACTGAGATGTAAACTTTTAAAACCTGGATTAGATTAGTATAGAAATATATGGTAGAATCCGTTAATTATGTCCATATAGTGTGTAATGTCCATACCTTTATGGTGTGATTATATTTTGGGTTGTGTTTTTATTGAACTATGTACCTAGCAAAATTAGAATTTGTACATTCTGTAATAATTGGCAATTTGGCATATAAAAGTTTATTAATATAGAAAAAAATTAAAAAGGGGCAGCTTGCTTGAGACGTGTTTTGTCATTACCAGTCAATGTTATTGTAAGCATACTCTGCCACTGGACTGTGACGTCAAAGTGTAGTAAGCTGTAAACTTTCCACGGGAGTGACAAGGATAGAAAGCCTCCTTACTTCAAGCACTATATTTTTTTTAGCACCCGACAAATAATTTAAAAGTATCTTGCTATTATTATATTTAGTCAGTTTTGTATTGAAAATGTTATACTGGAAAATAACCTCAATGAAAAATACTTAAAAATTCTTTTTTCCCCGGTAAACGGATACGAACCCACGACCTTATCTATCTAATATCTTTCGATTTTATTATTGATAATATTAAATATTTGCCGTTGTCAAATAGAAAGATCAACAAATTACATCTGATGTTATTGCCTTATTCATCTATGTTACGAAATTATCTTGCAGGCATTCGGCAGAGGAAGACTTGACGACCGCACCTTCAAAAGATGTGTTAAAAAACGAACTTCCAAAAGAAGCGGTAATAAAAGATGAACCTTCAAACGAAAATGTGTTAAAAAGTAATGATTCTACAGAAACATTGTTTTGTGAAATGTGTAATGAACAGTTCAGTGACTCTTACTATATGAAGATACACCAGGAAATACATCACAATAAAGAGACTGTCGAAACTGATATAAAAGCACCTGTACCTATGTTAGAAATGGACACATTAGAAAATATATTCAAGGAGGACACTTAATAGAGATAAGGTAATTAGTTGATGTAATTTTTGTATATAATCGTCATTCGTAAACTTTCTTCTGTAAAATTATATTATGCGAATTTTGTACCAGTTTGATAAAATCAAAAATTGAGCATATATTAATTATTTCTATTTATGTACTTCAGTTAAGTGCATCAACTGAAAAAATAAAAATTATTTTTAGTATATATCAATTAATATTTTGAGACGCCCTATTATAATTAATGATAGCCTTTTTCTCATGGCACCGGCCAAGCCTAGTTATAGTTCATTCCTAAGGAAGGTGAAAAACGGATATAAATAAATAATATAAACATAAAGTAACAGAGTTGAAGCTAACAGAGTTGGTGTGTATGTAATAATTCTTTTAACTCTTATCAACATGCCTTTGTTTTTTGCAACTCAGCAATAAATAAGGTTACCCCAAGAAATTTTATATTCACTATTGATTTGAACTGTACTGTAAAGGGGTCACTCACAAGTTACGTCATACAATACTTTTTTCCCCTGTCTCTGTTTCAGTCATTTTGAAGTCGGTAACATTTGTGCGACTACCCTCTTCTCCCTTCGACGGGTGAACGTAATTTGTGAATGACCCCAAACATATTAAGGTTTATATTATAAAAATTTAAATTAAATAACAGGCAGAATTTTACACAATTCAGTATAACATTATGTGCCTGATTGAGTAAAGAAAATTTGTGCTATATAAAGTTCTAAACAACATAAGAGTACCTTTTGACAGTTCAATAGTTTAAAGCAAAATACTGTTTATGCCGTAGGAATAAAAGTCAACAAAATTACTATGGAGACATTTTACTGATATTGTTAAAGGAAAAGTCATCTGTATAATATACTTTATAAAAAAGGTATCTGTTATATTAGGTAGACTTTAGTAGACAAATGGACCGTTCCTTCTCCGAAGTGAACGTTATCTAAGTCAGTTTTTTTAATATCAGAGACTAAATTGACATTTATTATATTATTGTAATTCTTAAATAGTGATGTGCCTCAACCGGACTACAAACGAAAAAGTATACTAGATTACCGTTTTTTTTTACAAGTCACAGATAAAATGTGTACCATCACAAGCACCCACTTAAGACGTAAATTATAGTATGGTACAGTCTATTTAAAAAGACAATAGGGATGATGATTGGGTAAAAAAAAGAAATTTATTTAGTCCGTCAGTCAGATAATAAAAAAAAAAAATTAGATTCGTATTTTTTATTTACTTCAATTTGACAAGAAATAGTTTAGATAACAGGCATTAAAGTTGTGGAGTGGAAGCTCACTACGTCACAGTTTTGTAGAAAATGGATAAAAGTGTGATTCGTGTGATATTTTAACTCAATATATCTCGTAATTTAATGATTACAAAAAATAAAAAATATTACGTGTTTAATATTTTTCAAAAATCTACCTGACAATTTAAATTTAAATTAGGTAGTCTATGGTGTCTTAAGTGTACATCACTCAAAAATAATAAATATATCCCATAAAACAAGAATAAGCTAGACTGAACAAAATTATGTGGTCATTAATAAATACAAATTATTTTTACACTTTTTAGTAATTTTTTGAGTCGGTCTTTTTTATTTTATTCTTTCAAATTTCTTATAAATAAACAATTTAACTCCAAATAATCTTATCGAAAGGGGCTATTGATTATTTATAACCTTTCATCAAATCGGCCCACTCTTTAACAAGCTATTATGCTGTAAATGCAAATAATTAAAAGATTACTAAATTTTTCCTTGTTATCTTAAACTGCTAATCTGTTTTTCATAAAATATAGGTAATATAAATAATTCTTCAATTAAAAGGCCGCCACAGATAGACTGACCACCCTATAATTAAACCTGTAAAATAAGATATTTTACTCACTAATAAACCTTAATCAATACAATAATTCAATATTATTCTAAACGCCGTTACAGTGTAGTCTGTGTACTCGTTTTCTTTTTAATCACTAGGGGCTTATTCTAAAATCGAAGTGATCTTTGTATTAAATATCAATCGAATTTGTTGAGTAAACAAATCCATTATCGTTTTTTTTTAATTTAAAGGAAAATTTTGCGTCACAGCTCACTATTAAGTGAAAAATGATGGATGTCAAAAACATCTTTTTATCATGAACGATGGATTTTATTACTAAAATTATCGTCTAATACCGATAATGAATTACCTATTTTTCCAAAATACCGGTTTTATGTCAACAGTGCTCAAAACAGTTGGCATCATTGTTTCTAAATTTGACATTGGCTTGTGTCAGTTTAGTCTCTCGGAGATTTAAAAACAGACTTAAGGTAAAAAGTAAGTCGCATATGTTATATATTTATAAACCATGTCACTTCAGCCATGGGATATTCACCTTTATTCCAATGGTATTAAATGTATGAATTCGTCATGTACTAATTCTTGTACACTGTTAACACTTTGCAGAAAATTAAGTATTATGTTTTAATTCTGTCATATATTTGTGATAAAATTAATACACTCAAAATTGGTTTAGATTTTTTTTATAAATTATTTACCATTTAGCATTGCGACTTTTATGCTAGTAACATCCTGTTATAAATACAGTATAGGTATTTTGAAATAAGAACTTTGTCATCATCATCAGCCCTTTTACGTCCCTACTGCAGGGGTTCAGACCTCCCTTTGGATGGTTAAGGAGGATGGGCAATGACCCTCCACTCTGACCCAATGCGGATTGGAGGGTAAAGAACTTTGTAAATAAATATCTTGATTTTATGTGTTTAAAGCGAATGAATGATAAAACGTTCATAAACATTTTAAAAAGTGTTCATTTACCCACTAATTATGAAATCTCAATATAAATCTTAAAACCATATTAAGATTGTATGTTCCTTATGTGTGTTGGTTAAGAAATGGTCACTTAGTTATATTCATATTAAAAATCAGTTATTTATTACATAAATTCTCTCGTGTCATTTCTATTTTTTATATATATAATAACAATACAACAATGAATTTATTATATCAGCATTCTAAACCAATCTACTTTTTAAAATCCTTTTCCAATAAATTGCTGATTCATTTTTATTTCTGATGCGGTACATAATATGTAAAATATTAAAGTGAGTGTACATAGCAAATGTATAATAATGGAAATTGGATGATCTCCTTATTAATTTTCGACCTTAATACGTTATAATTAAAGTAGAATATCAAGCTGAATTGCCGTTATCTTTAAGACCTTGTGAAGTATAATATCATCAATGAATTGTTTTGAAAGCAAATACATATTGTTTTTCTGTATTGTGCCTAAACGATTAGAATTTCGATGTAAAATCTATGAGATTAGAAAATTTTTGCTTTTGTGAAAACAAAAACTCGTTGTATATTGCCATGATATAATAAAATTGTGAATATATTGGTGAAATTTTAGCTTCTTTTTATGTATGTGATTGAAATAATTAAGAATTAGTGTGAGGTTATTATTAAACTGCATTTTGCAAAAGAATATATTTTTATTTATCCTTTGATTTTTAAATTATTCATTGTCATAACAAGTCCAGGTGTTCAAGTAATCTATTCGCCGCCCGTACGCCTGGTGTTCGCGACTATCCATAAATTACGTCACTAACGAAGTATGTCATTGTGTGACAAAGGGGTGAGAGGGATCCTAAATTTTGTGACGTCACATTTCAAAATCTATTATAATCTAAGTGTAAAAACCCGAACTTTAACCTGTATAGTGTATATTTTGTATCATACAAGGACATTAATCAACAAGCAATCACAAAGAGGTTTTACCTATCGCGAAGTTTCGTCCCCAAAAAATGCTGCTAGACGTTCCAGAGCTTCTTTGTGTGGATGATGACGAAGTAGTTGTATGGTTGGATGAAAAAGTTATTGACACATGTTCCTGACATTAACGAGAACGAAGTGGCTGCTATGTCAAGACGAGTAGACGGGAAACGAGCCGCGTAACATCTTTCCACCGCTAGTGCTGATGCACGACTTAGCAATCGCAAAGATCAGCTTAGTAGACGGGATTTTTTTTCCACAAGTGTGGATATTCCCATAATAAATTCTCACGAAATAAAATCGTGATGTGGACATTTCCTAACTTGAACTCCGCGAGATAAAATACTGGAGAAAAGTCCATCTTCCTTGCAATTAGTTGTTTTGGATTTTTTTTCCACACTTTGGCACTACAACTTGCCATGGTTAACCCAATACCTTATAAAGAAGTTCTTCATTATATTTCATTATAAAGAAGTTTTCTCGTAAAAGCATATATTCACAGATCCAACACTTGTACGCTACTGAGGAATCGCATATGTGTATTACTATTTTTGTACGTATGTGTATTGCTACAGCTTACTGTCTTTCAAACGGCGTCTATTGGAGGTTATCTGTGACACATACAAACATAAAAGGCCAAAGAGTAAGTAGGTAATAGATTTTTATTTATGAAATTGCCCTTCTGCCTTCAAATTCCATTTCAAATCAAAATATTTTTTGGCTGATAATTCTTGCATTGTTTACTTACTTGTGGCGATAATTAGATTTTCAGAAACTAATTTTGTTTTTAGATACTCCTCATTAACTTTTATAGACGGTCAATTTCATAACATTTGAAATAAATCAAGGCCAAAGAGTAAGTAGGTAATAGACTTTTATCTATGAAATCGCCCTTCTGCCTTACTTCAAATTCAAATGCAATTTCAAATCAAAATATTTTTTTTGGCTGATAATTTTTGCATTGTTTACTTACTTGTGACGATAATTGGATTTTAAGAAACTAATTTTGTTTTTAAATACTCCTCATTAACTTTTATAGACGGTAAATTTCACAACATTTGCTATTTATTAATCATAAATTGAAATCGTTTTGCTTCATTCATTGCTACTAACGTCAGATTAAATGGAATCAAATATTTCTTATTTTTATTGATATAGGTGGGTAATTAAGTTTTTGTTCTGTTTGAAATGTAATATTAAAAAACATTTCTCAGATTAAATAAATACTTTATTACATTTAATAAAACAATCTTACAATTTGTGCTATTAAAAACATATTTGAAACTACCTTGAACTACCACACATGTTGGAGAAAAATTAATGTGTATAATCATAATACTGGAACCATTGATTCAAAAGTAACAATAATAATAATAATATTTACATATAAATTTAAAAACATTCGTAGTCAATGGATGTCCTAAAAAAATAAATTCTTTATGGTTTCACAGCCAGTTTAAATTGATTAATTCTGGTAAATGCTAAATATTTTCAGACATATTTTTTTCTATACATAATTTGTTTCATAGCAATAAATTCAACATTTTAAAGTGTACATTATAATTCATAACACGGTCTGATTAATATATATTAATTATATGAAACGATCAAGTGAAATCCTCAAAGCACAAGTGAGTTACTTTTAATCTCAAACAAAAAAAAAACACTAAGTCAATACAATATCCTAATTTCTGTTCATCTCGTTGAGGATCCTAAGGATATACAAGAACAAGTTTAGTATATCCATATAGAGGTTGATGGTGGCAAGTATATACTCCTCCGGCGAGAGTTGCGTCATCATCTGCTGAGTGTCGAATACTAGGAACAAGCTGAAGAATACGGCACCGGCGAATGATAGTGCAATCTCGAACGCAGAGCTTTGGATGAACAATTGTAGAATACCCCCAACGATGAGAACGCACAGTCCAGCCACGAGTCTGTTATAAGCATTATAATGTCATTAGTTTAGTTGCAAATGTCAATAGATGGCGTTGATGTAATAATTTGATTATTTTATACCAATGGAATCGTCTTTATCCGACATGGAACGTACATTCAATGGGAGGTATAAAAAAATTTATCCCGCTCCTCCATTGGTATGAGTAGTTCCGATGGAAGGACTGGGAATAACCCAATGAATCATTTAAATAACTATCATGTAGTCGAAAGCAGGTCAGGTTATCAAAGACTATCAATTCTCCCAACTTGATTTTAAACTTAAATGCATTACGAGAGTGTGACACTTAAATACTTGGGCACTTAGAGAGTGTTGACTCCAAAATCAGCTACAGAAATTATGTTCTGCTGTAAGTATTTAAATATAGATACATAATAAATTAAAAAAGAAAACTGTCTTCGGCCTCGTAAATTGTAGCTTATAACAACCGCGATGTTGTGGCTTCCCGTAAGTATAAGAATTCATTAGTGAACGCTTTAACTTAAAATTTACACTTACCACTCTGTACATATGATAAGCAGTATATCAGGTGAAAAACTTTTATGATTAGATCAGTATTTCCAGATTGCCAGGGAGTAATGTCCAGTAAAGTTTCTAACCTTATTTGTCCCCTTTTATAATATTAGGAGATCTACGGCTCAGTGGATAGCGCGCTCGATTTGCGATATTATTGTTAAGCCACTTTCTCAATGGTCGGTCATAAGATGGGTGACCAAATATTCTTCGTTCTCCGGAAGGCACGTTAACCGTTGGTGCCGGCTGCACCTGCAGGCGTTAACACCTACCAATCTGCACTAGGTGTGCGGTAGGTCATGGACCATCCACCTTATATGATTCCATTTACAGAGAAGGCCGGAGGCTGGTGATGATAATAATATTAGTATAAATATCAGCCAGCCTTACCCATATCCGATGAATGAGAAGTCACGTTTGGTGTTGAGAGTGTATAGAGTCAGTCCAAGCACGACGGAGAATGTGACTGCAAGCGCTTGTAACACCACCAATGTGTTGCAGAAGGACACCACCACTCCGATAGAGTAGGCCTGCACGATGGTCTGGAGAAGAAACGCAAAGCCGTAAAATTTTATTCTACATAGTTTAATAAAAACCGGCCAAGTATGTGCTCGCGCACCAGGCCCGGGTCTAGTTAGAGGGGCAGTTTTCGGGGGAGTACCAAAATCGGCATTATTTAATACCTATTTACAATTAAAAATGAATAAGCTTTACAAATGTTTTCATACACATATTACTATGATGGGAGGGACATGCTTCAAAATCCATAAATAAAATTATCAAACACTGCAAAAGTATGATAATAATACTAAAAAATAATCGCGTTTCTTGTAGGGACGCCTTTACATATATATTTTTTTTATTATTAAATCTTTTTGCTAAAGCGGAAACAGAAATACCTCATCTGTGAAAAGTTCAATTCTAATAGACAGACAGACGGATGTCCAGTGGATTCTTAGTTATATGACCTTACCCTTTTAGTATGAAACTTTAAAAATATATACAGGCTAAAAGGTAAGAAGGTATTAGAAGGAAAGTATAGTAACAATTTAATTTTTCTACACAAACTGTAGGTATATGTCTGACGGACAGCATTTAGAAATTTATTTTATTGAAAGACATTATTTTGGTAACTCTAGCCACAAGATACATCTTAGCGAATATTATGACGGTATTTCGTTATACTTTATATATGTCTTTTGTAGGATAAATTTGACAAAAACCTGCTGTCGAATCCATATTCATCATTCATTATCATTCGGTCTTCGTTCTATCATTCTGCGTTCTAAACAGAGTCGCCAACGTTTGAGAAACAAAATTCGGAACATTCGAATGGTTCAGTTCTTGTTCAGTTCATCTGACTTCAGTTCAAAGTATATCATAGGACAATAATAAAAAATACTATTAGGATGCGGATTGCATCGCGGGGGGACCTGCGCGGGTATACCTAAGGCGCGAATTGACCGGTTGACGAGTGTTATCATAAATCGGGACGCGGGACATCATTTAAATCGGGGCTGTCCCGGAAAATTCGGGGCGGGTGGCAACCCTGGCTATAACATCGCTATGATGTCGTATTCTATGACTAGAGTCATAGCTAGAGGAGTTAGGCGGTTCGCTCTGGTGTTTCTTAACAAAAGGCAAAGTTATAAATGGCCGCGTTTATTACAGTAATTTATAATAACGGGGTAGCTACCTGTACTTTATATTTATCTACTCGTATTAATGTTAATGACGATGAAAGTTTAAAACAACAACAAATAGATAACTATAATTTACTAATGCTAAGAATAGTCTTATTAAGTTATAATTAATATAAAAAGGATTAGACTAGAAGAAGTAGAAAAGTAGAAACAAAAACTTAAAAAACAAAGAAAAATTGTGTATTCTATAGAATTTCATGCTATATCTGTGCTCAGTGAAAATGATAAGTGTATGATTATAAATAATATTATTGCAATGCATATCTAATTGATAGTTATCATATTCTATGAATATATATTTCCTAATTCTTAAATATTGATAATATTAAATATTGATAAATATAATAAATGTGATAATAAAAAAAGTTAAATTGACACCAAAACTAAATTATATAGCCAAATACTGTGTTAATGGGAGGCTGGTGTCTGTACAGGTTTGTAGTATCATAGTACCCTTTACCAGCTTCCGGAACAAACAATATGTATATTAGTTATGTTTAAATAAGTATATAAAATATTCAGCTATCCCTTGGTAATTAATGGCTATCATTAAAATACTTACAAAAGCTGCTAACAGGTACAAGTTGGCTGGTGATTCTCGTCTCTTAGCAATCAGGGCGAACAATGTCACTATGCTTAATAAGAACGCTATCATCACCATCCATTGGCTAAAATAAAGACATTTAGTTAATATAAACAAACAAGATAGAATATATAACATTTGCTATTAAAAATGTTGGGTTAAAGTTTCTACTTTTATAAAGATAATGGCAACAAGATTAAAGATGGTTTTGATCAGATTTTATTCATTATTTTTACTTTTTATCTCATTTAAACAAAAGATAATATAGTAACAGTTAAATAATATTTTATCTATGGCTTTGCTAGTAATTTAATAAGTTTACTTGTGTTGTTCTATTAATATATAATTTACTCTACTTTGCACCAATAGAATTGACATCATGGCATCTTCTATTTTTAATATCATAGTTTATTAGTATTTTATTTGCCTTACATCCTTATTACTTACTTTTCATGTATGAAACTTTGGATTGGTTTCACAAGCATAAACACACTGGCGATCGCAACAGTAGCAAGCAGTTGCACAGACAGCAAACCATACACTTTGCGTATGAACGCCAATCGGATCTCCCTGTCTGCATTTAATACATTGTTTCGGTATGCAAAATCATCCTGTATCAAACAGAATTAAATAAGTATATTAACACCTGGTCAATCAGTAAAAGAGAAAGTTGCTTATTGGAAAAACATATTCTAGTAAACAGCCAATGTGTTTTAATGAATGCTTGAAAGGCCTTTGATTAGCACTTTTAAGATGTTGATAGCGGTACAAATAAATGTTAATAACTTCTTCTTCTGCTTTTTTTTTATTAAAAATTAATAATAATAGGTATATAAAGTGGTGAAAGTATACATCAACAAAACTGTGTACTAGTTTTATGGAAAATTTATATTGCTCAAATAAATAAACTGAAAATTATTACACTTTTTTAATGGTTATAGTTGGTATTACATTTAGATAATGTTAGCAGATGCTAAGTGTATAATGTATTACACTAATAATGTTATTATAGATGTGTATTCCCCTGTTTTTTATTATTTTCGAACGAAGTAGTTTAAACGGGAACATATTTTGAAAAAAAGGCATTTCAAGGTCATGACATGAACATGGTGTTTCTGTATTATCGTATTGTGAAAGTAGACAAAGCATTTAGAACTTATTTACCTGTATATTTTCCTTTCCACCGAGTTCACAATCTTCTTGAGCATACATTAGCGGTATGGATGCCATCTTAGTTGTTTTATTGCACTAATTAAAGCGTACACTTTTATGGGAATTTAATATTGACAAATAAATAATGTATTGGGTTTCTCCCGTAAAAACCACGAAGGAAAAACGTAACGTTGACGTATGAATGTTTACTTAATGTCACTATCAGTCATTATCATAGTTACGTCAAAATAATGTCACGTGGGAAAACCTTTTGTTGCCGTTACTAAAAAGAGGTATTCAGCTTGTTTTCTAATTCTAATTTCTGAACTCAAATTTTTAATGTGAGTTGAAAGATTTAAAGGTCACGCTGGAATCGGATCCTCTTGACTGATCCACCGGATACTGAATTTGTGTGTCTTCCGGTATTCACTCAGTCTCACACTCTTAGAGATAAAGTAGACTTGGAAACATAAATTACCGATAGAATCGATACTACACTTACGATATAGATATTTACTTCAGTTTTTATGTGGAAGTATTTAAAAAAAATATATGTTCTTAGAATCAAACTAGATGTCACTTGCGATGTTTGGATCTTGTCTATGATATTCATTCAAATTTTGTTTCAGACGTAATAAAAGTAAATTGAGTATCGAAAATAAATAAACATGTCATCGTTTCGTGTTTCTTATAATATCTAACTTTCAAATTCATTTTAATTTATTTGAATCGTAAGTTTAAGTTATTAATTATGTTACTTGTAAAGGAACGATGTTTTGTTTATCTTGTAATGTTTTGTCAACATTAGTGATGAGCCAACTTATTGGTTGCTCGTAACTACAATGAGGAAGTATTTAAAAAATAAAGATTTGTTCCTGAAATCAAACTAGATGTCATTAGCGATGTATGGATCTTCTCTATGATATTCATTCAAATTTTGTTTCTGACGTTGCTCGTAACTTCAATTGAATCGATTCATCCAAATTCAGGTTTGGAATCAAGAACAAAAAAATGGAGCGCTGAATTCAGCTTGTTTTTTTTATGTGCCATATTTCCATATGTGGCATTATGTGTCCACACGTCGAATTATATTAATGATTTTGTACGAATACTCTAGGTACTACTCTAGGTACTTAAAAAGTAATATGTTTCAATAAAACTGATTTCTAGAGTAGGTTGAGTAGGAAGTAAATCTATTATTGACAATATTATTGACAATAATATATTGTAAAAACCAAAAAAGCACATACATACCCACCGTACAAATTAACATGATACCTGGTTCGACGTCCGCCGTTGACATGCAAGTTCAGTAGCGATAGTATATTAACTTTTTTTATATATATATTTTTATTTATTATAAATACAATTTAACATTACAAATTTATATTAGCGCAAACCAAAAAACACGAAGGTTCGTTTTTAGTTACAACGTTTTCGTTCTGGAAATTTCGACCTGCAGAACAAGCCCCGTGGACGGCCGGAGATCCAAGTTAATAATAAAGAATTGAAGGCTGCAGGCTGCGGTGTAAGTGATAAAACTGTTTTAATCCACTTGAAGCAAATTGGAAAGATTAAAAAGCTTGAAAGGTGGGTACCTCACGAATTGAGTGAAGCAAACCGGCAAACGCGCTTCGACTACTGCCTTAACCGGCACAATAATGAAGGATTTTTAAATCGAATCATTACCTGTGATGAAAAGTGGATTCGCTATGATAATCCGAAGCGCTCATCGCAATGGTTGGACCCTGGCATGCCAGCCAAATCCTACCCCAAGCGAAAATTGACCCCAAAAAAGTTACTTGTAAGCATTTGGTGGACTAGTGCCGGTGAGATGGCAAAAGTGCATAGATAACAATGATTTATAAATTGACTTTTTGTTCCTCCCATATCAAACAACAATTTCATATGTAAGGACCTAATATAATTTTAACTTTAAAAATACTAAGAAAATTTAAACATATCGATAAACCATTGTGTGTTTTGTATTTTTAAAACAAAGTGAAAGTGTGATATAAACCGAGCGATAGCTAATTACACAAACATATACAATGGTTCCTACAATTTTCTTATCAGAAGGTAAGCGTAATTTTATAAATGTTGTATTGCATCATCACAGAGTATGAATTCATCGCATACCCCCAAGACTGGTTTTTAACAAATTATCCAAATAAATTATGTTGGATTTTTAAAGTTTTTATTCACCACTCACATGTGTAAAAAGTAATAAAAGATAAGCACAAAAGTACACACAATGCTGTAGAATAAAGAAGGCGAACGTGAGCAAAAAAGAAATATGAAACTACTACAGGTTGACATCTAATAATATGAACAATAAATTTGAATTAAAACAACGCGTGCTACATGCATCTCAATAATAATAATCTGTGGACGCGACTCTCGTATTTCGCGGGCTACCTCACGCATGCGCGAGCCGCGACGCCGCGCCGCGCGGTCTCACGCCTGCGCAGTAACCGCGTCCCGAGCTAGTGCGAGCGCCAAAATTATATATAAAGAAACTAGATGTGTTTGTCCTTGTGTAACACATTCAAACAAATACATTAAATATTATTTCTTAAATTTAACATGTTAAACAATTTTATATATTATGTTATTGAGTATTTGTACATATAATTTAATTAAATATAATATTTTTTTTATAATGTTTACTTTGACAATTATTTTATCTTTTGCATATACATTTATTTATATGTAGGTACACTACATCACCCCCTTCCAGAGACCGTCCTACGGGCGATAATAATCTGGAAATTGAACCCGACGACCTGATTTAGTAATTTTAGGAATGTTATCAGTGGCAGGTAAGTCATCACATACTTTATGTGTAGACGAATGAGAGTGATTGTGTGAGTATGAGTTGTTTGAGATATGAGGTGTAAATGTTGTGGTATCTGGATCACGCAGTATGTATGCTGGTTTTAATCTGTCAATCGAGACAGTCACTGGTTTACCATTTATTGCAATTTTAAAAACTTTGTCACCTCGTGTTAGGACTTCGTGAGGTCCGGTATATGCTGGTTTAAAAGAGCCAGCCCCTGCGTCATCGCGAAGGAAGACATGAGAAGCAGTGGTCAAGTCTTTGAATATGAATGGAGAGCGTGAACGACCATGACGCGAAGCTGGAGACGGTTGCAAGTTTTTAGTGAACATGTGCAGACGTCCTACATAATCTGTCATGTCGATTGTGTTATCTGTACCTGGTTGAAAAAAATCTCCTGGCAGACGTAGTGGTTCTCCATATAGCAATTCAGCAGAAGATGACTTTAAATCTTCTTTATAGGTGCTACGAATACCTAATAAGACAAGAGGAAGAGACTCTACCCAACTGCTGCCAGTGTGGCAGGTTATTGCAGCTTTAAGTTGCCTGTGAAACCTTTCCACTAACCCGTTGCACGACGGATGATAGGCAGTGGTACGCTTATGTTGGAAGCCAGCAATATCAGATAGGTGCTTGAACAATGCCGATTCGAATTGTCTCCCGCGATCTGTAACAATCTGTGTTGGACAGCCGAAGCGAGAAATCCATCCACTTAAAAGAGACCTTGCTACAGTTTCCGCTGTAATGTCGGATAATGGTATTGCCTCAGGCCATCGTGTAAAACGATCAATGGCGGTGAGACAATACCTAAATCCATGCGAAATGGGTAATGGTCCTATTAAGTCTATGTGTATGTGCTTGAATCTAGCGGAAGGCAGCACAAAGTTTCCAATAGGCGATGAAACATGTCGAGTGACTTTGGACCGTTGACAAGCCATACAAGAACGAACCCAATTTTTACAGTCTCTACGAATTCCTGGCCATACAAAACGATCAGATACTAATTTGACAGTAGATCTCGTACCTGGGTGACTAAGCGAATGTAGGCTCTCAAACACATGGCGACGTAAATCTTTAACAACAAATGGACGTTTAGTATCACCTCTTACATCGCAAAATAATTCAAGATCAGTTCCAGGCAGTTTCACTTTTTCAAGGCGCATAGATGTATCGGAGTTTAAAAATGATTGTAATTCATCATCTGAACTTTGCATTGTGGCTAGCTTTTCTATGTCGACAGGTTTTACTATTTCATCAACGCGCGAAAGAGTATCAGCTACTACGTTGTTTTTGCCAGCAATATGCCTTATATCGATGCAAAATTGAGATATAAAATCTAAGTGGCGGAACTGTCTGGGCGAACAATTAGCTTTATGGGAATGAAATGCAAATGTAAGGGGTTTGTGATCTGTGTATATCACAAAATCGCGAGCTTCTAACATATGCCGAAAGTGTTTGATAGCCTCGTATATGGCCAATAACTCCCGGTCGTATGGAGAATATTTTGTCTGAGATGGAGACAATTTACGGGAAAAGAATCCCAGTGGCTGCCAGACGTCATCTTTGGACTGTTGTAAAACGGCTCCGATAGCAGTGTCTGATGCGTCCGTGACTAAGGCCAATTTTTCCTTACAATCAGGATGCACCAGCATAGCAGCTCGACAAAGATCTTCTTTACACTCTTCAAAAGCTTCCTGTTCGTGGGCAGATAAATGTACAGGGTGAGAACCTTTTACCGATCCAACCAGAAGAGCATTCAACGGTGCTTGGTGTTGAGCAGCTTGTGGAATAAACCTGCGATAAAAATTCACCATACCGAGGAATCTGCGTAATTCTCGAACTGTTTTTGGAGCGGGAAAGTTCCTAATAGCTGTAACCTTTTCTGAAGGTGGTTTGACGCCCTCAGCCGAAACATGATAGCCTAGAAACGTGACTTCAGATGCTCCAAATGTACATTTTGCAGTATTAATGACCATGCCATACTCGTTTAATCTGCCAAATACCTGATTAAGATGATCTTGATGAGTTTTCTGATCGACAGAAAAGACCAAAATATCGTCAATATACGGATAAACGAAATCTAAGCCCCGCAGCACTTCGTCGACGAACCGTTGAAACGTTTGTCCGGCATTACGAAGTCCGAACGTCATGTACGGGAACTCGTATAGGCCGAACGGCGTCGTGATTGCAGTTTTTGGTACGTCGCTGGGATTAATCGGGACCTGGTTATAGGCCTTCACTAGGTCAATGGTGGAAAATACAGTGCAGCCAGAAAGATTATAGTCAAAGTCCTGTATATGACGTATAGAGTACCTGTCGGGAATAGTTCTCGCATTCAGCATCCGGTAGTCTCCACAGGGACGC